GTACGTCAGCCGCACTCAAACCTACATCATGTTTATGTAAGGGTGAAGTCCTGGTCAGGCAGAACTTCCTGAGCTGCATCTCTCACAAAAGAGCCACACAAAGCACTCTGCTTTGCTTCATTATCGCTGCTACAAGCGAGGGTTCAAGACCACACTGGGGTCCAATTTATTTGATCTGAAGTGTAGGAGATTTACATAATGAGAATACTGCCATTGTTCTATTACACCAGAACATCCCTGGATATGAACTGTCCTTTTAGCTTGACGTTAACCTATGTTTGATGACATAGGTCTTTAAGAAACTGTGTACTAAAGAATCCATCTACAATCAGCCCAGAGCCCAAAGCCTCCAATAGTGACTCACGAGATCCTAAAATGTGACATCATGTAATGTACATGATGTCAATGCGGTATCATTATTGTTAAAGTAGTATCATTACAGGACTGATAGTACTTTTATGCAATCTCAGAAACTCTCAGATATCTACGTAACCTTCTGACGTTTGTGAGCTGATGACGCTGGTGACTACAATGCAAGATATATCTACTTCTGTTATAATATCGGCCTTTATGGTCACTTTTTAACACAGTCAAATCTGTCGGGTGTCAAAGTAGGGCTGACGCTGTGATCACTGTTGTCATATGAGAAACTGGTTGTTTTATGATAAAGAGTGGTTATACTTTTACAATCTTTGATATTTCTGCAAAGCTTTTGAGGCCATAAATTCACTAATTATAATTTACATTTACAGAACTGAATTACAATTTAAATGACTGATTTGGCTTACATGTCTATTTTACATGTTAAAAACCATCGGTTTTACTGACACATCCGCTCAGTTTGTTGCTATTCTTTCCAATCACAATCTGAGGTGTCACAGTGACGCAAACTTGGTAACTCTGGGAGCATTGAGCCAGCCCGAGATGCTAGGTTGAATTTCAGACTTGAGCAGCGCTCATTCCCATTTTCCAAGTGAGAAGTCCGAACTTCTGCGTTTCCGTGATGATGAAAGCTGCATGTGACGGGAACTTTTCGACAGAAGGGACGGGCTTACGTGTTTGTGCCTCATAATCCTCATATTAGATGGATCTAAAGACAACCCCAGGTCTGCTTTAATGAAGAACAATGTTGGAACATCAATTCTGCATGATATGTCCCCTTTAATACTTGCGGTTATATATAGTATAAAAGTCATCAATTCATGTGAATAAAATGAAACTATCATGAGCATTTGAAAATATTGCAGTTCTGATTTTTATCTTCCAGACAGTATACTGTATATTGATGCAACATTCATTGTACAGTTCATGTTTTGTTTGCGATCTTTCAGAGTCATTATTTATTATAGCAGATCATTAAGTACTAGGCTGACCTCATCAAATAGCGATGCATGACATCACGCTTGAACGTACTTGTGAATCGTGCCAAAAAGGATCCATTGTTTCTTTGCTGAAGCAGACTGAAATGAGTTATCAATTTACAGGTGTGGTGCCGAAGAGCTGTGGAAGTTTTAAAGATGTATGTTGCCTAAACACGTTTTAAAATGTCAACTGTGCATTTCCTTTGTTGAACGCATAGACTGTCTATACTGTAGATGGACAATGAGTTTGGGGGTGGGGGGCTCATAAGCGTTTTGCTTCAGCCCACTTCTTTTGAGCCGAATTCATTACTGTTCAAATGAACAAATACATAAATAAAGATTGACCAATCAGATGCCTTCATTTGCGGGGAAACACATCTGCCCCTGTTACGCTGCCAAGCTAACGCTGTTGGAACAAATGCCCATATAAGGAAATTGGCTCTAGCTAGCTTATGTTCGGTAAACACGAGAACTCGGTTAGTCCCCTCTTCATCTCTCAGTCTGTGGTGTAACAGTGTCTACGCACTCTGAACAAGAGATCTGAACAATGTTCTTTTACTTATTTTATTCTATTGTTTGGACTTTCATTTCAAGACAGCTTGTACCTGTGCCACAGTCTGCTATTCATCTTGTTCCTTAGGTTTCCACAAACACACACACACACACATCTTGATTTGATTATATTAATACTAAAACCATATTTTTCACAGAGATGGGGCAGGTTCTTTCTCCTGAACAGTGGGAAGTTTAAGTTAACACATCAAACATCATAAAATTAAGTTACGTTTTCTGTTTTCTGTTTCGCAAAGAGCATGTATGGGGTTCCATTGCAATGGAAGCCACCAATCCAAAGTTAGAGTGTGGTACCGGTGGTTTGGGAAATAATAATGACTTTAGAGCTGGTGTAGATTTGATGTGATCTAAAAACCTAAGCAGAGATTGGCCTGAGATGGGAGACCATGTTTTGTACTGACGGATATAATAATTATTTATTGAAATGAATCCCTTTATCTTGTATTGGGTGTATTCTTCTCCTTTTTCATTGTTTGTTCTCTTTGTTGTTGTTTTTCTTCGCTCCCTGGAAACAAAAGGCGCCCCACAACAAAACATTATTTACATCTCGGCTGCCCTGTTTCCATGGCGACAGAACGTTGAGACTGGCTCCTTCATCCCTCTGCAGCAGGAGGAGGGGTTTCCATGGCAACGGGGCAACTCATCACATATGTTTGTCGGCTCCAGTCCAAACACAAGAGCATAGTAACACACTGACCATCACCTCCCGTATCACACACACATCTCGTGGTGTGTGTGATCCACTGGCCCCCACTGGATTACTGTGCTTATGTGACAAACAATATTACTCTGGTTCAAACAAGACATTTATTAGTATTACGGAATTGATAAGCACGATGTATGGAGTGAATTAATGAACTGCCTTAGGTGTCATGAATGGCTATACATACGTATATGAAGTATCTATCTATTTGTGCTTGTAGTATTGTAGATATCCATCCATCCATCCGCCTCGACCTGGCAACGGTTGTAAATATTGATAACAAATTTTACAAAAACTCGTGACTTTGACTGGTCTTGCACTTGTGAGCTGTTGACTTGGTGAACTTAAGACTGAAGACTTCACTGACGTGCACATTTGTGACACTGTAAAAGTACTCTTGACCCCACTCTTGTATCGTCTGCACAATGTTGTACAATCCACTGTCCCCAGTGACGAGATAAAATAATATTTTTTGCACATGTTGTGGATGTGGTTCTTGTTTAGGAAGCTCACTTTGCAATGCTTCCTTTTCTGTCATTTGTCTCAAACCAGCCTCATGTGCAATATGGCAGACAACTTTGTTCTGTCGTTTGCCTACTGTTTGCTTATTGTGCTGAACAGTTCTACTATCCCAATGGGGAGAGTCTCGGTGTCCCAGCTGTTGTCTTAATACTGCTGCTATTGGATTTAGCAATAATAGTGTGAGCAAGAGTGCAATGACTATATTTGTCTTCCGATAACCTCAAGTGAACCCAGGATGTGATGGCCTGGATCCCCACCTACAGTAAAAACAGCTTCATTCACACATGTTGTGAAGACTGTAACCTGTGGCAGGAGTGATGGACCGTTAACACACTGCTACAATACATTTCTGGGTAAACATCATTGGCCTGAGGCATCAGTACACTCTGTTATTTGGAAAAAACTGTTACGGCTGGAAAAAAGCCGATATGGGTTAGATTAACTGATATATTGGTCATATTGATCAGTTGGTGCTAGTATGACCAAAAGAAATGTGTTGAAAACACAACCATAGTACCTTGTAATATTCAGCTCGACAAGATTGGTCATTCTGACCAATGTTCTAGTCAAAATAATGTGGCATTATAACCAATAATGGTTGTTGTTTACATTATCAGTCTTCATCTATTTATTTATACATTTAACTCTCACGGTTTTGTGTCAGTTTCAAGCTTTTAAAATGATGTATTCAATGTTTATTGGTCTCTGATGGATGCAGCATCTTCCTCACAGTTAAGTTTGAGTTGTGAGTATCGCATGTACCACTTTAATCACAAAATAACTCTTATCTCTTTGTCTGCATTGTCTTTGCGTGCAGTCAGTTAAATATACAATAGACTGTAGCGCTCAGTATGCAGTAGTTACTCTTTGTTCCTGGTTTCATTTCTGTGTTTTCACAGCACTCAGCTGGATGAGCTCATGACGACTTTACATCCGCCTACACACAGAATTGTGGCTTATTGAAAAAACGGTTGAATATATTTTGTAAGTTGTATGCATCATCACATATTTAGTGCTGTAACTAACAGTACTTTTATAATCGATCAATCCAGCCTTTATTCTGCAAATGGCTAATTGTTTAGAACGCAGATACAGAATAATGTTTCTCATTCTGACCTAAAAGAATTCAATTAAATTCAATTTATTCTTGTATAGCCCTAAATCACAACAGTAGTTATAGATTACCAACACGGATCAGAGAATCAAACAGTTAAAACAAAAAAATTATAAGAAAAGAAGTTGAAGTAAAGCCACCAAGGATTCTATTGGATCTTTTTCAGAACAAATCATTGTATAATTAAAAACAAGACATTTAGATAATTCCTAATCATTGTGTACAACTACTTCCTTATTTGTGTGGTAAAAAACATCTCTCAACAAATGAATGTGTTGAAGTCTGTATAAATAGCAGACTCATGAACAATGAGTTCAAAACCCGAGTTCTGACTAGAACCAGGAAGTACGATCTCTTGAGTCCAGTTCTAAAAACTCGTCCAGACTCAGGACTAACATGGGGAGGCAGCATTTCAGATATATGTTGCTAAAATCTGGTCTTCCTGAAAATGTGAGTCAGGCTTCTACTCTGACAATACATCCAGGTTAAAAACTGTTCTGTTGAGCTGTACAAACATCTGAACTGTTGTATTTTTAATGTACTGTGATTATTTATGATATAACTATAAACCGCTATACCTGCCTTGCCTCCTTGTAGTAAATACATTAATGTAAGACTAATTGTTACGCCCATACATACCATGATTCTTCTTTCACTTTGAAGCAGAGGTTTATTTCCAAACTGTTAGTGAAAGCTGCTGTAATATTTGCTTGTCCTGTGCCCTCAGCCCACCGGTTACATGGAGGCGTCCCTGTCATACAGCTGCATAGAGGACCTGCAGCTCCTGGCCTGGGACAACGCCCCCAAATACTGTGTCCAGCTCAGCTTCCCCGGAGGCACCGTCCTTCTACAGGTGAGCGCTCCACACTTGCCAGCAACCATTTGTAAGACATTTTTTCAATAATAAACGGCTCCAAATACTTCAAGAAATTATATTATTGAGGAGACAGTGAGCACAGGAGGTAAATTGGGGACAGTGCGTGAGAAAGACAAAAGTCCACTTGATCAGGACAGGATGAGTGGAGGAGCAGAACACTGTGTCCCACTGAGCTCGCTCTGCTTTCTCTGTTTCTGTTTTACACATGGGCCCACACCACATGGGACTACAGAGTGAGTTAGCATTTCTCAACCTGAGCTGGGCTGAAGCAGGATCAGATGTACTGTATGTCCATGATGTATCCAATGAACTGTGTAAAGCAAACACGCAGTACCAGTAGATAACTAGCCAATGAGCAGGCGTACACATATTAAAAACATTTGAACAGCCCAATAAGAGATAAGAAAAATATATACACACAATATATTTTTACAATTTTATATAGCACTGATGGTAAGCTTATTATTGTGTTTTGTGTTTGTGATCACTACGCTCGTCGTCATAATTCCCCTCTTAGTATTTAAAGAGAGGGATCGGCCCATAAAATATGAAATGGCGGAACTAAAGTTAGAAAAGTGCAAAACCTTTAACCGTAAACATGAGATCATCTGACTACAGGAACAGCTGAGGTTTAGTCCTGGCCACTTCCTGTCAGGGGTTTTTCTTCTGCTTACAAGGAGCCACATGTTTTAAAGCGACATGTTTGTTCATTATATTAGAATTGAAACTGCATTTAATTCCTCAACACTTGATAGGTTTTCAATAAAAGTGTGTGTTTGTAGCACATACAGAGTAGTCCATCTGCCATGTCCTTTTTGCAAATGTTTTACCACACAACAATAAATCTTTGTCAAGTTTACGCTCTCTTTTGTAAGAATTCTCACTTGCAGAAATTGTAACTAGGGAACAACCAAAATCAGTAATTTAATGTCTGTTCCTACGATCCATAATGTTGGCTTTGAAGTGCCTCACTAAAGAAACTGTTAGCTGTTAGCATTGTTTATGTTAGCATCTTTAGCAATGATCTTTCAATGATTGAATTGGACTGCGGCTACATATTCTCACGAACAACTCAAGTCTAGAATCTGCAGCTTGTGGTAATATCATTCACACTTTTGACCGGTTTTGTTTGTGTTTTCACAGGCTGCAAACAGTTATCTACGAGACCAGTGGTTTCACTCGTTACAGTGGAAGGTAAAGACTCATTCTGTGTGGACGGGATCAAGTCTTAATCACTGTTTTTCATTGGGGGTCGGCCCGATGTTCCCCGGGTCCGGTGTTCCCCGGGTCCGGTGTTCCCCGGGTCCGGTGTTCCCCGGGTCCGGTGTTCCCCGGGTCCGGTGTTCCCCGGGTCCGGTGTTCCCCGGGTCCGGAGTTCCCCGGGGCGGGGAACACCGGACCCGGGGAACATCGGACCTTCCAAACGCCGGAGGGCCCGGTGTTCCCCGACTGCGGGCCTCGCTCATAGACATGTTATTGCTGCGCGCGGATAATGGAGCAACAAGCGGCTTTCGCTCATAACTAGTCTATTTTGGGTAGGCCTGCAGATTAGTAAGTAGGCCAAATTCGCTTGCAAACTACAAGGGCTAACTGGAATTGGGGTTTCAAAGAATATGGTTCAAACGCACACACGCACGCACACGCACTCACGCGCGCACATACACACAAGCTCATTTATGAAACTTGCGTTGAAAAAGATGTACATTTTGGGTGTATATTCCATTTACGCAATTTGCCAAAATGTTTTGATACATTAGAAAAATCCTTATTGAATTGTAGAAGTGAATAAATATAGATTTAAATATCTATAAATATAGATAGAGCGTTTGCGGTCCAGATTTCACAAAGAAACTCTGGAGCCAAAACTTCTGCACATGTGGCGCGACCTCTCACGGCACTCGCTGCGCACTCTGGACAGGGCAGTGAGACGTTTGAGTGAGCAATACCATCGATGCGTTATTGGGGTGTGTGTCTGTGTGAGGGTTACACAAATCTAATGAAATAACACATTGCTTTACCAGATGTGAATGAGGAATACAAATAGCCGTGCGTAATTACGCAGCGCAGAGCCTGCCACAGCAACAGCTGGGTCACACATCCCTGTTGCGTAAAGTGTATTTATATAGAGCCTTTCACTGTCCAGGATCACAAAGCGCTTCACATTTTAAAAACATACAGATCAAAATAATACACACACAAGTCAGATTTAATAGAGGGTCCTCATGAGCTGTGATTTATTCGAAGTTTGCGTGTTTCCATTAGACTTTTTCTGATGCGCAAATTCAAATTTTGAAACATGATCCTCAATGAAAACACAGCATATAATTTTGCCAGAGGGAATATGTTTATTGTTGGTACATATCTTGAATTTCATGCGTGTTGTGCCGAAGGTTGAGTTCAGCGTATAGATTTACACCACCTCCAGACCTGGCGTTTATTTTTTGCGTATTGTACGCTCACGTCCAGATAGATAAATGCGGAAAAGTGTAATATTTTGCGTACGCCTCATTTACCCTGATTTGGCCGTACGCAGGTTTCATACATGAGGCCCACAGTGAGGCCCAAAGTGAGGCCCACAGTGAGGCCTACAGTGAGGCCCACAGTGTGTCTCACACAGGCCTAGAGTTTACCTCATCAGTGCAAGGCGAGCCAGGCCTGACCGCGCTCTCCTCCTCTGGGACCTACGGGCCCGGGCCTCTGGCTCCTCTACCTCACAAAGTTCACGCTGAACTTTCTTAAAATTAAAATGAAAAAGGCTGCTCTGTTGTGAATGCTTTGAGAGCGTTGTCAATCTTTAAGACGAGGAATAGCTGGTTGTTCTCGCTTCACGCTGTGTGATATGATATTGGACAAAATTGTTCAGCCAATAAACAGGACTATATTTGAAGCAACGTAGGAACGTGATGACGCTCAGGGGGTTATATTATTATTATAATTATTATTATTATTCCCCCCACTGTAGGAGCCAATACACTTTTCAATATTTTTGAATTCTGAGCGTTTCCAATTGTATTTAAAAATGGGAAACCTAATTAAACAATCATGAATTGAGCTTTTCCGATCTTATTTTACACTGATTCCTTTGATCATTTTTTTCTTAAAGTTCAAGTTGTAAAAATGCTATGTTTGAATTGGTTATTTACATTTTAACTGTGAGTGACACGTAAGGCGGGACAACAATGCACAATGACGCACGCATTCTGAATAGAATAATATGTATTAATATCTCTAAAACTAAAAGAGCATATTCAAGTTTTACAACAAAAACGACGTCATATGCGTGTCCATTATGCGTAAAAGCACAGTGCCCTCAGCAAAACCACGTATTTGGAAAAACTATAGGCTAACAGATGTAGTAGCTCTAGTTTCAATCGTCCTCATTTTATTCAGTCAGACTTGTCAAATATAGATGCCCATGGGAGAGTGAGCAAGGGGAGATAACATGCCCATAACATGCCCAAAAATATCCTGCATAGACTCAAGCTGCGATCAGCTGAAATATGAGCACACAAAGAGCGAGAGGGAAAAAGAAAAGTAAATAGGCTTAGGCTAGTTAGTATTTTTTCTCTCACAAAAGTTGGCGCGGATCATATGCCATCTTTCGTGGAGGAGGAAACATCAAACATCAAAGGGCGCACGTGGGGAACAGCGGGACTAGTCTCGTTGTTGAAGTCCCGATGTTCCCCCACTTCTATTGGCGGGGGAACATCGGACCCGGGGAACATTGGGACTTTTTAATACGCGAAGTACCGATGTTCCCCGGGTCCGATGTTACCCCGCCTATAGAAGTGGGGGAACATCGGACCCGGGGAACATCGGACCCGGGGAACATCGGACCCGGGGAACATCGGTACGCACCCTTTCATTGTACATGAATCATGTTTTTCTTCATTTAGAATTTCTCAATCATCACATTTCTTATTTTCACACATTGGTTAAAAAAGCTGACATTTGACATGGTTGACTTTGAAAACTTCAGTACTGTTGCACAAATTAGCTAGTAAAAAGCATTACTGTATGAAAATGACTATTCTTTTTACAGTTTTATAAAGTTACTACAGTTTCTAAGCCTGTGTTAATATCGTATTCTTAACACGAGGGCACTCAGACTACGACGCTGGGGTTTAGGTTTAGAGGGCGGAAACTACTGGATTTCACATTTGTCACTTGCAACACAAATGGAGACTCATGTTGAGAACCAAACACCAAATGTAAACAAAGTTTGTGGACGTCACGATAATTTAGTCATGACACAGACAAAAGCTGTCATTTTAGATCATATGATTATGACTTTGTTTTACCATCAATGTTATGTGTACCTTTTTTAGGGTTACAGCTATTTTCTTTGTCTTGTGATTGATATAGAAAAAGATTTACAAGTACCGCAAGGTTTTGACCAACCCGAGCCGCTGGGACGTGGTTCTAAAAGAGATCCGTGCGCTGGTGGACATGGCGCTGACCTCACCGCTGCAGGATGAGTCCATTCATCAGGCCCCTTTGCACATCATCTCCACCCTGCTGGCCGAGGTATGACACTGCACCTAACTTTCCCTAAACACCTAGAAATCAGAGTTAGCAGAAAAGTGAATAAACATTGAGTATTGTTTTGAATTTAAACACGCTTAGATACCATAGAAAAGCTTTAAATTGCCTCACAAATATTCTTCCGAATAAGCATCATCACCACCAACTTCTTTAATATAATTTAACACTTACAATGTGACACTAATTTATGACTCATTTCATTTCAAGCCTGTATTTCTGTTTGGTTCAGTTTATTACAAATACAAAATAAAAACATTTAACATTCATTTTATAACTAGTGACATCGCATATTTGTAAATGGGACACCCTTGAGGGTTATATATGTGACCCAAGATATGTATTTTTTATCATGTTTAAAATTATGGCTCACAGCTTGTAAAATCCCAATTTAAACATTTCAGAAATATTTTGAAAATGGACTGTAAGCCACAAACATTTTAAAAGACAAAGGCTTGGCATCTGTCTATATCATGAATTGTTTTTCTATTTTAAGCTGAATTATAGAGATAGAGTAACTTTGCAATAATATTCTATTTTTCCCAGTTTCTTTGGGCGGGGACAAAAACATCCGCAAAACAGTTTATTTTTTTTCTCAGATCATATTATTCTGCCTCATCTCCATACTATTTAAGACCAGTTGCCTTTTCATGAATCACAAACTTACTCTGGAAAATATCACATGTTACATTTGTGTACATACAATTTATAAATGAGGTGAGGCCTTTTAAAGCATTTGGGATTTTTTTTTAGATTTTTGTAGCTTGTTTACCGGATGAGGACGTGTATCGTAGCTAATAATCCAGACCATTTTAAACCATATCGCTTCTAAATATCCGTTGCATTTCTAGACTTGCTATCAATTGCCAGAACGCCCATTATTCTGACTTGCACTTGTTGAAAGATTTGGTCAACACAAAGCAGCTGTTTCTTTCCTTTTCCCCACAGAACTCCAATCTCAGCGCTCAGGATCACGAAAACATCATTGTTGTAAGTAAATTCTTCAGTTAACTCTTTGATTGCATGTGATATCTGGCCTCGATACGCTTGTCTCTGAAATGGATTAAAAGGGAACAAGAAATCAGAGCATAGACAAAAAAGGAGGAAGACGTGATTGTCACTGCCCACGAATTAGGAATAATCTTTGGCAATAGTGGAAACAAAGATTGATGTATCAGCTTTAGATACGATCGAGTCTTTTGGTTTCGCAGGCCATCGCTCCTCTGCTGGAGAACAACCACCCGCCTCCCGACCTGTGCGAGTTCTTCTGTAAGGTGAGTCAACACTATAACAAATATATTATGATGAAAATAATATTAATATTAAAAAGAAATAACAATAATAGTTCAGTAATGTTAATTTTGTGTGGTTGTGCTGCAGCATTGTCGAGAGCGGCCGCGTTCTATGGTGGTGATCGAAGTCTTCACGCCTGTGGTTCAGAGAATTCTTAAACACAATATGGTGAGTACAGGGTGGAACTTTTTGAATATGTTTTTAAGTATTTGTATCGCTATAATGACCATAATAAAAAAAACAACCATAAAAGTGACTCTATACATTACACTTTAAATTAAAGTGAAGCTTTTTACAATTTAATTTTAATTTTTACGATAAAGAAAAGTGCAAGCGCTAGGAAGACCCGCCCCCACAGGTTCCTGATTGGTCATAATGCATTCAAATTAGGGTTTAATCCCGGGACACGGGATTCCCGGGAAATCTGATCAAAACTATTTCCCGATTCCCGGGAAATGTTATGACGGGAAACGGGAAATGAAAGTAAAAAGAAAAATCCTGTGCGCTCCTATTATAAAGCACGTTTATTGTTGTTCAAAGTTCAAACATATTTCATTTACAATCAACATGTCTACAGCTGAGAGGATGGCTCATAAATTGTGTTTTTGACAACAAATATGGGTCTTAATCGCAATAAACCACGACTTGTAATGAGGCCAGCCTCAGGGTACGGGGCACATGTGAGCCCAGAATTCGGCTACATCCAATTCTATCAGAAAGCTCCTTTCTTTTTTTCCATCTGCTAAGAGCAGCAACAGGTTTGGCTAACATACATATAACACATTTTAAGATAATATAAAATGCATTTAGGGTAATGTTCTGCTTCCAATGACGATAGGAATGATAAGGAAGAGAGGAGAAGGGTAAGAAGGTTGATATTAGAAATTGGATGCGCCCGAGAGCCGGCTGCAGCGAACACACGGAGGAGTTTATGGAGGTGGCACCAGTTTTGTTTTACGCTTTAAAACTCTTTGGGCTTATTTCCAAATGGGGGATTACATATCTGCGCTCAAACTATTATCTGGACTTAAACATGAAACTGGTCTGAACTGATGTGGTCTGTGCTGTTCATTAATAACTAAGGTAAGACCCATAACACAATTGGAAATGTGCCTTTTACGAACTTTTGCGTTTTGTATGAGCAAACAATGCGGGCCATGGAAAACATTCTGCTGTAGCCAAACTAATTGTGAATAAGCCGCTCTGTAGGTTCTGTTGATTTATATGATATATGTTCATCTGACAGGGCTGAAGTCAGTGCCTCCAAACCACACGCACGTCACTGGTCAACAAGTGGATTTCGCAGACATTTAGAATCTCATAATAGTGAAATTCCTGAAGAAAGCCCATCAACAAAACGTCTGAAAACGCTATGGCTACTTTAGCAAAGCTAGCAAGTCGCTTGGTGAAATACTAGTGGAGATGGCAGCTTTTGTTGGATTATATATTTGAGTGATATCATACATTACTTGGGATAAAAACAACAACTACAAACAACAGCTATTTCCCGGGATTTCCCGGGAAAGGCGTCGTCTTTTCCCGGGATTTGATACGTCTCATTTTTGGAAAAAATATTAAACCCTAATTCAAATCTCCCCTCATCATTGGTCTAACTACTCTCCTCCAAAACATACTACTGGTTGTGTTTATGCCAAGGAGAGGGGGCACTTTAAATATATTATTTGTGAAAAATCCTTAAATTAATATACATTTTTATTAAAATAAATTACATGAAATACAATTGAAGTTTCAGATATCACGTTTGGCATTCACCAAATATATACCTTCAAAACAATATTTGCACTGTTAGCAATTTTCAATATACTGCCCACCTCCAGTCGGGAGATTACAGGAAATTATATATTTTTATAAAGATGTGTTATTATTATTTATTTTGAATTATTATCGTGGATATTTATCTGTCAAAAATACATACATCACATGCTAAACTACAACAATTCACCAATCGTAACGTTTTGATTTAAAAAATTAAAAAATCATATTCATTTATTTCTTACAAAATAAAACAAGAGACCAAATAAACAGGAATATAGAGTTTGAACAGGGTTTGGACGAAGCAATAGAAGGTAGTATTAGTATTTGTATGTATTCTGTTTTTAAATAAACCCATGAATTTTGAATATTTTCCATGTTTTTATTATTGCGTATTTTGTGGACAGGACTTTGGAAAGTGTCCTCGCCTGCGCCTCTTCACTCAGGAGTATATTTTGGCTTTGAACGAGCTGAACGCCGGGATGGAGGTGGTCAAAAAATTCGTCCACAGGTACTTATTGCAGGACATATTTTAATTAATTGGATTTGTAGTTTTTGTCAAGATTTAGTCAAATAATCTGCTTGTCTTTTTTTCTGATTAAGTTTAATAAATCATGGTAGTTCTAGTTGTGCATGTCTATGGGGTAAGGTTACTGTCAATAAAGACGTGCATGTCTAAAAAAAATGCGTGCATATTTATTGGTATTTGTGCATAATTTATTTTTATGAATTCATGATTAAGATAATACAAACTAAAAAGACATGGAATTTCGTAATTAAGAATAAAAAAATATAAAACTGTATGTGTGATTTTGTACTTGTGAATACGATTTTTTTTTGTGTGCTTGCTTTTTCTTTTTGAGAATGCGAATTTCAGCAGTGAGCAAACTGTCAATAATACGTCACTGCTCACAGACATTAACAATCGAGCTGCGCAGAGTTGATCATGGCAGAGGGCAACAACATTAACAATTTGGCTCAAAATCAGGTAAATAACTATATTTGATCATTTTGGTCGTAAATAAATGTGTAAGAAATATTAATTCCATAAAATGTGTTCATAAGATGTTTCTTGTCCCTCTCTAGAAACGTTTTTTTAGGCAGTGTTTAGTTAACACTAGCTTCAAGGCTAGTTTTACAGCTTACCATGTTATTTTAAAACCAACAATTTTACATTCTTAGCAGTTACATTTTATGAAGCCTTTGCCCCAAATCAATGTGGTTAAAGTGTTGATACCAGTCCCAACCCTCCAGATTATTCATAGTTCGCGCTGTTACTGCCCCTGAGCAATATGGAGAACACCTCTGTGCTTTACTCATCCTTGGTTGTTAGACGTAGCAGACCCTGTCCCTGTGGACCTCAATCTTATATTTGTACATTTGACACATTACTTTTACTCACTAGTTCAGTAAGACTAGTTAGTCTGTTGTTTAGACTAAAATAAATGCATTATTTTCTGTAGAAAAAAAACAATATAAGGATAAGAAAATAAAACTAGCATTGGAGCTAACAACACTGCCAAAAAACCTTTAGAAGGACAAGAAACATCTTATTATGAACACATTTATGGAATTAATATTTCTTACACATTCATTTACAACCAAAATGATAAAATATAGTTATATACTTGATTTTGAGCCGCTTTGTTTATGTTGTGTCCTTCTGCCATGTTTAGTTTTTAGGCAATGAAGTTGATCAACTCTGTGCAGGCTCGATTGTTAATGTCTGTGAGCAGTGACGTATTATTGACAGTTTGCTCACAGCTGAAATTCGTATTCTCAAAAAGAAAATGCAAGCACACAAAAAAAAATCGCATTCACAAGAACAAAATCACACAGTTTTATATTTTTTTTATTCTTAATTACGAAATTCCATGTCTTTTTAGTTTGTATTATCTTAATCATGAATTAATAAAATATTTGTATGCACAAATACCAATAAATATGCACGCATTTTTTTTAGACATGCACGTCTTTATTGACAGTAACCTTACCCCATACATGTCTTATTGTAACTAAAACTTATGCTTAATGGGCTCTGATAATCTCCACTTGTTCCTTTCATTCATTCATCTTCAGTTTTTTTTATGATTATTTGACCAAGAAATCTGCGTTTTTTTGTTCATGAAAATAGACATTTATAATCCTATTTTTTTTAAAGTACTGTACTTGCTGGACTATCAAGACTATTTTAAGTGTTATTCTGACGATAAGCATCCATACCAACCCTACTAAAACTTTACGTCCATAAATTCTGCTATGACAACAGCTCAGCACTTCCCTGTTCAGGCTCTATCTGCACTGTTCACATAACGGGAAGCAGGAATGTGTGCCACGTCATTAGTTTTGGGCCTAAATTCCGTCATGGCGCGCTCTAACAATATCAAAATACATACATCGGCTGCATCTCTACATAGGCTTCAGGGTTAAAAAAAAAACTAAAGAAGTGGATTATGGTCCGGCAACTACGGTATGTAATTTTAGTCACTGTCAGTGCGCTTCATGTTCAAATCAAATAAAAAAAATTTTACACAACCCAAAACAGTTTTTTTTACAAACTTTTCAATTCGCTGTCAATTGTTTGCTGAATTTTTTTTAAAGCTTGTTTTATTGCTCTACTTTTAACTCTGTTTTATTTATGTACTTGTCTTGTGCACACTGGGGACTTCCGCAAATGTATGCCATTACTGCAAATGGCAAATATTCTGAATCTAAAACCGTTAATTAGTTGCCAATCAAAAAAGATACACACGCTTTTAATGTCATTATGATTCAGGTTCAGTCGACAAATTATGGCTCTGTTTAAACCTTGCCAAAAATACATTTCTGGAGGATATAGATACGAACCCTGATTGTGATGTGGGCAATGTACGTTAAAGTGGTTAAATTTCTCTGTTGTTTTTCAGTATGCACGGCCCAACGGGACAATGCCCTCACCCTCGAGTCCTGCCAAACCTGGTGGCTGTGTGTCTCGCTGCCATCTACTCCTGTTATGAGGAGTTCATCAACAGGTCAGTCTAAGAATAGCGCTAGCCTTTAATGTAAGTCATCCGGAGCTCATCAGCGGCCTCCATGGTTTCTCAGAAGCAGCTCTTGTTAAAGTTTTTTTTTTTTTTACGATGTGACTTTTTTTTGGTGGGAAAATGCAGGCTGTGAATATACTGTACATGATCGCTTTGCACCAATCACAATGCAGTCTGAAAAATGTACGAAAAAGTGTTTTAAAGGATCAAAAGTGGAAAACAGGAAGTCACATCACACTGGCGAGGTGAAGACCAAAAGTTTGCAGCAAAAAAAAAACAAATTTCAAGATTATTTATCAGATCCAATATCAGTTCCAATATTATTTTTGCTTTGCACAATGTGAGGTTGCCATTTCATAATGAAGAAATACAATTATTATTTCATTTTTACAACTTATCAAACTGAAAATGAGGTCTGCTATTGCAATACTAGCAATAGCAGCTTTGTACAGTCTCACATCCATATTATTACATATATCTGTGTTATAAATATGATCCTATATTTGCGCTATTGCACTACTGGTTAGATGCTAAACTGCATTTCATTGCATTGTTCTGACTTTGTAATGACAATAAAGTTGAATCTAATCTAATCTATTGTATGTATGCATGACGAGCTCCCAGTGTATTAATAGGTAAACAAAACAATGAGCAAAAATATTTAAAAATAAATAATACAATGATATATGTTTTATACACACTTTTCCCTAATTGGCTTAATAACTCCTACAGAATTGGGCAGATATGAGCGGTTAGGAGAAGCAGTGATAATACAAAGTTCTCAAAGCATCAAACTTCAAATGCATCAGAAATACACATGACTCCATCAACTTCAAACTCAGGAAGGCAACGATAACTGTGGTAATCTCTTTTATAATGAGGCTTTCTTTGCAAGACATGTGAAGTATTTCGTAGTTTGTTTATTCGAGGTCACTGATATTGACTCAACATACGTGACGTTATGGTGTAAACTCATTAGACACATTTCCGGGTTCAGTTCTACTCCAGGGAGACACATTTTCCAAAACCTCCTGACAGCGACAGTGGTTGCTGCGGCGGCCTCGTCTTTGGCCCCTGAACGCATCACGCTCTTGGGCTATTTTCAGGATGAAACTGGCTGAATAGTCTCAGTCAGACCGATGGGAGTTCTGATACTTTTCTCAATATAATGTATTTTGCTGAGAGGAAACATTATTTGAACAATTTTATTTGAACTATACTTTTATTTATTGGATTGAACGTTCGACAGTGTTTTAGTCAACAAACATTTAAATTAGTGAGGTTATTTTGTTTTAGTGAAGCTGTTCTTACTTACACTGAAATGTGTATATTTCAATAATACTTCCATATAAAAATAATGAACTATCATAGCTTATGGATTGTTGGATTGTCATTAATGAGTCATTAATATTGCCATTGTCCCTTTTTATTGACTAATTGATGATTTTGGAAAATGTATCGATATATCAAAATATATCTTATCATATGATACTTAACATAAATCAATAATGTAGCTATTAAATGTTGTATCTGTTGAAAATCATTTATTCATATTTATGTTTTTTTTAGCACATCCGTAATCAGAATCCTTGAGAATTACTTTGAATTGTTTTTTATTGTTTTATTGTTTATGACTTCATTGTCAGTAACAGGAAATCATAAACTAGGAATTTTCTTTGGCTCATGGTGCAAACAAGTTATACAAGTAAAACGGCTTTGTCCATGTTTGTGTTCCCTCTGCAGCCGAGATAACTCTCCCAGCCTCAAGGAGATCCGTAACGGGTGTCAGCAGCAGAACGAGAGAAAACCCCCAATGCCCCTGCGCCTGCTCCGCGCTGAGCCCCCCACACCGCCCCCGTTGTCTGGGAGCCCCCCACAGATTGTACAGAACGGGACGTCCAGCCCGGCCCCAGCCATCCCCATCTCCCCCACACCGCCCCCCACATCGCTGCCACTCTCCCCTCCTCTGTCCGTGGTCAACTCCAGTGAGATCCTAGTGGAGCTGGAGCGCAACAACAACAACAACACCACTAATGCCAAGAGGAAGGTGGGGCCATCAGGGGGCGACAGCGAGCCCAACCTGATCGACTGTCTCCTGGTCAGCCCCGCGGTCAACACCTTGTCCATCCAGCTCCCTGCTCAGGCCGACCGCGTGCTCGGATGCTTTGCCCTCATCCTCAAAATGCTGTAAGTGCATAAATACAGAGCACTAAGGATTTACCCACAATATTTAAAGCTGGGGTACCGAACTTTCCAACTACAAAAATTAACTATGTAATAAAATCCAAATCTAACTAGTTTCCCACTGTCAATGCAAGTATTTTTGGCCTCTGTCAAATCTTTATGTCTGCCTTTTCCGTAACAAAGTGAAAAAAAGGACCACCCTCACTCACCCTCAAGTTACGAACCTCAGCTTTAAATACAAACAACATATGCTAAAGTATTGGGAAATATTAGATATGCGAATATATATCAATGATGTGTATATGCATTTATGTTTGATTTATGCATGCTTTCAAAGTACAACATGCAATACACTGGCTTGTATGAAATAAGAAGTCATCAAATAAATAGACGTATAACATGTATAATTGGTAACAAAAAATTCCCTTTCCTGTTTCTGGTTTCTGTATTTTTCTAATGCTAGTGGCAACAGCTAAACAAAACCTATAAGTATAGTAGGTCTATGCAAATTAGATACGCAATTAAAAAAATAACGTTAACGTGTTAAAAAAAACAATATTTTGGACCGAACTAGTTTTAAATGTGTATTTCTGTGGGGTAGGATACTATTGCTTTGTCATGGTTTCAGTGATATGAGATTTAGTTTCCTCTGACGTTGTACTTGCATCACAGCCTCATGCAAGTGTCAAAAATACGTCTAAATAGGCTAAAGAGACGTGATTGAATGAATGTGAAACTGGAGCCGAGCATCCGTTATGTGGTGCGTAAGTAATCGTCACAAATGGCCTCAAAACCCTCCAGACATGTGTAGAGTTTGTAAAAGTCGGTTATTACAATTCCTGAATTATAGGCCCTGTCTCACTGTCGTCTCGGTGTGTGTGTTGTTGTCAGTTGTGTTTTGTGAAGGACACGCCCTCTTTCTACACACTGTGCTTGACTCTGCTCATGTGTCTCTCAGGTCGGACTATGACGACTGGAGGCCGGCTCTGGCCAGCCTTCTGCAGCCCATCCCCTTCCCTAAAGAGTAAGACACATGTGCAAACATTGTTGTAGTGTGACTTTTTGTACAATACTCTAGTTGCGTGTACAAATAGTGAGAAATTAAACCAAAAAGATTAAACCTCATTTGCACACACCTCATATGCGTTAGTTCTAAGTAAGTGAGTCAGTGGATATTTTAAGTGGTAAATGTTAAAGTTTATTTCATCCCATCCCGTACCTTTCTAAGTGCAGTCTAAATCAAAGGTTTAGTCCATTACTTGATTCCAGTAATATTCAGTATAATAAAAAAACATACATTTCTGTTATTCAAGTAATAATTTCTATTCTCTTTGGACTAGCGTGAATAAGGATTTACGCCACGGGTCTCCAACATAGACTGTCTTCAACCTGTAGCTCGGGATCTATCAGTAGCTCGCCACCTCCTTCCATGTAGCTCCTTGAATAGCTATCCTTGAATATTTCATAAAGTTTGTTATGCGTACCCCTATTATATATCTTTAATTTTTCAATAACATTTGGCAAGACAAGGCAGAGTTCATAAGAAGGCAACTCAAGGTACTTAACTAAACGTGAAAAGAAACACTAAAGTTAAATACCCATAAAACAATCCAATTCCATTCTACAGGAATTTTAGAGTAACTCTCAGTGGAAAAAAAGGTTGGAGACCCCTGATTTACGCTGTATCAGACATTAGCATTGGCATTAGCATTAGCTTTAGTGATTAGCTAGCGATTTACGCTAGCTAATGCCTGATACAAAGTTGATCAGAGCTTGTCAGGGCACTGGTTGGTGATGCTGCTCCTTCATAGCAATAAACAGTGTATTTAATTTAGTTTACTTTATAACAATCTCAATAAACCCAGCTAATTCAACTCTGCTCCTGTGCAATGCATTCTTGCGGTTGCGTCAATCCTCTGTTCATTGTGAAGGTGTTGGGCAACATAAACAAGTTTCTACTAAACCAATACATCATTTTTATTTATGAACAATTATTATCTCCATTATTGACTATAATTGCAGTCTTTCTGAAAGTGCACGCGGTCTTGGCTCATACCCGGTGATGAGCGCATGTTTTTTGGGGTGGGGTTTGGTTTCCTGGTGGGGTCCCTTGCTGACGTGAATAAGGAATAGAACCAGCGTCCCAGAGGAGCAGCCATGTTTCTCAAGGGGCTCTTGTCTCTCCAGAGGAAGCACTGTAATTGGCCTGTAAGCCCCTGATAGCCCTGCTTCTAATTGTCAGGTAGCGATGATGTGACTGACTTGTTGTCGTGTCTGCGCCCGGCCGCTCACCTGCTGCTCACCTGTGCCACTGTTGCCACGCTGCTGCCTTTGGGTTTCATTATGGAAGGCAACAATAGTCCCCAGTAGCTCAATGAGTCATTCCACACAACAGCACGCACGTACATACACACACAGCACGCACGCGCAATCACCCGTACAAACACACACTAATGTAATCACAATACTAAGAGTACAAACTCAGTTCTGATGCTGATAAATCGGGTTCATTGTCAATGCCACAGTGAAAATATGGGGTGTCCTACTTTTTAATTGATAAAAAAAAAATGGAAATAATATTGTTGTATTTAGTAATATGGTTTGTTTTATCTCGATTAAAAAAAAAAAGTATCTAGTTTTGATTTGTGTGTTTGGAAAGGTACACGTGTGTGTGTGTTAGGAATGTCTAGAATTTAAAAAACGTCTATACTAAAATTTGTATCAAACGCAGTTTAGGAAGATGCATCTTGTCTTTTTAGTAGATTAAGTTAATTGTTTATTTTGTATCAGAGTGTAAAATTACATTAATATTTAGTTTAGTAATTCAAATCACAATAGAATAGAAGCAATAAAAAATGTTCAACCTGTCACACGATTTGAAAAAAAATCTTTAACGTTTGTTATAGTTCCTTATATAAATGTCAAATCTCCCATTTACTTATTTATTTATGTCATAGTCCTCCATCTATAATAATTAAATGCCATTTAATGTTTTTTGATAGATAGCGATAGCGTGCTGTAAACCAGTTCAACATGCAGCGTGAATTTACCACATGCTCATCCATTTTTACACATATTGGAATTGTATTTAAAAAATGAATGTGGTTTATTAGTTAATGATCACACTTTGCTACAATAATCTTCTTTACATTTGTCGATAGTTTATTTACGAACACACTTGCTAAATGTAAGTGCGCAGCCATACTTGATTAGTGATAAGGAGCCTGTATTCCTCTGAAACTGTAATGTTAATTCTGTTGTTCCGTGTCGTCAGACGACTGTGGACTAAAGGGAACTCCCTGACACGCTTCATTAAACTCAAAAACAACTTTACACAGGAGATGGCGTGTAATTCCACTATGCCAATTCTGACTCTTGTCTTTGTGTTTTTCTCTCTCTCTCCAGGGCCCTTGCACATGCCAAATTCACAAAGTAAGTTCCCTCTAACATAATAATGTTTACTTAAGTCTTCACTTGTTGTACTCAAACCTTTTGTGTCTGAATAGGGAGCTGAAGTACGTGATCCAGAGGTTTGCAGAAGACCCTCGACAAGAGGTGAGTGTCTTTACCTTCACGTGCTGACATCAGCTCTACATGAGCTCATAGATGACTGTAATGCTGAGTAATGAATGCTAAATAATGGACCTTTATCAACACGTATGGACGTTGGTCATCTGCCCATTATGGACCAATATCAATGTTTGAACTGTTTGATTCTCTACGCAACCGTTGAATTCACCAACACAGATTAAAGTTCTCCGAGATAACTACAGTTGTGATATAGGGCTCTATAAGAGAATTTGAATAGAATTGAATTGAATTGTAATGGCTGTGTCGGTAGGTTCACTCATGTCTGCTGAGCGTGCGTTCTGGTAAAGACGGTTGGTTCCAGCTGTACAGTCCTGGGGGCGTGGCCTGTGATGACGATGGAGAGCTGTTTGCCAGTATGGTACGTAGGCTTCCCTGGAACGGGCTGTTCTCTATATGTGCTAATATGTTATTCCCAGTACTAAGTGACCCGCCTTCTCTAGGTTCATATCCTCATGGGCTCTTGTTACAAGACCAAGAAGTTCCTTCTGTCTCTGGCCGAAAACAAGCTGGGGCCCTGTATGCTGCTGGCCCTCAGAGGGAACCAGACTATGGTCGAGGTACGCCTGGAGTCAATCATTTAATCATCTTGATTTTTGTAGAGGACCTTTCAACGCAGAATTACAAAAATGCTTCACACCAAATTAAGATCAGACAAAGTGTAGCAAACAACTGGATAATACACACAATATGTAATTAATGTTCAATAAAAGTGAATCAAATTGTAATTAGCCTTTCTTATTGAAGTGTGTGTTTTAGGAGAGTTCTAAATGATGCTACAGAAGTTGTCTGTCTGAGCTCCTCTTCCTCTGGCAGTGCATTCCACAAGCCAATTGTCACTAAATTAAAACCATGACTATTCGAAGTGGTATTCCTCATGAAAACACTATTCAGCAGATGTCATAGCACGAGGGGCATGTGTCACCGAGAACATGCTTACATTTTGTATTGATATTGACAACTCTCTATATTCACTAAAAGTATTTTTTTGAGCGATTCTACAGTCCTAGTTTTCTCTTGAACAAGTTACTGCAATCACTGTCGTGTTATAGAATAGAGACTATAGACTAAATGCACCAGCTTAAATACATTGACGTTTTTAAATGCTGTGGTGTAGATCCTGTGCCTGATGCTGGAGTACAACATCATAGAGAATAAGGACACACAGCTGCAGATCATCTCCACTCTGGAGAGCACTCAGGTCGGTCTGCGCATGTACGAGCAGCTGTGTGACCGGCAGAGGGAGCTCAAGGAACTGGTGAGGCCCTTATTCTTACACTTTCATCAACTCATCATTATACCTACATGTGAAAGCCAGATCCCCTCAGTGTAGTGTAGATCTCTGGAGCTAAACAGGGCAGGGCCTGGTTAGTACTGTGATGGGAGACATTTGGGAATACCAGGTGCCAGAGTGGGGCGGCTGTGGCTGTAAAGTGCCAAACTGTAGTTGTGTCCTTAAGCAAGACACTTCACCTACATTGCCAAGAAGGAGTCTGGTGTGTGCCTGAATGGTTGGGGGTGGTCAGAGAGGCTGATGGCACATACTGGTTGCCTCACTTCTATCAGTGTGCCCCAGGGCAACTGTGGCTACAGTAGTAGTTTGTCTCTACAGTGTATGGAGTGAATGAAGTGTCTTTGAGTGTCCAAAAAAGCGCTGTCTAAAACCGTTTTTTAAAATAATATTATAATTATTGAGGTTGGCTCCTTGATGTGTCCTTTTGTCACCGTATGGCCCTCAGTTCACTTTTTGGACAGACGAGATAACGCATGACATACAGATATCATGCCTGTTCAGATATGAACCCGATTATACACAGGACAGCGTTTAGAAAAGATGATATGAACAACAAAGAATAATAAAATCAGCTCACTTTTCTGTACTGAACTGATTCAGATAAGATGACTTTTTATTCTTAGTTGAGCTGAACTGTAAGAGATATGCAACAATTACACATTTAAACTGAAGAATAGTCACTAAGGATTTAGAGTGGCTCACTTGCACCACCTACTGTCTGCAACTGAACGTGTTTTTCATTCTTTTTCCGCAGCAAAGAAAAGGAGGCCCCACACGCCTCACTCTGCCCTCCAAGTCCACGGTAAACACACACGCACAAGCCTAATCATAAATCATAATTATATACAGTTCCAACTCTGATTTCTGCTGCTTGTTGTAGGATGCCGATTTGGCTCGTCTATTGAGCTCAGGGTCCTTTGGGAACTTGGAGAACTTAAGTCTGGCCTTCACCAATGTCACCAGTGCCTGTGCTGAGCAGCTCATCAAGCTGCCGTCACTCAAACAGCTAAACCTGTGGTCCACTCAGGTACAACGCTCACATTCTAACTCTCATTGTATTTATCGACTCATAGAGACTGTTAATTGTGTTAAAAGCCCTTCAAGGGACAAACATTGCAATTAGCCTTGGCTATAAATGACACTTGTCCCTATCAAAAAAATCAAAACATAAAAATAGATTAACATAAACGAACACAGCAGTTTATATTTGGGCCAAGCATAACAAAAGGTTAATAATAAAAATAACGTTGAGGATGAGAGAGTCAACTTTTTGTATTTGGTTTATTAGATCAAGTATTCAATTATTATTAATTCTAGACATTCTTTCTACTACAGTAATCAATTTGCAATATTTGAACTCACTTTGGCCAATACAAAGCTGAAGTTAAGCCACCAGAAGACCTGCTAAACCTACTTACTAAAATAGATGTTGATTATTTGAAAAACTTGAGCAGTTGATGTTCAGCAGTGCAAGGCCTGGTTAGTGCTGTGATGGGAAACCTCTGGGAACGACAAGTGCCATAGTGGAGCGGCTGCAGCTGAAACCAAGCGGTTTTTGTGTCCTTCGGCAAGACACTTCACACACATTGCTTAGAATGAGTCTAGTGTGTGTGTGTGAATGGTTGGTGGTGGTCGGAGGGGCTGATGGCACATACTGGTTGCCTCACTTCTGTCAGTTTGCCCCAGGGCAGCGGTGGCTACAGTAGTAGTTTATCACCACCCTATATGGAGTGAATAAATAATCACATGTGAAGCGGCTTTTAACTTTTTATGCACAATAAAAACTGATGCATTATTATAAAGTATTATGGTAGTATCTGGGCTCGAACCATTCTTTTAGCTTAGTTACTTTTACTTAAACAGTTCAAAATGAAGTATTATTAAAACTAAACTCAGGTGTATGTTTTTCTTGTACAGTTTGGAGATGCGGGGCTGCGGTTGTTGTCGGAGCACCTGGCCTGTCTACAAGTGTTAAACCTGTGTGAGACGCCAGTCACTGACGCCGGGCTGCTGTCCCTCAGCTGTGAGCAAACCACACATATTTACATTTCATTTTTCATTTTCACTATTCCACGGTTTTAAAATACAGTTAATTTGTTGTGCATATCTTGTGGACAATGGACTCCCCAGGAAGCTATTGTAAACGGGGTCTAACATTGCACAAACACGAATATTGGGATGGAACAGAGAAGGTTTTTAGTTTTCACGCGGTAACAAGAAAGAGAAAAGATGCAAAACAGCCATCCACATCCTCACTCTGAGATCTGGTTTCTATGGTTACACGACATCTATCAATTCATTTTTATTGTTAAGACTATGAAGATTTGAGAAGGTAGAAGTAAAAACGGTTCCCTACCACTTTACATGAACTTATTTCACTGTATTACAAATGTATATCCACTTGATCAATATTTGCTAAATCACTCATAATCAGAAATACATTCTCTTAATCAATAATGGCACTCCATAAACCAGAAATAGTCATCTTTAAAAGGCACATTTAACAAGCCTTCGATGTTCTATGATCTTGTTGTCATTTCCATTTCTACTTTCTTTACTCTGTTTAAAGGCACTATTTAAGATTCTGAGGCGCGTTGTGTTGCCTTGTGTAGAAAAGGCACTCTACAAAGAAAAGTTGATGGATGTATATACTATTATCATGATCATTTCAGGTGTTTCTTTATCAATAATGTGTGTTTGTGTTGCAGCAATGAAGAGTCTGTGTAGTCTGAACATGAACAGCACCAAACTCACGGCGGACACGTACGAAGACCTCAAGGTAACGAGGACTTTCAACTGCTTTGGACGGTGACGACGGCTCATGCTCATGTCCTGTTGTTTCATTCTGTTTCCTGATTCCTGAGAGCAAATAAGTCAAGTGGGGATTTAGTCTCATAATTTTAATCGTAAATATAACTGTAATTAAAAATGTTGAGGCTTGTATTTTTCCCCACTTAGAACTAATGCTTTATGGATTTTAAAAGTGATTATGAGTGTGTAATGTTTATGTGTATAGCGCATTTCACGGACCAGGGTCACACAAAGCATAATGTGTGACCCTGTATTTGTAACGTGCACAGTACCGGGGCCCTGATCAGAATAAGTGGCTTTTATGTGTTAGTTTAATTTGAGTTACAAGTAGGGTTGCCAACCGTCCCTTGAAATACGGAATTGTCCCGTATTATAGAAAAACTATGAGTGTCCTGTATTGAACTGATACAGGACGGCTTTTGTCCCGTATTTTCAGAGCCACCTTAAATGCATCACTCACTCACTGCATGTCACACGCGCGACACACACATACACACAGTAATGATCACAGTTTAAGAATCTACCTTTCGGCCAATCACTGTCAAAGAGGCGTAGGCTTGATCACATACGTTGGTTTAATGTTGACAATCGCCAGCATGGGCCGTGCCCCTAGCACCATCACGGCAGAAATTTGGTAAAGTAGCGTCATTTTTCCAGATTCGGACTTCCGCGGTCAATAGCTCACGAATGCTACTTTGTTAAACAAAAGTAATTGTGCTAAAATGATCATCTCTACGTTGATTTTACAAATTCAATACGCTGTTTTAATGCAGAGAAATCCTCTGAATCCTTTGCACTGCAAGCGCCAAGAAAAGCACTTAGGGACCGTCAACAAATATCCAGCTTTGTAAACGAACAATAGCTTTTACTGAAGCCACTAACCTGCAGTACCTGCACAAAACTCTCAGACAGTATAAATAATGATGACCATATCGAACTGCTACAGACTTTGATTTGTGAGTTTTTTTAATGAATACATGTTTTTCTTTTTTTATTTGCTTTTACAGAATTTGGTCTTTACTGTAACATTCATAAATAATGTATTTTACAGTATTTTTCTTTTTTATATATTTTTTTATTACTAATAAGAATGCATTAAGTCCTTAACCAGCCAAGGAGTTCCACCTATTTATTCAATTTCATTTTTGACTAAGGATTTGTTTTTTTTTTATATGTAGTCAATAAATTACAATCTAAATACTGTGATTATGAAATTCCATGATTACTGTGTAGATTGAAATTAGGACTAAAAACCCGATCCACCCAAATGGTGTCCCTTATTTTTTTGCTCTCAAGTTGGCAACCCTAGTTACAAGTGAGAATGAAAATACAATATTACATTTAGACCAGTGAACATAAACGCATACAATAAAGTTTTACATAGAGCCCATTGTCTGATAATAAACAATATGTGCATTTTAGCATTTAAATGTATTTTTATTCATTTATTTACAATGTTACAGGTTATACTAGATTTAAGATTTGTATATTTACAAGGCAAGCTCAAAATAATTGTTTAGTTTTTCCAAATGCAAATAAACAATTATTCACATTCTAAAACATGAATAAGTTGCATCAAGTTCTTTTTCAATTAAAGGGAAGGTGCCAATTCAAGCCTTTTGCCTTTTAGATTAGACAGCATTGAGATTAAGAATCTATCCTGACAAAAGGATTTTTTTAAAGGAAATGTTGAAAGTAGTTTTTGTTGTAAAAATAAAAAAAATAAAAATAGATATAAAGGCATACATACAAAAAATATAATTATTATGTCTAAAAGTCCTTTCTCATGCTAGCTTTTTTGACACCTTTTTCTGATTTTGAAATAATTTTATCATAGTTATTTGCTGACAAAGAACATTTTACATGAATGAAAGAATATAGATTAAATGCATATTTGGAATTAGTAGGAGAGATGAGGAAGGAGAGAGAGTTTTGTTGCTAAATACAGCTTTCATGTGTTACAGGTCAAACTGCCCAATCTGAAAGATGTCGATGTCCGGTACACAGAGGCCTGGTGATGCCCTTCTAAAAACGTTTCATGATATCAACGTGGGACCAGCCTTCCAAAGTGTCCTGGAAACGGCTGGAGTCTCCATCGATCAATCTGCTTCATCTTTTCTACGTGTCCGAACTAATGGATGTCCCCTTTCTCCTGGACTGGTCACATTCTTGCCCCGTCTAACTCCAGGACAACCCCATCAACTCGTTTTTGCCTTTGTACCATGAAGCCTGGATGCAGCACATTCCAGTTCTTCTGTAGCTCTCGTAAATCTCCTCCTCGGTTTTCTGATCCTCATTTTTTTTCTTTATCTCATTTGGGAAAACGTTTATCAAGACTGTGCCTAACTACAAACAAGATCAGAAGCGGTCATACCGATTTCAATGAACTTTTTTTTGGTTTTAGTTTCAATCATTTAAATAAAGCATATGAATCGGCTGAAGTCTTTGGGCGGCATTCTACGCAACACGGTTTTTTTTCTCGTTTTGTGTGTACATAGTAAAACCCTATCACTATTTAATAGGTTGTGTAGCAGTAGCAGGGTGGTCTGGGACTGCCTCATTTTTAATTTATAACGCGTTCTTCATTTGGACTCGCTAAATACACATCCTGTCGTTTTGTCCGAGCTAGGCTTATTCCTAATTTGATATTCCTGTGACACTTCTGACAAAGAAAGCCAAGCAAGAAGGATGTCTTTGCTCCATGTTTTGAATGGATCTGTGTGCGGATCCATCACCAGCCGAGAGTTTGTATATTTTCATATCCTCTTGTTATATTTGCAGAATACCAGGCTGCACAGTGGGGGGAAAAAGACAGAAAAACAACACTTGCCAAAACATCTTTGTCAACTTTTTATTGTTGTGTCTTGGGGCCAATGAGTTGTAATATGGATCGAGGAACTTTTGAAAGACCCACAGAGACAATGCTGCAACAAAAATGCCTCTAAATCCTACACACCCCAATGTTCATTAACTGGCTTTCAACTGATGGATTTTGTACATATTACCACAGGCTAAAAAGGGACATATTTGTCTACATTCCCATGTACAAGAATGCCTGTTCAACTGCCCTAACTAATGGTTCCTGTCCAAATGAGTTTTTTTGAATAGACTACAAGCTCTGACTGCATCCATTGCATTTGTATTTATTGTTTTTTTCCCTCAAGGTCGAAGCAGCAGAGCACAAAGCCGTCCGCGATGACATTCTATTTATTGGTGCCATGATGTTTTGTGTTTGGCTTTCATATCCTGTCTGATGTATATAGAATGTACATAGCCATCTCCTCTTCAGCCTGGCTTTATCTACTGGCTGCTGATGCCTATCTTTCTAACATGTGTAGTATGCTTGTTTCCTGCGATAGCGTGTGAGGCCATAAAAGGAAAATTCAAAACTCGTGTGGAGAAGCTATGAATAATTATTTATCATCGTAATTTTCTTAGGCTTTCATCTACATTATTTAAGTTTCCCCCCAGCTTTTCCTAACAAGTAACCAGGTTCAGGACTGGGATAAATGTCACTAACTTGGATACAATACATTCCTTATTTTAGATCAATTGGCAATCACGTTACACCACTAGGGCTTACTAGTCGATATTCAGCCTATAGGGAAAATATCAAAATATATATTCAAGCCTGGTTTTCAAAATATTTTCTTTTCTTTTCTTCTCCTTATACGCTGTTGCACTGTTTAAGTTAAGTGCACTGTAATCTATTTTCAAAACATTATCATTTATGTTATTTTATATGTTTGTTTTTCTGTGTTAATCTGCTGTTGTTTTGCATGTTCTCGCATTACGTATTTTTTTCTGTTATCATTTTATTTTGAAAATCTGATACAGGGTCCGATCACTATGTCCCTGAGGTGGGCGTGGTTGGATGCCGCGTGCTCGCTGATTAACTGTTGTGAAGCCAATGAGCTAGCGTTTTGTTTGAACGTCCATTTTAAGCCAATACATTTACACTGACTTTGCTCAGTTTTTTTATCATGATTTGGGGACATGGGAGATTTACTGATTCCTGCCACAAAAGAGGTGCCACTTGTCTAAACTGTGAGCGTTTGAGGCTTTTGAAATACTGTACGTACGTGTGCGGGGCGGCGTCCCATCTGTAACCGGTGGAACTCACTGTGCTTCGCTTCGGTTTACATCCTTTGCGTTCTTTTTTTTTTTTTTTTTTTTTTTACGTTTTTAACAGCCGTAAAAAAAAAAAAAAAACTTTCAGATCCTTATGGTGTCGTCTTAAAAATTCAGAATGAACTGAAATGACTGAAATCCCACAATCCCTTGTCTTTGTCTGGCAGCTGGCTCGAGGCGCCCGTTAGTTTTTAACAGTGTCGACGTTGACCTGCTTCACCTGCTGGGTTATCATAACAATTTTTAATATTATTATTATTGCTGCTGCTCTGTGGCTGTTGTAATAAATAAAAAAACATAAAATAACAACTTATGATGTGAAATAATTTCAATCAGAAATAAATTGTCTGTGAATGTTTCATGTGTGAAGTTTTTTGTTGCTGACAGTATAAATACTATGAATTATAATTTAAGAAACAGAATTCATTTAATATGGAATATTACGGAGTTTGAGTACTCGGATGATCCAGGGAGCTATGTTGTCTGGGGCTTCATGCCCCTGGTAGGGTCTCCCATGGCAAACAGGTCTCGGGTGACGAGTCAGATGGAGCACAGTCCAAAACCTGTCATGGATAGCACGATAACGAGATCAGTGACGTTACCCGGCATCGCGCAGCCGGGCCCCACCCTGGAGCCAGGCCTGGGGTTGGGGCCCGTATCCGAGCATCTGGTGGCCAGGCCTTAACCCCCTGGGCCCGGCCGGGCTCAGCCCGAAAGGACGACTTGGGCATGCCCTCCTGTGGACCCACCACCCACAGAGGGATCCGTGGCGGGTTGGTGCTGAGAGGACTGGGTGGCAGTCGAAAGCAGAGGCCTCGGCAGTCTAGTCCGCACACACAACATCTGGCTCATGGGACATGGAACATCACCTCACTGGGGGGAAAGGAGCCCGAGCTCATGAGGGAGGTTGAGCGATACCGACTAGATATAGTCGGCCTCACCTCCACACACAGCTCTGGAACCCAACTCCTTGATAGGGGTTGGACGCTCCACTTTTCTGGTGTTTCCCGCGGGGGGAGGCGGCGAGCGGGGGTGGCCATTCTCATTGCCGCCCATCTCAGCCGCCACGTGTTGGAGTTCTACGGGCCTAACTTCAGTGCTGAGTACTCGGCCTTCTTGGAGTCCTTGGGAGGTGTACTGGACAGTGCACCGCCCGGGGACTCCATTATTCTTCTGGGGGACTTCAACGCCCATGTGACACTTGGAGAGGGGTGATCGGGAAGAACGTTCCCCCTGATCTGAACCCGAGCAGTGTTCAGTTGTTGGACTTCTGTGCTAGTCACAGTTTGTCCATCACAAACACCATGTTCGAGCACAAGGGTGTCCACCAGTGCACGTGGCAGCTGGACACCCTAGGCCGGAGGTCAATGATCGACTTTGTTGTCGTATCATCTGACCTTCGACCGCGTGTCTCGGACACTCAGGTGAAGAGAGGGGCAGAGCTGTCAGCCGATCATATCCTGGTCGTGAGTTGGATCCGCTGGCAGGGGAGGAAGCCGGTCAGACCTGGCAAGCCCAAGCGTGTAGTGAGGGTCTGCTGGGAACGTCTCGCTGAGCCCCCTGTCAGACGGACTTTCAACTCACACCTCCGGGAGAGCTTCTCCGAAGTTCCGGGGGGGAGGGGGACATAGAGTCTGAGTGGACCATGTTCTCTTCCTCTATCGCCAATGCAGCAGCTCGAAACTGTGGTTGCAAGCTCTCTGGTGCTGGTCCCGGTGGCAACCCTGAACCCGGTGGTGAACACCGGTAGTAAGGAATGACGTGATGGTTCATGGTAGAGCCCTGCACGGGCCTATTATCTGGGCCCGAGCCCGGCCCTGGCCCGAGGGGGTGGCGCCCCAGCCCGGCCCGGCCCGATATGGTTTCTGAATTTTCAGGCCCGAAACCCGCATTAAGCCCGCCTTTTTTTTTTTTTTTGTAACCTCCCATAACAATGTTTTAGCGTAGTATATAGTGCCGCGCACTGATATGAACGCAGACTTAGCTAGAGGGCGGAGTTATACATGGTAGTGATGTGTTGCAATGAGTTCTCTGTGTGCGGAGTGGTGCAGAGTGAACGGCCGCATCTGTATGATGCCCCCGATGCTGCAACACATCTGCACATTACATAAGTAATGCTATGTGCCGTCAATGACAACACTACACAGGACAACAAACACTACAGCGTGATAGAGCGCTATATTCAGTGGGTGCGTTCGTAAATGTATTCTGCCGCTCTGAAAATGAAGAGCCCGAGCCCGGCCCGTGTCCGAGGTCATTATGCGGTCATCGGCCCGAAGCCCGGCCCTCGGGCTGTCGGGCCGTCGGGGCCAAGGGCTCAAGTGCAGGGCTCTAGTTCATGGTACTCCTGAGGTAGCTGTCCAGTACCGGCAGGCCAAGCGTGCCGCGGCCCGGGCTGTTGCAGAGTCAAAAACCCGGGACTGGGAGAAGTTCGGAGAGTCCATGGAGCATGACAATTGGTCAGCCTCAAAGAGATTCTGGCAAACCGTCCGGCGCCTCAGGGGGGGAAGCAGTTCTTTGCCAACACCGTGTACGGTGCGGGTGGAGAGTTGCTGACCTCGACTGGGGATATTGTCGGGCGGTGGAAGGAATACTTTGAGGGTTAGGGTTAGGGTCCTCAATCCCCCCGTCACGTCCGCCGTTCCGGAGGCAGAGGCTGAGGATGTTGGAGCGGATACTTCCATCTCCCTGGCTGAGGTCACCAAGGTGGTTGGCAGCCTCCTTGGTGGCAAGGCTCCGGGAGTGGATGAGATCCGCCCTGACTTTTTAAAGTCTCTGGATGTTGTAGGACTGTCTTGGCTGACACGTCTCTGCAACATGGGTGCGATCCAATTATCGTGGGATCGCACTCCTCAGCCTCCCAGGTAAGGTCTACTCCAAGGTACTGGAGAGGGGGCTACGGCCGATGATCGAATCTCGGATTCAGGAGGAGCCGTGTGGTTTTTGTCCCGGCCGCCGAACACTGGACCAGCTCTATACTCTCCATTGGATACTCGAGGGTTCATGGGAGTTCGCCCAACCAGTCCGCATGTGCTTTGTGGATTTGGAGAAGGCGTTCAACCGTGTTCTCCAGGGTGTCCTTTGGGGGGTTCTCCAGGAGTACAGGGTTTGGGGTCCTCTACTGAGGGCCGTCCGGTCCCTGTATGACCGGAGCCAGAGCTGTGTTCGCATTGCCAGCAGTAAGTCAGACCTGTTCCCGGTGCATATTGGCCACCGCCAAGGCTGCCCTTTGTCACCAGTTCTATTCACTGTCTTTATGGACAGAATTTCAAGGCGCAGCCAGGGCCAGGAGGGGGTCCGGTTCGGGGACCACAGGATTTCATCTCTGCTGTTTGCGGACGATGTTGTCCTGTTGCCTACAACGAACCAGGACCTGCAGCATGTACTGGGGCGGTTTGCAGCCGAGTGTGAAGCGGCTGGGATGAGAATCAGCACCTCCAGGTGGGTGGAGCAGTCCTTCCTCAAGCGGAGGAATTCAAGTATCCCGGGGTCTTGTTCACGAGTGAGGGAAGGATGGAGCGTGAGATTGACAGGCGGATCGGTGCAGCGTTCGCAGTCATGCGGTCACTGTATCAGACTGTCGTGGCGAAGAGGGAGCTGAGCCGAAAGGCAAAGCTCTCAATTTACCGGTCAATCTTCATTCCCTCCCTCACCTATGGTCATGAGCTTTGGGTAATGACCGAAAGAACGAGATCGCAGATACAAGCGGTCGAAATGAGCTTCCTCCGCAAAGTGGCTGGGCACTCCCTTAGAGATAGGGTGAGGAGCTCAGTCACACGGGAGGAGCTTGGAGCAGAGCCGTTGCTTCTCCACGTCGAGATGATTCAGTTGAGGTGGCTCGGGCATCTGTTCCGGATGCCTCCTGGACGCCTCCCTGGGGAGGTGTTCCGGGCACGTCCCTCTGGGAGGAGGCCATGGGGAAGACCCAGGACACGCTGGAGGGACTATGTCTCTCAGCTGGCCTGGGAACGCCTTGGGGTCCCCCTGGATGAGCTGGAGGAAGTGTGTGTGGATAGGGAAGTCTGGGCGTCTCTGCTTAGACTGCTGCCCCCGTGACCCGGCAACGAATGAAGCGGAAGAAAATGAATGGATGGATGGATAATTTAAGAAACAGAATTCATTTAATATGGAATACATACAGGTGCACGTCATCAACTTTGTGTTGTTTAAATAGCATAACATTCAAACAAGTGTATTGCCATTAAAGTTAAAGCTGGGGTAATTAACTTTCAAACTACAGTTTGGCCTCTGTCACATGTTTGATCTGCTTTGTCACACAGAAAAGTGAAAAATGCCTTCACTAAGCCCAAGAGTCGAAAGTGACTCATAGGGCTCATTCTTACAAGTATGAAAAAAATGTGGTTTCTAGTAATATGAAGACAGCATGTGGTCTGATTTCTTCATATTTTACTTTAACAACATTCCCCAGCTTTACCTTTACATAATAGATTTGCTTATGTATTTATAGTCTCAAAGTTTTTTTTATATTGTATAAAAATATTTACATTTTACTATAAAGACTACACTCCTTTTTGTAACATATTTCACACATGGGAGATTTTGCATAATTGTCCAGTCCTCCAGATTCACCGACCGATGCTTCTCAAAAGAACTTGCTGCTGTTGACTTTCTTGTCCTTGGCCCTATAGAACAGACAGCAGTGAGTGAACCATAAACTGAACACATGAACGTGACCATGTGAGGCAGGGGTGTCAAACTCATTTTGGTCAGGAGCCGAATAAACAAAATAGGAACTGGTCGAGGGTCGAAAGAATAGGAAGGTATTTTGACATGACATTTATGTGACATGAGTTTCCCTAATATTCTCTTTTTTTTTTTTTTTTTGAAAACATAATGTGTTCATTGTTAGGATTTAACCAAAACTGGACCAACTACAAAGTCTGCCAAGGTTCTTGATTCTTGATTCTCCAAGGTGACTTTATTCGTACCCATGGTTAGATTAATTTTACAGTTAAAAAGAGAGGGACTTGGCATCTGCACAAATATTTTCATAACAATCAAATTTACACAAATAACAATTTAAAAAAAACACAGAAGTAAAGAAATGGGTTGATGTTTCAGAATAAATAAAATGGGGTTGTTTTCTTGATAAAATAGATTTATTACATGCCTTGGTAGCCCATAACAACCCATTAATGAGAATAATTGAAAATCATTTTAGGGGCCATTTAGGGGTTGTAATTGGCCCATGTGCCTGAGTTTGACGAGCCTGATGTGATGTGTGTTTGTAGCACTCGCCTGCGCTGCCTCTCGCTCGGCTCTCGGCTCAGCTGGTGGGTGAGTTGGGAGGTCTGGGGGGCTCCGGAGCGCTGCAGATTTGAGTGAGTGTCGTACAGAAACGGCTCGTTCGACTCGTCCTGCTTCTTCCTGAGCTGAATGGAGGACGAGTACAGCTCCTCCTGAGTGTTCTACAAAGAAAGACACCAAACAAACCACACTTTTTTATATTCAAGATGATGTCAGCAACTTTAACACGAGTCAATTTGACGGGTGACGCGGACGCGGAGTGGATGGCGCTCTCGTTTCTCGGCAAGAAAGGTTTGAATTCCGGTCGGAACAGGGTCTTTCTGAGTGGAGTTTGCATGTTCTCCCAGTGTCTGCGTGGGTTTCCCGTACCACTAAAAACATGCACGATAGGTATGTTTGTGTGTGGAGTGAATGGAACAGTATCTGAACATTTTAAAGCGCTCCGGGTGACCTTGGTCTGTAAGATGCACTATATAAATATAGATTATAGACTTACTTTAGTTTTGTTAGTGTAATAATTACTTAACATATGTACATTTTTGGACTGACTTTTTCTGTCTCTATAATATTTCTATGACATTCATTTTATCAAACCATCTTTTACTTTTGAAATGAGAGAAGTGCTACCTTGACCTCCCAGAGCAGAGCCAGTACTAGTTACCATAGCAACATAGTGTTTATTGGTACCAGAAACATTGTATTATAGTGTCTATGTGCTTACTGTTGCCTGTTCAATCTGAATGTGGACCAACAAAGAGGCCAACTCCACGCTCTCACTGTAGCCATTCTTCAGAGGGACCGAGCGGTAACCTGCGAACATGTGCGACATCATCTTTGAACACTGCGGTTCTGAATGTAGAAGAACAAACACGTGATCATTCCTGACCTGATCGAATGCCTTTGACAGGAAAAGTGGCCTGTGCGAGGAAGTTGGGGTCTGAGAACATGTCCTCCTCGTTGACCACAAAGCGCAGAAAGGTTATATCTGGTTCGTAGACCGAGAATACGGCAGGCTCTGTAGATGCTTTCCACACCGGGTTCAGGCCATTATCACCTACAGAGTGTAATGTTAGTAATGCAACACAATTTCTATGATTTTAAAGTGTTCAGTTCTCCCAAAACAACCAATGCATACTTTGCCTTGAAATATCATATAGAGCAGGCAAACGATTTTCAATTATTATTATAAAAGATGGTTATGGGCTACCAAGTCATGTAATACATAGTCTATTTTCTCAGGAAAACAACAAAATGTAATTTATTATAAAACGTTTACACATCAAGATAAATAGTGGGGGCGACAGTGGTTCAGTTGGTAGAGCATTGGCCTTTGAGCCTGAAGGTCGTGGGTTTCAGCCCACCATAGGAACTACTTCACTCCTCCCACTGATGAATGCTGCCGATGTGTCCTTGGGCAAGACACTTAACCCCACTTTGCCTGAAGCCCCCACTGAAAGATCTAGGCTCCTGTGGACTCACCACCTGCTGGAGGATCAGTGAGGGGCTGGTGCTATGTGGACTGGGTGCAGCTCTGACTGCCACCCCCCCGACCCAGAAATGGATTAAGGGGAAGAAAATGGATGAATGGATGAGCCACGACCAGTTCCTATTTAGTTTATTTGGCCCATGAATGAAATGAGTATGACACCCCCGATATAGAGTGAATAGTGTGTTAGGGTTAGCTCCTGGTGTTTTCCTGCTTGGTTAGGATAAAAACTTGCAGCCACACCGGCCCTTTCTGAAACCAGTTTGACACCCCTCTATTCTATAGCTCCGTTTCCACCGACAAACCTACTAAGATCTGATAGAGATTGTCCAGTGCTGCTGGAAGATATGGTTTTTCTCTACTGTGGGACCACGGTTCTCCTACCCTAACCCTACCACTGGTTTGTTGTGGGTAGGTTGCTAGGATACTAAAGCGCAATAGAAACACAGGCGAGTTAAGCAGAGAATAGTAAAGAGCTGGTGGAAACGGGGCGTATGTGACGGCCACTTTTCTTACGGTACACTGCAGTCTTGAACCGGTCTTCGTTGTGTCCACACAGCTCTATCTCCACAAAGGGACTGGCGATGCTGCGTCCAGGCTTGGGCAAGTGTCGGGCTCCCATCACCTTCAAACGGAGACAAAACGGGAGAAAAATGAAACTCCGATTTGTAAAGACGCACAGGAAAAGGAGACACTTACCCTGACGTTGATGTGGAATTTGACATTGCTCTTCTCCTGGTGTGGATTGTACTTGTCACAGCGCATTATCTCCGGCTGCAGCACGTAACCGGACTGTCCGTTCAGACTAAAGAGGGCGCTGTTCAACTGGGTGTATTTATCTGAATGGAAGGGAATGTGATGTCACAATACAGCAGTTTAAACATGTAGAGAGAAGATCAGCGTATGCCATTGTACTTGGTTAATCCAGACTTTTTATCGGAGGGAAAATGATGAGATAAATTCACAACATTGATTCAATTATTGTCAATTGAAAGGGCTGTTGCTATTTCTAGGCTTCATAAAGTTGCAGTCATGTGCCATAACGACATTACGAAGAGACGAGTGTTGAAAAATGTGGTAGAGGGCAACTTAGAACTCTTTCCTGGTAACTGTCAAAAGTCAAACTTCGAGCTAATTTCTCTGTAACTCCTGGGCCAATCAATATGAAACAAAACAAAAATCACAAAAAAGTCACAACATTAACAAATAAATACATAATAATCAACAAATGAATATATAAAAAAAACTTATTGAAAGGATGAGATCATATTCAAAAATATAATTACCACAAGTGTAAACAGGACAGGACTGAAAAAAGTCAAATGTAGTGACTCTTCTTGGCGACATACCTCCAGTCTGGTAGTTGAGGGCCACCATGTGACAGCCCAAAGCCCACATAGGATACGGGTCAAAGTTGGATGATTCCACCCGCTGATTTTTTGGGTAGATTCGACTCAGAGCTTTGCGATTGTATTGAAGAAACTGCTTCGTACAACTTTTCCCCGGAAGTTTGTTCTCAGCAAATGAGCGGACCTCCTTGTAACTGTATCTGTCTGGAGCAGAGACTTTGTCATCAGAATGTTTACTTGATCCAATATAGTTAATACTTTTCTTTTACCAAATCTGTCCTTCTCTTTGCTCCGCGGCTGGCAGTACACAACCAGGTCTGACATCTCCATGGCAACCTCTGCCTTCTTCTCCACCACCTCCTGCTGCTTTATCTGATCACACAAAATGTCACATCTGATCTGACCCACAAAAACACTTGAAGCAAATAGACAATTGTGTGATCTATTCCTTATTCTGTTAAATCATTGACAGTTGATTCTTCCATAATCCAGGATGTACATATGTAGTTTGTTTGTGTGCTTTTGTGTCCTTGTTCTGTACTATTTTATTGTGATATGAAAGGTTTTATTGTAGTGATTTTTGGCGTGTGGTGCTACTAAGCTTCTAGCTTTAGCCCGCTCCTTTTGAGCAGAATGAATACTGTTCAAGTAGATAAATGAACTAATTAATAACGAAGAAAATAGATTTGGGCTAATTCCACTCTATTCACTACAACAAGTCATAAAAACTGAGGTAATAAATGCTTGAATGTATTTTGACAAGATTTCCAATGGGAAAAAGCCATTTAGTCTTATTCAAGAGCTGTTGCTTTATTTTCTCATTTAAAGGATCTTGTTAAAACGAGATAATTCTGCTAGTCCTATTGGCAAATTTTGTTTTAAGGCAGTCATAATGTGCTCAAATTGTTGACTTTAGTTTTAATCACTTTTTGCAGTGTGAATAAGCAGCTGTACAGGTATAAGAATGGGCCTGACCTCTTGCTCCCTGTGGAACTGCTTGCTCATCTCTCTCTGGGTGATGTCCCAGGCCACTTGGTACCACTCAAACAGCTCCTCCACCGAGTCGGCCGCAAGATCAAACTGCAAGTTGTCCTGATCTTTATCTTGTAGTGTCAGCACATGAGCCTTTCCATTTTTACCACTGCGCACTGCAAGCAAACACAACTTCACATTCTCCAAATGCAAAGTACGAAAGTATGCAACAATATTTTACTTACGATTTTGTATATTGCATTGAGAGATTTCAACAATCCCTTTGCACAATCCGCCTAAGGGATTGTCGTCGTTGTCCTGAATACAAGCAACACATTTTAGTCAGCGTTGTTAGAGACATAGACTTTCTTTCTGTATTTACTTCCTGTAATGGAATTTGAATATGTTTGATTACCATAATTTTGGACTCAGCTTTAGAGTTGTTAGACACCTCTTCTACGTAGTTGGATGGAAAATAAAGTTGTAGCTTCCCGCCATAGTCACCGATCCACCTGAACGAAAAAGGTATGCATTACACAACATGTAGTCAATCCACTTTATTTGTATAGCGCATTTTATAAAACACGTTTCTGCACAGATAAAAGTAACACATTAAAATATGCAAGTCTGCCAGCATTAAATAAAAACAATTTGGAAAATGAAATAAAGAAATAACAATGAATAAATAAACAAATAAATGAATATATACATTAAAAAAAACAACAAATAAAATAGACAACACACAACTCATGCGGTGTTAAAAGTCAAAGAATAAAAGTGGGTCTTAAGACGAGACTTAAAACATTCCAATGAGGAACTTTGAGGAATGTTTTATGTGATTAGCATTTTTTTTTTAATGTATATAAAAATTATCACGACTTTATGATGAATCGACCCAAATAAGAAAGAGTTGCGCACCATCCGTCATTCTCTTTGATCACGTTGTGTATCAAGGCTCCTTTATTGAAGCTGAGCTCGTCCGGTTTCCTGGCCTGGTAACTGTACAGAGCCCTGACTGTGCTCTGGGGCTGATACACAAACACTTGTATGTTAGAGAAGAAAGCAGACACAAAACATACACAACATTTTCATTAGGACTCACCATTGCCTGTTCGATCTCATTTGGTTCAACGTAAGTCTTGAGGCCGTACAAAGAGGCACAGTCTTTTGCCTGTCATAATCATAGTTAACCTTTATCATATTGACCAAAACCATTGTGATGAGTGCAGTGTCACTCACAGTGCTGAAGCGGGCCACCAGGTCAGGGGTGACTGGGTAACGTAGTTTAATATTTCGATACAGAGGCTTCTTCCTAAAGTAGTTGACCAGCTCCACCAGGCTTTCGAACTCGGTGGTGGTTCCCAGGAGAAACATGTTTCCTTCTCTTTGGATTCGACAGTGTTTGACTTTATCATCGCCCCTGCAATAGCATTACATCTGTACTGAAAAACATCCGAAAAACTCTTATTTTACTCACACATAACACATTTTTATTTACACATGTATTTGTATTGATTTTATTTACGCAATTCATTTATTGACAGCAAGTACAATCTGTGTGTTGCTTTTATTTTCTTTTGGCCATCCCTGCCTCCTACCTCAACCGGACCGGTGGGCAGGGAGGCACCTTCCTCATTTTGTCTCTAGACGGACATAATATGATGCATTGATATAGAGTTAGGTTTAGCTGAGGATAAAGGATGAATACTATAATATCTATTTATCTATCTATCTAATCTATCTATTAATCCCCCACAGGTTAAGACAGGTAAAAAAGAATTGTACTAAAAACTCAGAGAAAAAACTTAATTGTCTGATCCAAGATTGAACTCTGTAAATTCTGTTATATCTTTATTGAATATAACCCTATTCCTCTGTGCGTGTGCTGTAAACAAAATAGAAAGTGTGTGATAGGGTAGTGGCAAAATACTACTGATTGCAAGGTTGGATTTAGTGAATGGTCTTTGCTGACAATTTTTTACATAAACATGTAATGCTCGTGGTCAAAATTCAGCATGTATATGATAAAAGAAAGCTCTCAAAATCATATACCGGAACATATTGTATTTCCGAAACCCAGAGGGAAAATGGATGTGGAATTGTACTTCCGGAGGTGGGTGGTCAGTGGCACGGCCTGCTACAACGTATAGCCATTTATTATGATGATTACAGTACTTGTCGCACTAATCTGCACACCTGTATATAAGCACAGCAGCTAAAATTGAAGAGAACATATATTTTGTTACATAAGGCATATAGGCCAGCAATGAATTTACGCTGTTGTAAGTAATCACAACATGATTTAATGACGAGGCGTTGAAGGCACTGTTGCTTAATAAGTACAAGGACCTCTGAGGGGACAGACTGTTAGCATAAAGCTGCTAAACCTGGATGGAGGTCAAAATAATAAGTTTTGACAACATGCATCTCCTTGTGTCAGCTCTCTCTGCTGTTTGCAGCATCGCTCTATAGGCGGCAGAATTTAAAGAGTGGCTTAAAGTCCGGTAAAGTATATCTGGAAACAGGAAATAATGTATATAATGATGCGAATAAAATGTTGCTCATGCGTGTTTACCTAAAGGTGATGGCGTAGGAGTCTGGGTCTCCCTCTCGCTGTCGAATGAGAAACGCTCCATCTCTGGGAATCCTCAGAAGGTAATCCTCGGCCTCCCCTCTGCTCAGGTTACTGTAAAACCACCTGCCTCCGGCCAGCAGTCACAGAAACAAAATCATATATACAGTACATGTTCATATGATGTATAACCACACATTTAGCTCCACCAGAGGGTAATGTTTTCACCATGGTTGTAGCAAGATGAAAACAAAAATTACTATCCTATGCAAGTGCTTTTATAGTGTGATATTAATTGAAATCATTCTTTGTTTTTAAAGTTTGGCCAAGTTTATAATGTTTCTTATATTGGACATTAAAACAAAACAAACAGGCAGAATACATCTAAAATCCGCATAATTTTTTAAAGAAAAGTCCCCACTTTATTTTTTTTGTAGATTTGGAGTTCAATTTGCTCTGTATACATCCCAGAATGCCACACTTTAAAGCTAGGGTACCAAACTTTCACATGGAGACACTTTACTGGGAGAAGTATGGTAACCTGAGCACTATCCTCTACTCTTCCTCCTCCTGTCATCGTTCTGACTTCTGTTCATTACTATTCACCCATAGTCTGTTTCAGGGCGTGATGATGGGAGCCCTGGCCATATACCCCTGGGAGCCTCTTCAGTCCTGCATATAGTCCTGATATTTTTTTTGTTTTTTTGAGTCGTTCCTTGCCAGTTCAGGAAGGTCTAAGGACAGTGATTTAGGGACATTTATTAACATTCAAGAACATTTGTCATCCCGCAATACCATATGGACCAACGGCTCCTATATACTGTATGTGCTCATTATTATTATTAATGCATTTCCTGTGTGCAAACTGTTTGATTCTCTGATCTGTTATTGGCAAATCAAAAAACTCTGTAAAGCCCTCTGAGACGACTGATTTAGGGTTATACCAAAATACATTGATTTGAATTGAACGTTTTGGCCTGAATTGTTCATAACATTTTAATTTGACGAAGACTAACCCAATGTTCTGTGGAAGCAAAGCAGTAATGACAAAAGTGACGTGACGTGTGCATGTGGCAGACCGTTGCTGTTGGTGTGGATTTGATTGCGGCACAGCGTCCGTGAGGCGGAGCTCAAAGTCCTGGCAGCGGAGAGGGTTGTCCCTGTAGTGCTGGATCAGGCAGTACACGTTGGGGAAGTGCAGGTTGGGAGTCAGGTAGTAGAACGACGACCCCCCTTCTGTCCCAGAGCGAATTCGACAATGCTGGACCCTCCCACCACGCCTGGGAAGAAAGTCAGCACAGTCAACTTATCCACGTGAAGTATAAGATGTGTCTTTGTTGTCTAAAAAGAAAATATCATGTGGACGAGCCCATGTTATTTTACTAAAACAACATTAAATTTCATGTTAAAAAATTATACTGTGAATATGCTATTTGCGTAAATGATGATGATTTATTATTGAATATATGTTTCATTTTTTCTAACCCTAACCGAAAACGCCAAAAACTGCCAATATTTTCTATGGATAGAAATGAAACCAAGGTATAATCCCCCTTCCATAACTGATAATAATCAAATTTAGAGATCTGTAATAAAACAAACATTTCCAGACAGACTACATGCAAAATCTATATTGACTTTTGGAAAATATTTGCAGTTTGGAGTTCTGATTTTGTTTGACAACACACATCTTTATTCTGATATTTGATAGTTAGATTTTTAATTCATAATTTGGCTGACACAGAAACACAACACAAAATCTCGGTTGTTTTGTCCCCTGTACATTGGATCCTTGTAAATGTGAACAATTACCAGAAAGAGAGAGTGTAGTCAGCGCGGTAAGTGTTGCTCTCTCGCACTAAGAAGGTTCCGTCCCGCGCCCCCGTCTCAGCGCAGTAATCCTGGATGAGGCGCTCGGCCATCCCCCTGCGATCTTTCAGACCGCCATGGAACCAGGGCTCAAAGGTGTGCATGTCCTGGTACTGGAAAGATAGAAGCGAAACATATTCACTAAACCTATGCAAATTGCTAGTCACACTTAAAGCTGGGCTACCTAACTTCCAAACCATAAAACAAAAAATAATGATTTATATATACATGACACACAGATACATGCATGTGTCTTTGGCCTCGGTCACATCTTCATAACAGACAGAAAAAAGAAAAAAAAGAAGGACCACCCTCACTCAGCCAATCAGCTCTCAGTCCAAAACATCATATAGTGACTTACAGGACTCTTTATAATGTGCAAGTATGTACAGTATATGAAGAATATTAAGTATGCAAAAGAACAAATGTTTTCTAATATGAGGATGTTGTGGTTTGATTTTACATTTTACTTTTACAGACTAGTTCTGTTGGGACCATAGACTGTATATATTAACGGACAGAGTCACGCCTATCTCCGCCGTTCTAACTAATGGGCCAAAAAATGTGCTCTACTGGAGCAATGCAAAATGGCCGCGAGTGGTCCCGCCCACAAGAAAATTGTGAAAAAACGCATCTGTGCATGCGTCAGCCGGCGCAATTCATTTGAACGAGAGACTTCAAAAATTCACAGCAAGTAAACTAGAGTGGACCAAAAAAATCCACCCCCCTCAGCATTGACACACATGTGGAACGGAGCTTTGGGCCAAGAGCCAACTTTTGGACCATCCTGTAAAGACGTTTACGAGAGGTCTGCCAATGCTATATGTTAGCATTGGCTAATTCTACTTCTGGGTCCACCCCCATCGGCCCGGGGTGGTATTGCAAGCATGTCAGTGCACGTCATTTTGGCCACTTTTGAGCAGGGACCCTCCCCCACTGGTTGGGACAAGCAAAAGGAGATCTTTATGAATAAAGTTAGGGACGGCAAAATTTTATATATAGATATATTTGACTAGGATAGATATTTTCTCACGTGACCTAGAATGAAGAGCATTCCTGACTTATTACTGTACAATACGTACATTTGCAGATTTAAGGCAGGTAAGTCATTTTCTTACTGCATTGACTAAAACTTCTTGCAAATAAAAAAAATATATATAATGAAAATTGGCAGATACATCCTCAAACTAAAAATAAAGGTAAGAACTTGGATTTGTCATTTTTCACAGTATAAAGGTTTTGTACTTCATCCAAGTGAAAATACACATTATTCTTTAAATGTATTCATACAAATGTGTTTTCTGTCTCACCTTTCTCGGGTCTTGCTCCTCCTCATACTCCTCAGCATAGTAAAGCTTGTCATCGGAAATCACGCAGTAGTGCTTGTTCCATCTCTGTAAAATTGCCGTTTAAAATACATTTTACATTACACATGATTTGTTAAACATCAATTCAAAAATGTTATATATACTATACTATCTTCTTATATACAAGACACTGAATGAGTTAGAATAAAGTTATAAAACAGAAGTACTTCCTCTTTCCCTACAGCCTGAGTGACTGGTTTTCTGTGTTATTGAGTAGTAAATTACAGTAAAGACAGTTCAAGCATGAACAGGAAGTAAGATAACAAGTACTAAACTGCGCACATTGTTGGAAAAGTACTGCAAGTAATTCAATTCCCTCATTAAGAAGATCAGCATTATATTCTCTGCTCTACATGAAGTATTACAGGTACTATATCACTACATTATTATATTGTGTTAACGGTTCACATTACCTGGTCGACAGGATCCCAGATTTCCAGGTCTCCACATTTCTCCCCTTTTCGGACGTCTTTGAACCCCCCTGCTCCTTCCACATTGAGTTTCTTGTGCTGGAATTATAAGAAGCATCGTTACAGAGGCAAGAGATGCATCCAAATGTATTCAAATTACCTCCTCATACTCTCAACTTTCCATTGACTTTTGGTGGTATCACCTTCATGGCTACTTCAGATGCAGATTTTAACAAAACAAAAAGGCGCATGCTCTTGGTCATATTCCATAAGTTTTAAAAAATGATAATGAGTTATAGTATGTTGGTGCAATATTCAGAAAATGTCTAACATATAAAATTAAAGGTAAAGTCTCAACAAACTAAATCTAAAAGTTCACAAATAGTATGTTGACGCTCACTGTTCTGTCTATGAATTTTGGCTCTATAAGAACACAAGCTATTCCACTAATTATTACCATTGCAAGTAAGTAAGTACACACAAAGCACACAATTCCTATTGTACATGTTTAAGTGGAGGAAACTGGAGCACCCGGAGGATACCTATACAGACACGGCGTGACCATGGAAACATGCAAACTCCACTCAGAAAGACCCCGTCTGGATGTAGAATCCAACTCGGGACCTTCTTGCTAACCACTCAGCCACAGTGCTGCTGATTGCTAATTAGTTCTTATGAGCTCCTCATCAGCCTCCTGTACGGTTTCAGAGGGCCAGTCCCACATTTTTGATAAGCTAAGGAGCTCCTCTGACTGATTCAGGATCTGGTGTCACAAGTCATGTGGGTTTGAGTCTGCAAATAATGTGCTAATAATGCCTGAATGGATATTGATGGCAATAGGAGAAAGTAAAGACAGTGTTTTTTTTTTTTAAAGTAGGATAAGGTATTTTGAATGAATTGCCCATTATAACCCTTTAACCTTGAGAATGATCTTGCCCTTGAGTTGCGTCGGAGATGGGAGTTGCTCAGCGTTTTGCTCCACAGACTCGGTCAGCAGCTTGTCCCCGAAAACATCTCTGAAGGTACGGGCCATGTGCCGCTGCTGCTCTAAGGGACAGTGCTCCTCTATGGACAGGATCAAGGGAAAGCTGAGGCACACACAAAAGGCAATTAGTCATAGAAACCTTTGCTCGGGTTGTCGACTTAGTTATTAGTAATATATTCCCAATATCAACTTTGGAATACAGCTCTAGAATGTGTTGGACTAAAACCCTGATCGTAGTCTTACTCAGTTGTAACAAAAGCGTGCTCATTGATGGCTTTCACCACATCGTCAAACTTGATCTTGGTGGTCCTGCTCCAACCGTGGTATATGATGGGCTCCCCAGGGCCCTCCCAGCAGTCCACTGATAACATAAACAATAAAATAAAATAGGGCACATTTACTTTTTAACACTTACGCCGTGATCTGTACAAAGCGGTTAAAGGGACTGTATGTTTTAAATGACATCTACATCTTTCATATGTGTCCCAATAATAGGTCAACAATCCAATCATGGAGACGAATATGCCACTCATTGGGCTGCAAGGATATTCTTCATATTCTTTTTTTAAATAACACAATTTGAAGAGCAGCACACATGTATTTCAATAAAACCAGGTACAAACGTGTAATATAGACGTATACTTATACATAGGCCTATTCTCTCTAATCCAGGTTCAAAGCAGTTCTGTTTGTGGTGCATACAACTGAGGGATTTTATCTTAATGTACTGTGATTATTTATGATTATTTGTGTGACTTAGCCTGGTCGTACCACACCATTGTACAAATTACATGATCATTGACCGGCGTTTACAGAGGGCTGGGGCCAGGCTATGTGTGACTGTCTCTATCTTGTTTTGTTGCCTTGTGTATGAATTGTGCTATTTATAAATAAACTTGCCTTGCCTAGACATATGATGCAAATTTTAGCAATATTTCATTATTTTCCGTCAGTTTTTTTCATTTATTTTATTAACTTATCGCTACATACAGTCTCTTTAACAAATGACCTATTCAAACCAGGAAGTATTGATGCTTCTCAGGTCATTTAAAGTTTTTTTGTGCACAGAAAACTCACAGCAAACATTTCTAATTTGATAAGGTAATGTTGAGGATGACACATTACTCACACTCCAGGCAGCGGCATCCCCATCGCAAACACCGGACGTACGCCTCCGGGGACGACTCACTCCTCAGCTGATCCCCTGTCAGGTAACTGTGGACCAACACAATCAGACAAAACAGTTTTAACCCTTTAAAGTTTTGGATTTTCTAAGATGTTGTTTTTCCTGTTTTTGAATACAAGTTTTTTTATTAAATTAGGCCTTTACAAATGGTTGGGATGCAATTTGATGGTAAAAGTGCCTAAAACCAAGTGAGATGCCCCAAAGAGGGAGATTTCAGCTCCAACTTCAGCTTCAAGAAGTGACTGAAATAGTGATTTACCAAATGGCTGAGGAAACAATTAAAGGGTTAATAGCATGATGACGAATGTGCCGGATAATACACTGATTAAAACAATATCTTAAGTAAGTAAGTAAGTAAGTAAGTAATATTTATTCATAGCACATTTTTACAGACCAAGGTCACCAAAAGCGCTTTACAATGTTCAGAGTTCAGATATTGTTCCATTCTCTCCACACACGGTGAAGACAGAAGAGAGACGCAGAGCACACTGGCGCATCAAAGCCCCCAAACAACTAGCAATTAACAATAATATTAACAATAATTTTACATCTTTATCGCACTTTTCTAAAACAGTGTTTACATTAAGCAATATAAACATAACAGTCAAAATAATGTAAGAAATCAAAAAGAAATTCAGGATATTAAAGCAGACAGACAACAAGGAAGACTATGTGGGAAAGTGCAATACATTAAAAACAGACAGTTATGGGAAGGCCATTCGATAAAAGTGGGTTTAAAGAAGTGATTTAAAAGAGGTTACTGGTTACTGGCTAGCACGCCTCATCTCCTCGGGCAGGTCGTTCCAAAGCCGAGGAGCACGGACACGGAAGGCTCGGTCACCCTTCGTTCGGAGCCTTGACCTCGGAACAGTCAAGAGGGACCTGCCCGAGGATCAGAGGCTGCAGGGGGGCTTGAAGGGGGTTATAAGTTCATAAATATAGCTGGGTGCCAGACCTAAATGAGCTTTAAAAGTGATTGGTAAAATCTTAAAATCAATTCTCAAAACGCACAGGGAGCCAGTGGAGGGACGCTAAAACAGGGGTAATGTGCTCCCTTTTGTTAAAACCAGTGAGAAGTCTGGCTGCTGCGTTCTGAACCACTCATTACATTCATATCTAAAATACATGTTTTTAGCGGTAGGGGACACCGGAGCACCCAGAGGTAACCTACGCACGGGGTGAAAATTCAAACTTCACACAGAAAGGCCTGGAGGTGGAATCGTACCCAGGACCTTCTTACTGCAAAACACAAGCTCTACTTTCGCTTTATTTACTTAGTTACTTACTTAATATTATTCAATGTATTATTTTATTATGGTTATTTGTCATACATACGTGTTATGTGAGGAGCTGATCCAGTAATGGGACAGAGGGTTGTTCATGTCTAAGTGACGAATCTCAGTGCATTTCTCGTCCCAAATTGAGTTCTCTTTCGAAAACAGAAAACTCAAGAACTGCCAAAAAATAGCACATAGATAAAATCTAATAATATGATATGAATAATAACCACAGGACGTAAGCTGTACCTCGCTTACTGTGAACTCAGGATCATTGGTTTTCCTCATCGTATCGTCAATGAACGTCGTCATAAGTTCTCGGACCCAGTTCAGATCGTGCGCCCTTGTTTCCTAATATGGACAGCACAGGAAGTAGTTATATAAATGTGGGAAGACATTTCTAGTTTCAAACTGGTCCTCAAAGGGCTCATGTGGCTACAGGGATTTCGTTCCCACCAAGTAAGGGCACACTAGACCCCCCCCCGCTTCCTCAAGTGAGTCCAGTCTCAACCTGAAGGCTTTATGAAATGGGTGGAGTCTGGTTTTGCTTGCCACATCGGCTCTGGTAGATATAAGCAAACATGTTGTGTACAAAAGGATGTACTATTACTTATGAAAGCATAATAATAATTATGTTTCCAATGGATAAACTCAGTGTTTTTCAACTAGTACTCCTTGAGATGGTGTTTTGTGTACCTTTGAAATTATCCAATAACACCTACTAAATACATAGAGTCCCTCGCTGTGTATCATGGTTCACCTTTCACGGCCTCTTTGTGGGCCTCTTTTGCTTTTCTCGCTACCTCAAGCTCCTGCCTCTCAGGGCAGTGTTCTCTGCAGCTGTATTTTACAGGGTACGCATGGCTCTTGACAGCTGCAGCAGCGCTAAGACCTACAGCAAGTTTGATATCCCCGCGATTACACAGAAATCTGTATAAAGTGTGTGGTGAGGGGTTAAACCTAAAAGGTTAACATAAGGTTCATTGTGTATAGATTTGTGCAGTTTTTTCAGTGGCCATGCAAATGAGGAGCTATAAGATATAATGTAAAATCATATAGGGATGATGTAAAAACATTAAATATTTCTCACTTTCTGGTTGAAGAGGAGAAACCGTTGAAAGTCGAGCAGCAGAACGACAGAGGCATCAGGTTTATCTGTGTTTCTGTGCGAGAGATCAAATACATCGTCAGATTCAGTCACATCAAAAGCCTGAGTCAGCACCATTAACTGTTTATCAGAAGTGGACTAAGAAGCCGAGTTGAACATAGGCGAGCACAGGAAGGAAACAGCAAAACCAGGTACACACAATGTACAAGAGAACAGAGTCCAATTACCCCAACATAAAATTACATGATTCCGTCGTCTTGAATTCATCCAGAATCTGAAAATAAAAAGATTGAAATGAAGCAGCAAAACTACTCTTTGTTTCATGATTGTTACAATTTGACTCACTTCATTCTGTTCAAACATTATGAGATTGTACAAATTATGAAACTGCACAAAATCCAAGTGATCTTTCTTTACTCCTGCATCCTACAAACCAAAAATCAGGATAAAAGTCAATAAAGATGAGGATTTACAATAAAACAGTTCTTAACCCTTTAGGCGCCAAAGATGCAGAATCACTACACAAACTCCTACATCCAGAACACTTTCTATACAGCGACTTTGCTTCCCACAACCCCTACATTTTCCTTACATATTTCTTTCTATGTATTTCCATTTTAAGCTCTTAAGTTACAGGGTGTCACCTTTTATCTATTTCACAATCCATTTCTCAACAACAAGAAACGCTGGCACCTAAAGGGTCAAGGCAAGATTATTTGTTAAACACAGTTCACACGAGGCAACTCAAAGTGCTTGACAGAACAAGAAAATAAACATTAAAATCACACATGGCATAAAAATGATAATTAAAAAAAAGTCACTTTTGAACATTGTCAGAGTAGAAGTCTGTCTTAAATACCTTAACTTTGTCCTTGAGAGAGCGAGTGCTGGGGGCTTTGTAGTTGAGCAGAGAAAGCAAGGCCTTTACCTCCTTCAAACTGATGCTAAAGACAAAGGAAATGTTTTATCAGAAGATTTTTTTGTTTGTTTGCACCATGTTTATTCAAAACTTTCTTTAACACATCTTTGAAAGTGGAGAAAACAAACAAAGCAAACAATGCAACAATTAAATAATAAATAAAAACACCTGTCCACATGACTTAATAGTATTGCACACAAAAAACAGGAATGCTCTCATTATAAGGATAATACTGAGAAATACAAGTAAATGTGCAGCCCATGTGATTATGACGATAATGCAATGCTAGAAAAGGATATTGAATAATCCTTACTCCCAACAATAATAACAGTTTTCCTCTATATTCTTCTAAATTCAATTCCATTCTACTACACTGCAACGTCCAAATCTTAGCTGATGGTGGTTTCGTTTATTTTAATCACACAAGACATGTAAGGACAGTACCTGTTGGTTTTAGTCTGGTTTACAGAGTACATCTGCTTCCTCAGCCAACTAAAATAAAAAAATTCACATAGATTAAAATGCAGGCAAACTAACATTCACTGCAGAGCAAGGTCAGGTGACATTGCACAAAACAACAAATAACAAGTCAAAAATCACTTATTTTCCCCAATTAAAATTGTTTTTGTTCGTTCGATTTACAGAAAATCTGAACCACTTTGACCATTTTCATCTTATCTTTGGCGTTGCTGTGAGTCATTATTTGACTGAGAACAGAGAGAGTGAGGCTGGTCCTCTCTTTCTCACTTTTCTGTCTGAAAAAGCTGATCTTAAGATTAGGGTTTTTCGCGTTAACGCACATAAATTAAATGTTTTCATTAATTGCGTTAAAGAAATTGACGCATGTTGCGAAGGACCCGTCCATACATCCCATAAAAACACTCAGAATGATGCAGACACATGCGTGTATGAGATGGCAACAGAGCAGGTCGGCCCCATGGCCCTCTGGGAATTCAATTTTTAAAAGAATACTCGCGTCACCGCGAAGCACTTGCTGTTGTTTGCTATGAACTCGAACGAGATTGCGCAGCCTCTGTGGCCGCAGTGTTCTGACCCGGGGCAGCTGTGGCCGCTCTAGACAGCGGTTCCCACCTCCAGCGGCTGTGAGCCACTTTGACAACACAACGAACTGCGCCGCGGTAAAGTGATCATGTCCGAGACCAGACACAGGACTATTCTCTGCTTGGTGTGTGCGTGTCTTTGCGTGACCTGTGCACGCAATAAATACACCGCTGAAGCTGGACCATGGAGCCTCTGGAAGTGTCTGTGTCTCCTTCCTGTCTCCTTTCGGCTTTAGCTGAAGCGGAACATGTGGAGGTGAAAAAGGACTGTCTACTACAGACAGACAGAATGTTAATAATGTTAATGCCATTTTATGTGGATTTATTGTTGTTACAACAAACAAACACAGTACATATGTACACTATGTTGTCATTTATCTTTCTATTCAAACAACCATTTACAGAAAAATATGGCAAAATTTAGCAGTTCGAAATGCGATTAAATACAATTAATTTATATTTAAGCTATAATTAACTTGATTAAAAATTTGACAGCCTTACTAAAGATGTAACGTGAGGCCAAAGATACATGTGAAAACTAGTGACGCACCAAACTGCAGAGAGGGGTTTGTGAGTATTTGAAGTCATTTCCTTGCATAGTTTGTGGTGCCAAATTCAGTTTAAAACAATCAATGGATCTTATTTTTTTCAAATCACAGATTGAATAGAAACATAATTATGAGCTGCAGTCTTAAGTGAAATCAGGAGTTAAAAACATGATCTACCTCTCAATAAGAACAGGGGTCGAAGCTCTCATTGTTTCCTCCTTTAACAGATCCAACCCGATCAGCCATTTCTGAGCATCGTCCGAAGAGTCGGCTGAAAACACAATGTATAGTTTGAAAGGTGCTGTTTGCAGTTATGGATATGAGCGGATCCTTGAGTGTCTCACCCCCGAGGCTGAGGGTGTTCAGGACAAACTGGGATCCGTAGAAGATGGTGAAGCAGGTGCTATCCTCGTGTTTGTCTTTGTCTTTAAAACGCTCAAAGTCTTTGGAGTTTCGGCCCGGGCGGATCTCTCGGATTTCATACAGGTCCACTGAGCACATAACAAGTGAACGTCGGACAATGTCTCAGGAATGGAAACTGATAAAACTTCTATATTTATTCACTATCTTTTCACAAAAGTCCTTCCAACAGGTGCAGTATTTTAAATAGGCATTACATTGTTTGATCATTTCTTCTTCTGTTGTACAGCTTCTCAGACATTTATTTATATGACACATATAAATAAATGTTTCTGGGTTGTGTGACATCACAACATTCCAAAGGAGCACAGTTTGAAATTGTGGTGGGAGAATTTCAAAAAGTTCAATTTCTACTCTCAGTTTAGAGCTACTTTCTCTGTAATTCCTTAGTGAATCCAACCAGACAAGGGCCAGATCGATATAGTGTAGAACTCTGAATTCCACAACAATTAGGTCTGTGATGTCACAAATACCATGACAATTCACCTTGCGAGAAAAGTTAGAGCGAATCCACATGAAACTAAAGCTGTCACACTCTGTCAGAACATTATCAACTATGACCTGATTATTATCTCATGTATGTGTCTTGACATTATGCAAAATACATGCATGATGTTGGCTTGTAGAAAGGACTTCAGACTTTCAAACTGTCCTGCTCCACCCAGTGGGTACTCCACCTCTCTGCTGTGACCTGAGGGGCTGTTGCTGATTATTAGTATTGTTAGCTTATTCAAATTATCAATCTTATTTTTTCTTTTTGCTGCTGCTGGACAGCTGAATTTCTCCAACAGAGATCAATAAAGTATCTATCTATCTATCTACAGTACAGACAATGAATTTCCTTGCTTTTCATGTCTATTGAATGTAGATCCACACCCAGGCTATGTACGGGTCATTTGACAAATAAGGAGAGGTGCTGGGCCAGATGACCTGGCCTCCACAGTCACCGGACCTGAACCCAATCCAGATGGTTTTGGGGTGAGCGGGACCACAGAGTGAAGGCGAAAGTGCCAACAAGTGCTAAGCATCTCTGGGAACTCCTTCAAGACTGTTGGAAGACCATTTCAGGTCAATAACTCTTGAAGCTCATCAAGAGAATGCCAAGAGTGTGTGAAGCAGTAATCAGAGCAAAAGGTGCCACTTTGAGGAACCCAGAATAATAGACATATTTTCAGTTGTTTCATACTTTTTTTTTAGTACTTACATAATTCCACATGAGTTAATTCATAGTTTTGATGCCTTCAGTGTGAATCTATCTATATATCTATATATCTATAATCACTATAAAATATTGATAGGGATACATTTAGACATTTTCTCTTTCCAAATAGAATTCTAGAACATCGCACCACAGAATTCACAGTTTCCGACAACAACAAAAAAAGAGAGAAGAAGAGGGACGATGTGGCGGACTTGTGAGTGATTGACTAAGAATATTAGATTATCTGCAATTATAATCATTAATAAAGTGATCCCATAGTGGGCACACCTGCAGAGACAACCATGACAGTCAGAGAGTGATACCTGAGATAATCATTTTCTTGAAGAAAGACTAATAATGAGAAGACTCACAGACGCCCTCGTTGCGGTCTGCGGTGCGGGTCCATGCCACCTGCAGCGTCTCCATGATGACCTGCACAGTGAGGCGCTCTGCCTTCTGTCTGAACACCGTCATGACCACACCCATCTCCAGGTCCCGCTTTATCTGGCTCTTCTTAAACTCCGTCATCTCCCCCTGCAGCCCCCAGCGAGCCATGTCTGCTGCTGCTGCTGTTGCTCCTGCTGCTGGGATGGGACAGTTTACACAAAGTTATCACTGTTTTACTGACACAAAATAACATGGTTAGCCTGGTTGGTACTCGGATGGGAGACGCTGAGGCTGTAATGTGCTAATCTGTCCTTGTTTATCAGTGTTGGGTGTATATGAACTAAAATAAGCCATTATGGATCATCTTATGGATCAACTTAAAATCAGTCAAACATCTCTCTTCTATCTCATCTATATTAGTTTCTGTATATTCTGCAATAATGATAATAATAAAAATATAGGACATTTAGTATGGCAAGGAATTGGGAAAGCAAGTTTATTTGTATATAGCGCAGTTCATACACAATGCAACTCAAAGTGCTTAGCAAAAGAAGAAACAGAATCACATAAGGCATTAGTCACACAGTGCATTAAAAAGTGGGAAGATAAAATCCTTTAGTTGTATGCATAGCTGTTTTTAACCTGGGTTTGAACATTGTCAGGGAAGTTTTCAGGAAGACGGTTCCAGATTTTATCTGTATGAATCTGACACGCTGCCTCCCCAAGGTTAGACCTGACTCTGGGCACCAGCAGGAGGCCTGTCCCTTTGTTCCTCAGAGTCCGGGGTGGTTCATGTGGCACTGAAGTGTCACAGATAGTACGTGGAGAGACTTTTACACAAAGAGAGCTGATTTAAAGTCTATTCTCTGAGCCACATAAAGGCAGTGCAGAGACCTGAGAACTGATCAGTTACTGTACATTTTCCAATTATCAATATTGCAATACAAATAAGACATGGCCATCATTACAGTAACTCTATTTGGGACAACAGAATGAAGCTTTGGGTCATAAATTGCAAAATGCCATGCCAAAGAAACTGTAATCAGCAGTTACTGTAAGATCAATTATTAACAGTAGATCACAGTTCATTGGCTTTTCTCAAGAACACAATCGAACGAGTATGAACCAAACCAGTGTCTGTGAATCATAACAAAAACAGAGATCGTTGTCGTTTGCGGCGCAGACTTAATTTAATGAACACCAAATTCAACGAACTTTGATCCTGCGTCTTATAACATGACGTTCGGGGGAGATGGAGCGCACGGATGAAACATTGACAGACCCAGCTCTGGCCTGACCCCCTGGAGACTTTCACAGAGTACTCCACTACATGACAAATAAGAATGGAATAGTAAAAGTATTAAAACACAAAACTGTGAAACTAGTATTTATTCGGTGTTGTTCTTGCCTGAAAAATAATAACAAGGCATCATAGAATAACACACTGGGAAGACACTGAAATGAGGTCAGGATGTGGGCTTTCATATTATACTACGTTCTATGCTTTGTTTGGAATTGAACACATAATCAAAAGTAGTTAGAAGGTTCAACATTCACATACAGGAAACACTTTTTGGATAGATATCGCTAATGCGCACCACAGCGAGCGCCTTCCTCCATCACAGCAGCGTCTCAGACAATGCGCGCTGTTCCTGAGGCTCTCTAGTGCAACACCTTACCCCAAATCCTTGCGCCTGGACTCCCCCCGTCTCTTGAGATTATAGTTGTCCTTCCATGGCTTGAAAACAGTTAAATATTCCTGTCCGGAGCAGAGAGGATGTTGCGGAAAGGCCCGGCTGCTCAACGGTCAGTTCCTCTATCTGAGCGCACAAGGAAGTAAAAGTTCACTTGCATTATACTGTAGCCTCATTTTCACAGACAAAAAGTCCGGAAGCAAATGATGGCATCTATGCAAAGTGCTCAGCGTAAGTGAAGCAGAAAGGGAGGGATGCTTTGGCTTGACCTGCGCCCCGCAGCACCTGTTTGATGGCCCTACCTAAAAGTGGCCCACTAGGCAGCTCGCATATATATATATATATATATATATATATATATATATACTTATCATATAAGTTTTACTATGGATTGGTTTTAAGTCTTTTATTGTGCAGCACTTTCGAGACTGTGTTTATAAAATGTGCTATATAAATAAAGTGGGTTGGATTGGCTGTTTATAATAATAATGATGATTAACAATAGATAATACATTTCAAAACATCTCAAAATAAATAAGCAGTTTTGAACCCTAATCCGAAGTTATGTCAGTCTGAGTTCTTAATGTGTTTATTGTAGTTAAATTCCTTTCAAGCACACAATTAAAAAGTGTTCATGTACAACAACAACATCAGTAAAACAACGCAAATTCATTGCTACCAAAGTAGTGGGTTGAAGGTGAACTCTTATTGATTCCCACCCCCTCTTTCAACATTTAAATATTATTTGTTTATTTCCTTTGGTTTTAAACTTTCTTGCAAAACACAAGTACTTACATTTTCCTACATTTTAACAATATGTTAGCATCATAAACCATCAAAAAAGATATTTTTTTTGTTCTGTAGGTTCTGGGCAAACACATGTTAATATAGTTGCTTGTTTCGCTTTTAGGGATACGATTTAAAGCCTTGCCGTATGGAATTTAGTCCTAGTGTTTTGCATGTTGGACTGCAACCACCAGTATTTGCATAAACCAGGTGATGAGGCGGTGAAGGCCGGTGTTACACCGGACACCAACAGAGGCTCTTTAACCGTTAGCAGAGGTCAGGGCGTCTTTTCTTTCTAACATAATAAACAAAGCAAAACACCAGATGTACAAAAGAGCACTTTTTATCCACATTCTCACACATAAATACATTTAACACAACCGTATACAACAGTTAGAGCTGGAGTACCTAAATGTTTTTGCTTCATAAGTTTGTCCCAACAGAAAGTCATGTTACATTATGTGAACCTTAACAGACCACAATATCTAATCTAGAAAATCTTCCACATACCAAGAGCTGATTGGCTGAGAGGAATATGCTACTCTCTCTTTCACGAACAGAAAGTAAGAAATCTTTATCTATACTGCAATGTATTTAAGAGAACAGATATTTTTAAATTCAGACCTATTGTATGTGTTTTAAGTGGTGAAAGGGAAAACCGGGGCACCCAGAGGAAACCTACGCAGACACAGGGAGAACATGCAAACCCAAACCGGATGAAATCAACCTGAGGCTACAGAGGCCATTTAAAATACTTGAATGTGAAACTATTGGTAGCAGTTTTGAGACCGCAATCCATTCTCTCTCGTTACACAGATTGTTATTATTTTATGTGCTTAAAAGTTAGGTACTCCAGCTTTAATATAGTAATCAAAACAATACAAACATTACTTCAGATTTGGATGTCAGTGATTTTTTTCTTATCTCAAACAATAAAATCAAAAAATAAAGTGCAAGTATCATAATTTCTGAGACCCCTTTTCTTTCTACAATGTCTACAAGTTTAAAATCCCCTGATATTTAGGCTGGGGACTGATGACATAAGTCTGAGCTGAAGGCGGTCCCTTAACCTTCTTCGTCCTCTGGTTCTCTGAGGCCCTGGCTGTGCAGAGTCTTCCCCGTCATCTCCATTATGGCCTGAACTTCTGGATCCATGTCGAGGATGCTCTTCTTCCCTCGTCCCTCTTCGTCCTGTCATCAGAAGTCGTTACGTAAAAATGCAGTGAGGGTAAAACTCCGGATCCACAGTGCGCTCACCTCTTCGGGCTCCGGGAGTTTCCCCACCGCCCACACCTCCACAGTGTCCACCTTGAAGTCCTCGTCGGCAGAGAGCTGAGGGCTGCCGTACGTCGTGCACTTGGGCTTCGCACGACTGTGACCTCCACCAAAGTCATAGTCCAGCCACAGGCCAAAGTAGTAATGCTGGCCTCCCATTCCCTGGTGCCACACAAGCAATGATGAGCAACTGCCTAAAACATGTCTGCTGTTTATGAGAGTAGACCAGTATTTTATTTTGCGCTGTATTTTATTTATGAGTCGTATTGTATTTTGTAATTTCTGGAAAGCACTTGTCACTTTGCTTCACTTGTATAAAACTATAATTCATAAAAATATATTGAAAAAAAAGAGATCCGAATCTGCACAGCCGGTTTAGAGTAATTTGCTATCAGAATAATGCCACTGTTCTGTGAGGTTATAAACTATAATAAGAAGAGCAGGCATGTTCAAACTCCCCAAGTGGCCATTGGGGTAATTATATGACACCCAAAAGTATCCATTTAAATCATAAACACAAGTTGATAGTGTCATGCAGCCAGCTGTAGCTCTGACAATATAGGCATCGTGCACCAATTTTTAAAACTAAGGACCTGTTGAATCCAGCAGTTTGTGATTTGTAACCGCTGGCACAAGATTTTGTATATGGTGCTAATATAGCTAGGGAGAAAGTAAACATTTGTCCTTCAGCCAACTTCAGCTCTGTCAAATGTGAATCAAATGGACACAATGTCAAGTTCAGAACAGCCTAAATCCAGTCAATCCAGTTCTACTGTCTGGGTTGTCTGTCATCGGACAAATCTAAAATTTTAAATCAGACAAATTCATTGTAAGAAAGTAATCATACAAAGCTCTTCACAATTTTTGGTGTGCAAGGAATTTCCACACACTGTGACATCACAAACGAGACCCCAAAACTGGCACATCAAAGCCCCTGACCATCACAATCTATTCTCTCTCTTTACATTGATTCCTATTGTACATGTTTTTTAGAGGTAGGGGGACCCAGAGCGCCCAGAGGAAACCTACGCTGACACAGGAGAACACGTTATGTCCACACAGAAAGGTCGGGAGGTGGAGTCAAACCCAGGACAATACTTGTTACATTAGTCATGAATTGCGTGTTCATTTAAAATAAAAATCAATGTATTCAGTTAGAATTGATTAATCATAACCTGAATGTTTGTCTTGAAATGTGTAACAGATAATCGACTTATTCTCTTCTAGTTCTACAGTGAGAGCACTTACTAGTCCGTTTGGCATGGTCTGCTGGTTCTGGTTGAGGTACATGAAGTGTTGATTGTATCCTGTCGTATTATAGACTCTGAGGAAGGGGCTGACAGTGAACAGGAAGCAACTGGAATCACCTAAAACAAATAAACATCCACGTAATGCATCTTTGGAAAACAAAAAGACAGAATAGAAATTTAATGCCATATCTTACCCTGAAATTGAGGCTTGATCTCCCAGTCCTGCGACGCAAAACCTCCAAATATATGCCCCTTTGTGTCTTTGATCAGTAAAAGTGTGGGTCCACATTTCAACAGTCCAGTCACCATCCGTGTAAAACTCTCTCCATGGAACTTAGTAGAAAACATCAGCCTCCAGGGGGCACTGCACCGGTCTGGAAGCTGTTGAGAAATGGAATTGGAAAAAAAAGTTGTGTAAAAAATGTATTTTGTATTTACTTGAATTTTTATTTGAATAGGCTGTGTGATCAGAAACATTCAAATGTGACTAATACAAACATTGTAGATGAATTTGTTCAATTTTGTGAAATTCTGTAATGATTTGTCTTTGCCTGCCTATGGAAGATATCCATATTATATTAGGCATATATCATATATTCGGCTTGACACCAAATTTTGTTTGTTCATTGTGCAGAAATTGGCCGCGTTCAAATACAAAATGGAAACGGTTCTGTTTAGCTGTGCATTTGACTCGACTTGATTTTTAACTACTTTAAAGCCACCCTGTGTAATTTTCACAGCTGCTCCATATGCAAAAACATGTTAACTAATAACAATTGCGACCTTTTTAAGAATATTTACCTTCATCATGTTTTCTGAATTGTATTCATAGGCTTAGAATTGAACACAGACCAAAATATTTTACCGACATTGTTTTATATTTGCATTCTTAAATTAGGTTTTTATTTGTACGTGTATTTGCTCTAAATTTTTATAAATCAATCTTTGAATATGCTTTTATCGTGTTTGGATGTATGCTTGTTTAGAAATCAATAGGAATTGTACTGTACAAAAAAAAAACATTTGGATAGATTAATCGTGTGTATGTGCGTGCGTGCATGTATGTCCGGGCAAGAGATTTGTGCTTGTATGAACCTGTGTGGCCAGGAACATAATAGTAGGCAGGTCCAGCAGACTGTGCAGCTGCTTCCAGGGGGCGTTTAAGCAGGGGGGAAGTAGTGTGGGGGATGAGTAGCCACCCAGAGTGATATTAAAGCCTTCAGATACAACCATTTCAATGTACATGGACACGCCGGGCACTCTGAAGATCCAGTCCTCCAGGCAGGACCGGTCACAGCCCTCATCTGAGAGAATCATTAGACAAATTCAATAGAAGAGTAGACATAAGTTACACTCAAGTTACGTGTCACAGATTTACCAGAGGGCTTCAGTTCTGAACACATTTGTTCTGACAGCTGTTTTACACCTGCAGATGCGTTTCCCATCCTTTCAGGTTTCCAGCCATGAAGACGCCCTCTGTTGGTTTGGATCTGAATTACAGCAGCAATCAAATCCTTCAAAAACTGTGGATGGAAAGGAAAATCTTTATTTTAAAGACAAACCAAAGGCCGTTATGCACAACTCAACATTGATAACAACCAGACACTAATGTGGATTATTTTACAGAGCGAGGAATATGCTGTGAAAAAGATGTATCAGGAGTATTCTCACCTGAATGACTTGATCACATGATACAGATGCTGCCTGTGACCCTGGGTTCTGGGACATGCTCAAGACGAGAGGGGCGCGCTCCTCTGCTGTGCCTCTCAGAGAGTCAGCCAGAAAAATCACCAGCTGGTCCCGAGTGACGCCGGAGACGGAGCGAGCCTTTCCAGAACCTCCAGGGGCCGGGACTGAATCTACACTACACAGACATCTGTAGATCCTCTGAACCATAGCGTCTGGGATCACGCTGCCTACAGCTGACTGGAACAGGCAAAACACAAAATCAAATGATATTTTTGGTGGGTAATATGTGCGACAGTCGAGTGGCCACTCTTTACGTTCTGAATGTACAATTCTGAGTGTTGTACCTGTAGCATTGCCAAACTTAGGTCTGCTTTTGCTGGAGCTCCTGTAGGTGCAGAACCCTGGAGCCGGTCAAACACAGCCTGGACCATCGGCCTCTCCTCCGGTCGAAAGCGGTCCAGCCGCTTGTGCATTAACTCAGAGCCTGTGTTCCCCATTATTCTGCAGGGAAATGGAAATCTCAGCCAGAGCCTGACATTCAACAGTGGTTCCAATTTTGTCTGGAGCACACCATAAACTTATACTTCAAGGAACGCCTAACTCTGACAGCAGACATATCTGCTTATAGTGTTGGGAAGTAAGGCATCAAATGGGCTTGATTTTATACAAAAATATCGATAATGACGATAGAAAGGCCAACATAACGCCTTTTCTGTCCACGTCTGCCTCGATAGACTATTAATAATACATTTAACCAATTTAGACTATGAGGAGCACTGGGACTGGCCTTCTGCGGGTACCCAGAGTCAGGACTTAACATGAGGAGAGAACTTGCAGCTAAAATCTGGAACACATTGCCATTGTGTTCCATTGTCTACTCGAAAAATGTTCAAATCCAGGTTGAAAACAGTTTTGTTTAGATGAGCATACAACTGAAGGATTGTGTCTTCACTCTTTATGATTTCAATGCCTTGAGTGATTTTGTTTATCTGAATTGATCTGTTTTTGTCATATATCTACACAGTTGTATTGTTAATATGGCTTTTATTTTTATTTTTTAAAGTCTTTAAAGCCCCAGCAGAGACAGATCTCATTACACTTACAGCTAGGTCCTATCTTTTCTATTAGACCTTTTCCCCCGTGTTACTATGTTCCCCCCTTTTAACTCAACGATATGTATATTTAACTCAGACAGGCATCAGTAATGTGTGATTAATAAATGCACATAATGTTTTAAATTCTCCAACCTGAGCACGGAGACAACCTCTATCCAGTTCCACACATCTTCAGCAGCTGACCATGTAAACTTCCGCTATTCACCGGAAGTGCAACCACTAATAAACTCCCCATGTAATTCTCTTAATTTGATATACGCCTGTGGATCATCTGCGTTAAAATTATGATCGAATTCATTTTCCCCCAGTAAATTACTAATATGATTTTTACTCAGAGATCATTTGAAATATGTTATCGTGGGTTTACTGCTCGGGAGTCTATGCTACCTGTTGTGGGATTTCTACTCAGAGTCATTATCTTAACCGTGATACTATTGACAATAGAGAGGTAACTAAATCAAGAATGTGGTTTTGGTTTTCGTCGTTTCGTCTCTCCAACAGAGGGCGCCCACGAGCCAAGGATGGGCTGTAGTGAAATGAGCAGGCGGCAGAAAAGCGCCTTTTAAGGGCATAGATGATATGAGTGGCCAGAGCTGGGTGTGTTGCATTGAGCTATACTAATACAATACCGTGCACCACCTATGCAAATCAACACCACCTACATGGAAACAAATACATATCGTGTTTACGTGTGCACTGGGACCTAGTAGTCATTTTAAGGATTTCTTATGAAGATTTCTATGCATTCCTTATTTCAATGTTTACTTTTTTAACTTGTTTGCTCAAAAGAAAAATCCTAGTTTGTGACTTCCGATTACTTACAATGATAATAGATTAATTTGGATTCTGACAGCTGCACAATTGGTTTGTACCAATGTGAACTCTCTAGCCCATTCATTTGGTCCAATGAGGGATTTGAAATAATACTTTTGGATCAAATTCATTTCAGAATTCAGGATTAATTAATCTAAATAGAATTTTCTATAGCATGCAAGATCGTTTGCTACGTGAACATGTTTTCATAACTCGCATGTCAATTGGAGGCCTTTTCCATAATGTGTTTTTGTTGTTTAGATTATATGGGATATGCATTTTTTTCCAGTGTTATGCTACTGATAAGTCTTCTCATTTGCAAATACATTTGTTCCTTGATTGCAGCCCATAGACTCAACATGTTGTAGGCTTGAGTTTTCCAGATTGATTAATTGACCGATCTAGATGATTTTAAGTATTTAATTTCATTCCATATCTGTCTTTGTGTGAATAGCTGTATACACATATATATTTCTAAAGCAGGTTTAGACACATCTTGGTTGAACCTTGAGAAACATGAGTGCATCAGTGTTTTGCCAAATAAAACATAAAGTTGAGCTGATCATTATCAGTTACACGTCACACCTTTAACAAGTTCAAACATGAGAGGTTTGCAGTGTTACTTCTGCTTTCCCTGTCTTAACTTCTGCCATTTATGGGCATGCGGTGTGATGAATGGTAGCCCAGGAAACAAGCGTCACAGAGAGTGCCAATCACATGCAAATCATGTTATTTTTTGTTTTGAGGAAGAATATTAAATGATTTTTGCAGTCCATGATCACTGTTGAAAATTGGGCTCAAAACCTAACCTTTCAATTCTTAACTCTAAAGCGTACTCTTGTCCCATAGTAAGCCCGAGCACAAACCATAACCTCAACTCTAACATGGATCTTGGGAAACCAACTTTGACATTGATCCTGACTCTTCATTACTTGGCGATATCAGATTCAAGTCAGACTCCAATTCATGTTTTGAAGCTAGAAGCAAAAGTTAAATGTATTAAAAAGCATGTTCTTATTTTGACAAAAATTTGTTTATACAAAATATTAAAATGTAAACCACACAGAGTCATGCTATTCCAGACAAAGTCTTCTGCTGAAGCATCCAGAGAAAATGAAAATTAGGGAGAAGTTGGGCACATGTTCAGATTTTGCATGTGTTTTCCTGTTCATTTGACTTTGACATCTGGTGCACAATGCACATTTGGCATTTTTACATTACCAAGGCTCAGTCATTGGTAATGGTCATGTGTACAGTATGTCTGAAAAATATTGAGAAATCAAATAAAATGTGCATACATTTGTGGCTGCTGAGGTTGACTTCCTTCTTGTGGTTGGAGTTTGACATCTAAAAGTTTTTGGTGTTTAGTCGCACATTTTGAAAATGTGATCTTCTTTCCACAAACCATTGCATGCATTTATTTCATAGGACCCTGCTGTCGCTCATTTGAATAATGTAGTAAAATGCCTATTGCCCCTGCTCTGCTCACAGCCACTGACCTTTGGGTGTCACATCTCTGAAGGCAGAAATGGTGCAATGGACAGATGAGGAGGGTCTTATAAATGACTAACAATTTCATTGTTGCCAGTCATCCATGTAAAGTTATGGTTTCATTAAGAAGAATGGGTCAGTGACATATGGACCTAAAGGTTAGAGTATGGATTTAGGACTGATACAGACATTACAGGACATGTGTTGGAGCCATATTACCCGAGTCTCGTTAAGTTAAGCCTTAAAACATGTTAAGCAGAAAAGGTTTTGAAAATGAGTTCCACTCAGTCAGTTGGATAACAGAACAAAGAAAGCATAGATCCACAATTCTGTCATATGGTGCATTCTTGTCTGAAAGTGTCACAAATCACATAACTCTATCAGTTTATGCTTTTAGAAAAGAAGGAAAACATAGAAGCAGAAAATATGAGAAGAATGACTTCTAACTTGCATTCTTGGACTTCATCTGTGACTCATTCCATCAATAAGGAAGTACGATGGTTATTTCCTCCTGTTGTAGATAAGGGCTTCTTTTCTATCTTTAGAGAGATTAGTCAGTAACTAAACAATTTTGTCACACATTCACACAAATCTAAAAATGAGGCAAAAGACTGACGGGCACCACACCATATCATACACACACTAGAGCAGGGTCGTAGTAAAAAAGATCATCCAACGAGATATCTGAAATGCTTTTAGATTTATATGTGTAATTGCTATTATTTAATGGCAAATTAATTATAATTTCACTTTGACCTATTGGTGTAAATGGATGCCAATAAATCCGTCCGTCCAATAATCTTGTCTATAAAGCAGTCGCACACAGTCCGTCTGGCCAACAGCCCATTATGAGTAAGTGACCAGTGAGTGGACTGCATAAACAGATGGGTCGAGAATGGAGCTCACAATGGCTGCTCTGTGCCAACACACGGGCCCCTGGCGAGCCCCCTTTCACACGGGCGCACAGTTTGAATTTACTCTGAACCAATCACCTCCTCTCGCTCCACCACAGAATTAATGGGTCAATGTAGTCTACTTTGAAAACGCTGTGAATCACAAATTACCAGCAAGCCGTTACACTAGGATTCTGATTCAAATCATTGATGATGTGGAGTGATGTTGGGCCATATTATTCTTAGACAGTTTAGTATTTTGGTGGAAAGTTCATCAAAGTTCTGTAGATGGTATTGACTTTCTCAGGCACTCCCTGCACGGACAAACATTTGATGACACTGGGTGGGAGAGAGCGAGAGACAATTGTGGTTTTATTTGCAGCAGCAGCTTTGCCCCAGTCCTTCACACAACAGCAGAGAGCACATGACCTGGAGGAGGCTGAATACTGCGGCACTGAGGAGGCTAGAAGAATGTACGAGAGCTGAAGTATCTCTTAGACCCTCCCAATGATTTATTGCATCATATGCACTAAGTTTATAATGAATACCCTTCAACTGAAGAAACAAGCACCAAACATACAGTATAAGAACATACACATACTGTATAAGTATTCTTTTGTAAGAGCCTGGGTTGCTGCTTGCAAGTTTCACTTTCAGATCATTGCATGCACATTCTTCATAAAAAACAGAGATCTTTTTTTGAAAAAACATACATTTTATTTAAAATGACTAATTTGTGTTTGTTTCAGTCTTTTGAGTTTCTCCATTTTCAATCATTTCAAAATGGGTTTGTTTTCAGTTTTCAAGGAAAGTAAAATTTCAAATCACAAGTTTATTAAAAATTACAACACTTCCTAAGTTTATACTTCAGGAACATGTAAAGAGACACAGTCTGGATCAAATGAAAGAGATACTATCACCCGAAAGCGGACCCCTTTAGTGTGGAAGAGGGGCGGCCAATCACAGTGTAGTTTCCTGTTCACAAACTCCCATCATGCCCCTCTCCATGGGAGACTAAGGCAGCGAACACGGTAGATTACAGTATGCATGGATCCTTAAGACTGAGATGAAGGTCCAGGACTATAAGACCCACATTGGTCAGAGAGGTGAGCTCACAGCTGCGGAGAAGAGGTGTGCGTGTCACAAGTACAAAATGAAGCAGTGTGAATCCAGCTCCTCTTGAGAATCGGGTCTGATGGTCCTGGAGGCACAGTGTCGTTGACTCAGTGCATGTTGTGCTGTTAAACACATGCTACAATGGAGAGCTTTCTCAAAGGCTCCCCTCACACAGGAGATACAACATTAAAACATTTCAACTGAAACATGTTCCACATCCTCAGAAGACCATTGAAGCTAACAGTGCTTAGCCTTAGTACAACTTCAAGTTTCTCCATTGTCAGAAGTGAGGATGGATTTGAGATGACTTACACAAGTGCATACTCTTACTGGTCAAGAGGGGACAGGGCAGGGGCAGACTGCAGACCACTCAGGGATCATTCAATTAGGTACCTAAACAATGTACATTACTAAAACATATGAAAGTGTACCAACTGGTTCATAGTTGGCGCAAGGACAGCATATACAGAGGCCTTTTATATCATTTCTAGTTTCTTGAGTGAAAACAAATATGTTTAATACTGGAATGACTCACTATATAAAACTAAGGCAACAGACTTTTTTGATAAGCAGCATCGCTCAGAGGGGCCCATGCATGAGTTTTAGAAAGCTGTCCCTCATTCTCTCACCTGGGTGTATCTCTTTTCACATGATCCAAAAGTGTAAAATGTGGCTGTAACATGGTTACCTCTAGATTTGAGAACCTGTGTCCTTGTAACAGAACAGGCAACATTCATCTTTACTTCCAGTAAAGTGCCTACTATTGGTGATGTGCTGTCCCTCCTGCCTGGCCCTCTTGCCCAGAGGTAGCAGCATGGACACTCCCCCCCCACAGACCCCAGACCCCTGCAGTGGAGCGAGGTCTACTCAGCCTGAGCGTCGTAGTTAGCACCCCCGGCTTTCTTTAGCTCTTCACGTATGTAGTCCTCTTCCAGCTCTTTAGGATCACTAATCAAGAACTCCTTGGCATAGTTCTGAAAAGAAAAGACACACAAGATAATTAATAAATTAAAGAAGATGTAAAGTTGTGTGAAATTATATACCAAAATAGTAATCTGTAGAGTGTGTACATGGTAATAGTATCAAGAATCAAACGTTGAATGTAGAAGTGAAAAAAACCATACGATTTCCACTGCATAACCTTCCATAATAATTATTATTTTAATTCTGGCACATTATTGTGTCAAAACTAAGTGAGCACTAATGTCAGCCACAGTGTTTGCCTTATCCTGAAAAAAGCTGATTAGAGCCATCGCAAACGACCTAGCAACCAACAAGTCAATCAGGAGAGGCGCTGGTCTGTTCAGGCTCGTGCTACATGCTAGCTGAAGCCGGTTTTGGATATAGAAGGAACCTGATATTATCTGCAATAAATATGCCCCATAACATGGGACTACCCCCCCGGAAACTAAAAGTTGTCAACTAACCAATCAGAAGCTTCCAAGGCACTGCTATAAATCAGCTCTCTCGATATTGTGATATTGAGCAATGTATCGTAGAAGTGATCCAAAAAAATTCTTGTAATCTTCAGAGCGGAGGAAAATAAAACATTAGATAGATTAACTTCATGTTTCCAATGTAATTCATTCACAAAATGAGTTTTTATCAACTTACACTTTCCACCAGGACATTTTTGGATTCAAGCTGGAATAACTTTTTTTCAAATTCAACAGTTTTGTATTCAAGTTAATATTTCCAAACACCAAAACCAAAAGGAGGACAATTTAAGTAAAACAAGCGATGCATCATCCATCAAAAACAAGTCTCTCAAAGTATCTTGTAAAAATCACAGAGCGTATATTAGGAGTGAAACCGAGTGCTGACGTCACCCGTAGTTTTTGCTAAATGCGGAACTGATAGAGGTCGATTTGAATATAAGCTAGCTGAAGCCAATTTCCTCCTAAAAATGCAATATGAACGAAAATATAAACACCAGGATCACCAGGAGAACTCTAAACCAATCATTTGTGAACCCAAAGTTTAAGTCAATAGGAACTTGAGCTAGTTGGATCAAAACTTCGTCCATGTGCACTTCCCTGTTGGGTTTCATTGAGCTAGCATTGTTAGCATTGTCCATCTACATATCGTCTATGGCAGGGGTGTCCAAACTTTCCAATAAAATGACCATTTTTGTTCAGCAGACTTCAGGGGCCGCCAACATGGATCGTTAAACTGTTTTGGCTGTTTTTGGGCCGCCATGTTTGGAATGGTCTGACCAAGTATATACGAATGAAGTGGATAAAATGACTGGATTCCTGAGGTGCTGAGCTTTGTAGTGAGGTACAGCTGATGATATTGGAGAGGCTGAAGTTGCCTGGATGATGGTGTGAAAATACCTCAATGGTTACTTTATGTCAGCGGTAAGGGCCATATAACACAGCGGGCCGCATTTCGCCCACGGGCCTGAGTTTGGCCTTACCTGGTCTATGGTAAAAACGTGTGTGCTTTTGTTTTTGCGGAATGAATTGTTTAACCCGTTGCTGTCGTGTCTCTTGGGTTATAAAATGTGGTTCTGACCTGCACTATGTCTTTGACCAGGGTCTTGTCCGTGCTGACTTTGGCCCTCTGCAGTCCGCTAATGTTCTCGCCGATCCAAGTGATGAGAGTGAATTTGGCTCGTTTGCTCATGGCGTCTCCTGTCGTGATCCTGACGAAAACAAAAAGCCGAGCATCGTCTGTGGACACAAAGGAGAGTCAAAGAATCAGGAACATGTCACAACTGTTTGATTCTCTGATCTGTGTTGGCGAATTCAAGAGTTGTGTAAAGTCTTCCGAGAAAACTACAGTTGTGATTTAGGCCTATACAAGAATGTATGAAGGCAAATGAACTGTGCAAGGCTACAAAACAAGTCAGCTAATATTGCAGCCACTAGATTATTGAAGAAATCCTCAACTAATTTATCAATCGAATCGACATAATCTGGATCATGCATAGACTTCAACAGAAATGACACCGTAAAAAATATATTTTGACTGCACAAGTGAACATGATCAACATGTCACCTGCTACTTTGCTTTATTAGCATCAAATCGGTTAAAAATCTAAAACAACCAATTGGTGAACCCAGGGTTGTCAAACTAGTCCCCAACGGCCCAGTCTTAACCTGGAGACTAGAGGAAATAGGTGGAGTCGGGTGTGCTCCTGCTTGGTTGGAATGAAAACCTGCAGCCACACTGGATCTTCCTGGATTGGAACCAGTTTGACATCGCTGGGGTAACCAAAATAACGAACAACAAAACATTTTGCATTTGCATTTGCATTTGTTCAGTACAGCATTAGGATAAACAAAGCCGTAGTATTTATCAAAGCTTTATAAAAATATCTCTCTTTAGTTTTGACTTCAACAGCCAGTATAAATAACCCACTACATACATGTAGCCTTGGGGGGTGGGGGACTAGTAGCACAAGACTAGACAATAACATGACCTAGTATTTATCACCAGCTATGAGTAAGGATGATATCACTAAATAAACCGTTAGAACAGACATAAGTACTTGTTATGTCAGAGGCCTGTGTACTTTACAATCTTCATTATCGGATAAGAGGCCGATAAAAGCTTTCATGTCAGCAGCTGTGCCGAGAGGAACAGCAGCCGATTGATTTACCTCCGGATTCGATAGTGAGTAGTGTAACGTTTCACTTCATCAGTTTGTTATTCAAAGGGCCGTGAATTTGAAGTCGCTAAGTTGAAAAAAAAGGGAAAAAAGGACAAATTAAACTTTTTTAAGAACATATTTTTAGTGTCAAAATATGTTCTTTTCGTTAGAAGATATTCAGGTCTGTGATACAAACCTAGATTACAGAAAAAGTCGTCTAAAGTGTGTCAAAAATCAGATATTAATCAACACTAAAACTAGCTACAATCGATACTCAAAACTAGATACTAATTTGAGTAAGTATATATACAAAATATATACATAAACAAGACACATTTTGTTTTTATTCAGCACTCTTTGATACATGTTAAACTATATCAGAAGAAAATGAAACTAAAAAAACCTGGTCCTATAAAAAGTATTATTATTTTGAGTTAAAGAAAGCATTATTAAATACTTTCAGGGGTATCAAAATTGGTCTTGAGTATTTTGTTGTAGAAGCGAAATAGAGTTTGAATTTTTTTAGGTCATACAAAGATTGACTTTTATCAAATCTGTAATATTTTGACAGTATTTAACTTTGACTGTGATAAAATCTGTGGATTGTGGCGTGTGCGGTAACATTGCAGATTTTCAAACCACCTGACTTATGCTTTATTTGCAGGTCGAGAGAGTGCGAGTCGCCTTAAACATACACAAAGGGTACACTTCCTCATAGGGCACATTCTTTCGGTTTGTCTTCCTTAAAGCCGCGCTGACTCTGCACTGACGAGAAGAGACGACGCAGCAAACCATATCCGTGTCATTCATTAAACAAGACCGCCGATTTACTCTGCGCCTCTGCCCATAAATAGACAAAAAGACAAAAGAATCAGTTTGTCTTTTGAAGCACAGCCATATGTTTATTTTGAGATCGCTTGAGTTGAACTTTATCTCCACATGGATTCAAGCTACTTAATTCTGAAACCACCAGTGACTAAAACAAAACGGTTCTAATACTAGTGTTTGTATTCCTGTATTTTGGACCTTTGTCTCATCTTCACTGCAAAAAGTGAAAATATAGACTAGTAGTTCACTTGATTTCAGTGTATTTATCTAATCACACCGTTTTTGGGACTTTTTTACTCATGCAGGCTGAAGATACTTAAGATATTATTCTCATGTCATTTTTGACCCCGCTTCATAAGACAATCTTTCTTGTTATTCATATTTTTGGTGTGGAAAAATCATGACCAGCTGGCAGATAATTTAGTTTGAAACACATACATTTGCTTCAAAAATAGCGATTTTTTCTTGTTTGTTTTTTTGCCACTTTTTGCAGTGTTTAAATCAGCTTTTTCAAACTACCCTCTCTCAGCCAATCAGCTCTCAGCCCAAAGAGCACAATATGCAAAATATGTTTTCTAGAAAGATGATGACAGCATATTGTGGTTGGATTCACATTTTACATTTACAAGACGCTTTCTATTGAACAAAGACAATGCATTATTTATGAAAAAATAAAGTTAGATACCCCAACTTTAATTCATTCAAATAATTAGGCTACACAATTTACTGTATATGTATTTTTCCTCATGGAGTCACAGCCATAGAAAAAGGAGTTCCCCAGGTCCAATTTCAGTACTGACTTATAGCTCCGCCCCCTTCATCACAGTCTGCAAACTGACGGCTAAATAAGGAAAAAACAACCAATACAAAAGTGTGTCATCTTTGAACAGGAACCAATAGCGAGCTCTGCAGCTGACTGTAATACTGGCTGATTTCTACATAGGAATGTGAGCTCAGAGAGAAGCAGACGAGTCCTGCCCCGAGGATGAAGCCTGCCTCAGAGAACACACCCAGCCAGCGAGCAGGGACCAGCCCCCACGGGACCAGACGCCTACAACTGTACAACAAATACTCACTGGGAGTCATTATGTCAGGAGGCCTCAGCTCAAAGCTCTAGACACACCCACACACCCTTTCTGCTGTCCTTTTCACTGATAGATTCTATTCTGTTTGGATTCTGGAATGGCCATCTGGATCTGGGGCAATTACTGTATCGAAAAAAAGACTGTGCATTTACTTTTGAGAATTAGCTTCGCAAAGACTCTGAACATTTTAAAGTTTTAATGTGACCCAAAAGAATATATTAACAAGTAATTTGGCAAGATTGTAACATTGTAATAGGGATAACCCAAGAATCCAGGATGCAAGTAACTGATGTGGCATTGTTGCATAATTCTTAAGTCGTTTATTCATTGCTTCACCTCTCCATTATGTACGCAACAAAATACACAACAAGTATGTATCTTGTTTTGAATTTGTATCTGTTGTGAAAATAGCTAGACAACATAATATTATGCATAGTAAGGTTATGTAGGGAGAGGCTGAAGTGTGCAATGCTGTTTAGTTATAGGCTCTATTGCATTGCATTACAGCAACAGGGAGGGAGTGAGAGAGTCTTAAAAGATTAAGGTCCTGCCAAGTCAAGCTCAGTGGCATTCGCTGTTTAACTCCTTAGTTATAGACGCATTCTCAATAACTAACTACATGTCACACAACAGAGTGGAAGTTTCAGATGGAGGCTACAGTACCTGTGCACATAGTCTTGAACTCGCCATAATCCACTCCTTGTCCACCAGGCACGATCTTGGAGCCATCGTATTTAAACACAACCCTGGAACACAACACACAGGGTTATGGTAATTATGGCTCACAGCAAAATAACAAGATACACATATGATACGCCATCCACACAGGGAGGTCCAGCTGTTGAATAAGTCTCTAATGCCCATCAAGGCCGGTGTGAAACTGTGAATGAATATAGGACAAAGGAAATTATATCTGCCCGCTGGGCCTAGAGCAACAGAGTATGGAGCTTCACTTTAAATCAGAGAAGAACACTTGGAGCAAGACACCCTGCCCCTTCTTCAATGCGCAGATCTATACACGCACAAAGAAATGGTCAGATAGTCAAAAGGCCATTGTTGTGCAGGCGATGTTACAACATTACAGATGTATTTCATAAATGAATGTGTCTATAAGTATTGGCTTTGCTGTAGAATCTGAAGGAACATGTCTGGCATGAGGTGCGCATCACCCACAAAGGCAGCGGCAGAGCGCAGGGCGGTAACGCGCCCCCAGAATGAACTTCTTCACAAAACGGGGGTTTAAGGAGAATTCAGCACAGAGTAATCCTTTGTGGCGTTTGCGTGTTCTCTGCGTAATGTGCTCGGGACAATGAAATGTGAGAAATGCAAGCATTGTTTTTGCAGTCTTACTTACCAGTTCGTGTCTGTATTGTCATCCCGGACATCATTGTAAGCTTCTCTGCAAGCCTCTTTGTCAATCTGGGTTGCCATTTTCCGTAAAGACAGTCGCAGTGAGCGTAACGCAGTGAAAGCAGTGAGGGCGTTAAGTTGCACGGCTCCACATGCAGTCAGGGCGCGGATGAGAGCTCTTCAGTCCAGAGGAGCAGAGAGAGCGTCTTTCACTGCTGCGGTGGGCGGTGGTGATGTGCTGATGTGAGGCAGGTTAGCACAGACACTAGTCCCACAGACTGCACCTCCTACCGGACCACTCCACAGCCGCAAACGGAAGTGCATTTCAAAATAAAGAGGCTGTCGGCTCATAAGTGAGTTTGTGAATGTCACGGTGTAATGGGCTAGACACACGGGAGGCGACATCGCATCGCCTCCATTCATTTCAATGGGACGTGCGCGACATAGTGTCAATCGCTAGCGAGCCTCCTGCTCAGCGACGGGCGAAAAACGTGCGTGTGAAATCCTCCTGCTCGTGCATGTATCGTGCACGCGCAGGTCAGCGACGCGATCCCAGAAAGTTGAAATCGGCTCAACTTTTCGACGCTGTCGTCAAGCCGCATCGCGCCCCGTCTGTCATGTTATCTGAGCGACAGCGTTGAGTTTCGCTGATCGCTCTCATTTGTCGCCTCCCGTGTGTCTAGCCCTTTAAGCACAGACCGTAAAAAATATGGTCAATTAAAGCTGGGGTACCTAACTTTCAAACCTCAAGAATTGAACCATGTAATGCAATCCGTTCAACTCGTTAACTAGTTTTCCCATTCATGCTTTTTTGGCATAGACTGTATTATTTAATTCTGCTCTTTTAGAAATTAAGAAATTAAGGGTAAAAGGATCATCCTCACTCAACCAATCAGCTCTCAGCCCACAGTGACTCACAGGGCTCTTTCTTAGTAGTATGCAAAGATAACGACTGATTTGTTCACCAAAAGACCTTACAAACAGGGTCTTTCTGTTGGGCAAAACCTAATGTATTACTGTTACAGGGTACCTATACTTATATTTCACAGTGTATATTTTCTATGCTACAGCTCAAGAATGGGTAAGAATACAGATCTGTTCATTTCTTTGACAGAAAATATAACCATCAAATTTAAAAAGACTTATCCCTCTTATATCCACTCAAATTCCACATTCTGGGGTGGATCAGAGCCCGTTTGAACTACAAACTCACAAATAAGATGAACATGTTGATTTTTGGGGCGACAGTAGCTCAGTTGGTAGAGCATTGGCCTTCAGGCCTGAAGGTCGTGGTTTCAATTCCCACCTCTACACCTTCTCCACCGACTCCCACTGATGACTGCTGTCGTTGTGCCCTTGGGCAAGACACTTAACCCCACTTTGCCCAAAGCCCCCACTGAAAGATCAAGGCTATGCTCACACTCAGAGAGCAGCCGTCCTCCTGTGGACTCACCACCTGCAGAGGGTCAGTGAGGGGCTGGTGCTATGTGTACTGGGTGGCATCTCTGACTGCCACCCCCCTGACCCAGAAATGGATTAAAGGGTAGAAAATGGATGGATGGATGGATGGCTGGATGTTGATTTTTGGCTTTAAGGCCTTACTCCTTAACTCCAAAAGACGTTGCCCTGGGGTAGTTTGGCAGCAGCTTCACAACATCTGAGGCTCAGCCGCTCCACTTTTGCGGCTGGTATTACCCGTGGTTTCCAATCGTGCTACTAACCAGGCCTCCTTAGTTTCTTAAACAGCAGGACTGTAGCATAGACAAATACACACATTGTATTACTAATTATTGGGATGAACATTTAATTCATTTGTATAACAATATTTTTATTTATGAAATGGAACTGAGTGACACTGAGTAACTTTGAGTCCAAAACATTACATAGTGTTTAAATGTCCATTACTGCTTTTAGGTGTTTCCCGGAGAATGATGAGGGTCAAATGCTGAACTAACGAGACCCGTTCACCTGAGTGTAATCTGATCTCAGTCCAATCTCAGTGTTTAATAAACTGTAGTCTGGTGCAGGTAGCTCTGCTTTATACATTACATTGTTGTACATTTGTCCTGCATGATGAATAAATAATGTACAAACAAAAATCTCTGGAAATGTACAAATATGTAACAAGACGCAGCAGACAACTTGGACATGTGATAGAGGATATTGTGGTCTGATAAAATAGCATAGCATTGAATTTTGTTGACCTGAAAGAAAAAATGCCATGTGTGGGGAAGCTTTTCTTCAGCAGGACAATCTTGAAAGAACAATGTTTTATTTTGCAAACAACTTGGACAATGGCAAAATCAAACCCAGAAAATGTGGTAAATTATTAAATGTTGCTGTGTACTATTGTTCTGCGTTACTATTGCTATGCAAAGAGTAATGTCAAAAATAATTCTCTATTGTGAAAATGTTGTATTATCTTATCCGAAAAGAGGCTTAAAGTTGATGTCAGCTTGAATGACCAAATGATAAAACCACAGACTGTAAAAATTAAATTAATTTAAACACAGAGTTGTCTGATAGATATTTGTTTCCATCTTGTGGTGGAATCCACGATGCACTGTGGCGACGAGAATAATAGATCTGTGTATACTCTGAACAACAGTACACACACGCGCACAAGCACACGACATACACACACACGCGCACGCATAAATACACACACGCATAAACACACTCACACACGCATAAATACCAAATACGCACACACGCAAACACACGCACAAACGCATACATGCACAAAAACACACACGCACAAACGGACGCACGCACAAACGCACGAATATACACACGCACAAACAGACGCACGCTCGGGCAGTGGGCGATAGGGGGCAGCACTGCGCCACAGAAGATGGAGACCCGAGACTGTAGCAGGAGCTGATGTTAGCGGAAGTAGGTCGTGATCTGGGCTCTGCTGTTTACATGATATTATATTATATTGTGTATTATTACAATAGTCTGCGCTCTCTGTGCAGCTCTCGTTAAAGGGACATCACTTTAAAGGTAACGTGACTGGCTTTGCTCTGATGTAAACATGCACAGTGTAAACAGTGTTCGTGGTAGTGGAAATGTCCTTCAGTCATTGAGGTGATGACACTCAGGGTGCTTCCAAATAATAATAACAAGACATTGATGTATTCTTTTAGAAAATGTAAAGAACATGGACTCACGCCAAGTGAACCGCGTCAGTGAGTCCTCTAAGTCCAAGGTAAGGCAAGGAAAGTTTATTTGTATGGCACAATTCATACACAAGGCAACTCACATTGCTGAACAAAAAAAGAATAAAATCACAGCACATTAAAAAGAAAGATACAAATATTAAACCCCTCAGTTGTATGCACAGCTAAACAGAACTATTTCTAACCTGGATTCAAACATTGTCAGAGGAGAAGCCTGTCTCACACTATCAGGAAGATTGCTCTAGATTTTAGCTGCATCAATCTGAAATGCAGTCTCCCCATTTTTCGTTCTGACTCTGGGCACAAGCAGGAGTCCCGTCCCTGTGCTCCTCAGAGTCCAAGTTGGTTCATATTGCTCCAACATATCACTTATTTACTTTGGTGCGAGGCCATGATATCTGCTTCACATGATGTCTTTGCATGAGCTCTGTTTGTGTGCACCTTTGCTGAGCTGGGTCTTGTTGGTTCTGCAGGTTTTCCACTGGTCTCACCAATCCTCCTCAGTGCTTCAGGGTCTAAACGAGCAGAGGCAGAGGAGTCAGTTCTGTGATGTGATGCTGGTGGCAGATGAGCAGTCCATACCAGCCCACAGAGCAGTCCTGGCCCTGTCCAGCCCCTACTTCAATGCTATGTTCACTTTAGGCATGAAAGAGGAACAGCAGGTGGAGGTATGTACTAAACTCCTGCTCTGTCTGCTCCTGGATTGTTAGTACCCACTGACCCGCTGTATTGTGCGCACAGGTGGAGTTGGTCGGGTTGTCCTTTAGTGGTCTCAGGACTGTGGTAGACTTCTTGTACACTGCAGAGCTGCCATTAGATGGAGGAAACATCGACAATGTTCTTGAAGCAGCACATCTTTTACAGGTGATGTAGTTTTCATGTTATTTAAGGAAAAAAACATTACTCAATAGCAATACAAAGATAGATAGCTTTCATTGTTAATCTGTTTGTGTAGGTGTGGCAAGTGGTGGATTTCTGCTGCCAGTATTTGGAACAGGAGGTGACTGAAGACAATTACCTGTACCTCCAAGAGCTGGCTTTGCTCTACACTCTAGACCGGCTTGACACTTTTATCGACAATTTCATTCTCTCACGCTTTGGGACCTTGTCTTTTACCCCCAACTTCATGCAGGATATACCACTACAAAAACTAATCAAGTATATTTCCAGCCACCAGGTCAGTAATTGTCACCATGCATGTTTTGTTGTATTTTTTTTTCGAATTCAATAATTTTCCAATGTCTTTTGAATATGAACGCGTGAAAAAGCAGTTTAGTTCCACGGACACTTCTATACAGTGAGGGTTCCTTTTAAGATGGAGAAGCTAGTTCTGCTTAAGCACTAGCTCTGTGAAACTAGATCAGCTTACTAAGGAAAAAGCCACACCTTAAATCAGCAATTTCTGACCACTGCAAAAGAGAAAATCCTATTATGGACTGGGACAACACCAGAACAGAATTTACATCAATGCAAAAGATGGCTACGGGAGGCATTTGAAATCAGGAAACAGGCTGATTTTAAACCGGTCCTCAATGGGCCAGTGGCTGGAGGTTTGACCAGACTCCACCTATTTCCTCATGTGAGTCCAGTTTTACCTTGAAGATTTGAGGAAATGGGTGGAGTAAAACTTGGAGCCACACCTGCTCTTTCTGGAACCCGTTTGACACCCCTGGTCTAAGCCGCCTCATTTTGTCTGTGTCAATTCAACATTCTGAAAAAACTCTAGCACCTAATGGGTTATTATACATTCTTGCTGGCATTGGTAGCCCGGGCTCAGTTGTGATTGTAGCTACTTTTATAACATCAAAAACATATGCCCAACTGCAGTTTTCATAATGCATGCTCTATTCTGTGTTTAGGTGGAGCATGAGAGTGAGCAGGCGCTGTTGCAGGCCGTTCTTCAGTGGTTGAGCCAAAGCCCGGAGCGCACGGCCCACGCTCCGCAGCTCCTGTCCCACATCCGCCTGGCCCTGATGCCTCTGGGAGACCTGGTGGGACGGGTATTGCCTGCCATCCGGGCTCTTCTCCCCAACGAGGCCGAGTGCGAGTCGCTGGTGGAAGAAGCCTTGGCCTACTATGCTAAACCCAGTGCCCAGCCACTCCTGCAAACTGGATCCACCTCCTTAAGAGATGGAGTGGACAGCTTGATTCTCGTTGGAGGAGAAGTGAGTTTTAATCCAGATGAATTCAACTTTTTGGACCTTTGATTATACTTGCAGATGTTTACACATCTGCAAATATGTTCTCTTTAGTAGTGTATTTAAGCTTTGTACTGCATGCTTTGTGTTAGCTTTGACTTGTAAATACACACGCCCCAAACATTGATCAGAAATATGAATTGAAACAAGATTACATTTTTTCTGGATCTTCCATTGATTCCATTCCAACTCAAATCCTCTTTTCCTTGCCCATCATTGTGTTTCTGACTTTGTTGAAGCTTATTAACACATTCTCAAAATTCATGTTATTCAACTTGATACTCATGTAGCAAATCAAATATACTAGTAATATTTATTTGTATAGCACATTTCACAGACTGAGCTTTTTTCCTCTCACTCCACAGTGATGGGAGTGGTCGCTGTGCTGGACCATGTCCATACATGCTGCAGGCCCATTCTCAATAGGATAGATTTTTATTATTTCATAGACATTGCCTTATACTGGGAGAGGCAGTTGCTCCATCGGCCTTTGCCAGATTTATCAGAAGTGCACACAATTCCTCCATCCTCATTTTTAATTGAGGATCAGTAATCTGTTTTTCTTTGGTGGAGTTTAAGGATCATCCTGGACTTTAGAGAAACTTGTTTGGAACACTCCTTGTATCTGTCTGTTTGTGAAGGTGTCTGAGCGAGGAGAGGAGCTGAGTTCCAATGTGTGTCGACTGGACACACCAGCAGGAACTTGGAAGGTGGAGACTGAGCTTCCAGCTCAGCGCAGTCATCACTGCCTGGCTGTGCTCGGCAGCTTCATCTTTGCAGCTGGTGGCAGCTCAGCCAGGGATAATGGAGGAGATGCTGCGTGTAACTTTCTGTACAGATATGACCCACGTCACAATCAATGGACAAAGGTAATTTTAAGAATGTAATCTTTGTCTAAGATAGTTGGAGATAATAAAGCTCTGACATTCCCAGGGAGCCTCCATGAACCAGAGGAGAGTGGACTTTTTCCTGGGGGCAGTAGGTGACTGTCTTATCGCTGTTGGAGGCAGAAACGACTCTGGGGCTCTGTGCAGTGTTGAAGTGTACTATCCCACTGAAGACCGCTGGTGCTATGTCGCTGCATTACCCAGGTGCGTTTCCACCATGTTTATCCGCTAACTCTACACTTGCAGTTGTCTAATGGGGCTTGGTTTAATGTGTTTTGTCAGGTGCACCTATGGTCATGCAGGCGCAGTGCACAGAGGTGCGGTGTACATCTCTGGTGGACATGATTTTCAGATTGGACCGTACCGCAGAGACGTCCTTAGTTATGAACATTCTCAAGACGGTTCTCAGTGGGTGGAGCGCCCTTCAATGACCCATGCTCGAGGTTGGCACTGCATGGCCTCCCTGCACCACCTCATCTATGCCATCGGGGGCAGTGATGACCATGCGGCCACAACAGAGCGCTTTGACGTGCTGCAGGTTGAGACTTTTGACACTCACAAGGGCCAGTGGAGCTGTGTGGCTCCTCTGCTGCTGCCCAACAGTGAGGCAGGACTGGCCGTTTGGGCTGGACGCATTTATGTTCTCGGAGGCTATAGTTGGGAGGGCATGGTTTTCTCCAGAGCGACTCAGGTCTATGACCCCGCTAGAGGAGTGTGGTCTCAGGGGCCTGACTTGCCCAAGCGCATCGCAGGGGCCTCTGCCTGTGTGTGCACCGTGAGGCCCTCACGGCCTTCTGACTCCAAAGACCAGAGGAACAGGCTTCAGCAGAAACCTCCCACGTGACAGCTGTTGGAGCTGAGGCTTTTATCACCAAGACATTGTGATCAACCACCTTCTCATAAGGGCTGAATATTCTGGAATGTGTTCATTCATAGGCTTAAGAATGTGGCATAGGCTTAGGAATAATTTTGTGTTAAACTTTATATGTTCACAAACATGTGCAATAGAAATACATTACATTGTACACAAAATGTTTGTTTTCTGTTGGTAGCCTCACACAAAGGGGTAGTAAGGATGAGACTTGAGTCTGTAACACACAATCAATGAAACAATCAGAAATGCAAATATTAATATACAGTATAATGTTATAAAATATGCTATGCCACATACTCTTCCATCGCACAAGCTCTCCATCCACGGTCAAGGCCTCTGAGAGCCGCCATATCTTCTTCTGTTAGTCTAAAGTCATGGATCTGCATGAACAAAGAACAGGATTACTTTCAAAATCATTTTATTTATTTAAATTCTTAACATGTGAAAATGTCATCAGCCTTTGTGAGGCCATCATGGGATTAATAAAATGAAAGAAGTTGAAATCATGATTAAATGTTGGCACTGGAAGTGTGGATCTTCAATAAATAAGGGCCTTGCATAATGCTTATTTATTACTGTGTGGTGTTTGTGTCCTTGGCTTTATGCCTATATTTGGATTACCTTTGTATTCTCCAGGATGTGATGAGCTCGCTCACTCTTTGGGATAACTGCAACACCCTGTTGTGTGTGATACTTCAGTAAAACCTGGAAACAAAATTAATTTAAAATGTGTAAAAAATAAATGTGAGTCTATATTCACCTGTGCAGGACTGCGTCTGTGCTCTTTGGCGATGTGTGTGACCACAGGGTCAGTCAGAAGGTTCACGGGGTCCGTGTCCCCGTTTAACCTGACCCGGGAACAACACATTCTAATGACACGTTTTTAAAAGTGACAAGTTACAACTTTAAAAGGTTTACTTCTGGATGTGACTATATTCAACATATTGTTTTATTTATTTAATTTAGGTTGCACTATCTAATATTTAATCAATATGTCTGCAAATAATTAATCCTAAATCACACACACAAAAAACATTGACTCATGACTTAAGTTTAAATTATTATATATTTACTGTAAAGCACGAAGCAAGGACTTTCCACAATGAACAACGTGTGGATCTGAAAACAAAGACATGTGTAGTGTGCTTTTTCTTTTTGGATTTTGAAATCTCAATAAACTGACATTGTGGGTCTCACTTCACACAGATCTCAGAAGCCAGGGCCAGGTCAGTACTGTGATGGAGGACCTCTGGGAACAACTGCGGCTGTAAGGTGCTAAATTGTCCTTAGGCAAGACACTTGACCTGCGTTGCCTGGAATCAGACTGGTATGTGGTGGTAGTCTGTGAAGCTCATGGCCCAGGCTAGCAGCATCACATCTGTCAATCTGCCCCAGGGCAGATGTGGCTACAGTAATAGTTTACCTCCATCGCGTGTGGAGTGAATGAATAATGCCAGGTGAAGTACCATAAGTGCAATAGTGCGATAGTATTGATATCTGCTTACATCTCTGCTGGTCTCCCCGGGGATCCAAACGGACTGTAGGCAGTCAGCGCTATGTTCTTGGATTTACAGAACTCTATCAGTTCAGGCTGCACCAGGTATGGATGGAGCTCCACCTGCAGTTTCACAAATATTTGATGAACCAGACCCATTGTTAATTTCAATCACGCCAAAGAAACAAAATAATCACTATATAATCACTGTACTAAAGTCTAATGTTAGGGATCTGTATATACGTTTCTGTCTGTATGGAGGGTACCTTGTTGATCTGTATATACGTTTCTGTCTATATGGGGGTACCTGGTTGATCTGTATATACGTTTCTGTCTATATGGGGGTACCTGGTTGATTTGTATATACGTTTCTGTCTATATGGGGGTACCTGGTTGATTTGTATATACGTTTCAGTCTGTATGGAGGGTACCTGGTTGACAGCAGGCGGGACCCGACACAGGGCCAACAGTCTCTCCAGCTGCAAGATGTTGAAGTTGGAAACCCCAATGCTTTTCACTTTCCCAGAGGCCTGGAGAGCCTCCATCCCCTGAGGGAAACAACACAGTACAGAATATGACTGTGGAGTTAATAAAACTAGAATTGTCAAAGAGAGATTGTCGTTTTGAAGTCCACAGCCAGTCCACATTCTCAATCAAGAGAAGCATGGAGGTTGTGCGGACAGATTCAACAAGACAAATTATACAGTGAACAGAAAGAGTAATAAAACACACTTATAATGATTGTTCTTACTCTCCACACATCCACGTAATCTATGTCAGACGTGATCTCCTGTCTCTCCTTCTGGGCATCTCCTGTTTTCTGAACAATACAAAAGAATATGCCTAGAATGACACATTACATTTATATTTCAATATTAAACATGCGTGCGTGTGTTTTTCACAAACTTTTAGAGCAACAGGAAAGTGCACCAGAAAAAGGTCCAGGTAATCCAGCTTTAGATCTGCTAGAGACTTGTTGAGACCCAGAGGGATGTCCTCTGGAGCATGGTGTGCACTCCACAGCTGAAGAAAAGGAAACAAGAAAAACACTCCATCCACAACTGAGCCTTGAATAATTCAGACTGGCAGCGGTCTTACCTTACTGACTATGAACATGTCCTGGCGTCGAATGATCCCCTGTTGTATTTTGGCTTCCAGGGCTTTCCCAATCTCCTTTTCATTCTCGTAACAGTATGCAGTGTCAATATGACGGTATCCTGCCACGATTGCTGCCTCCACTGCTCCCTGCATCGAGGTCTTGGGGAGAAGTGGGGACTGCAACACAGCCTCAGGTCAGTCACTCATACACTGGACAGCAGGCACCAAAAGGTTTTTTACTGGTTTGACATAAATGTACCGATGAATTACAGTATCTCATCAGTAAACAATTACCAGTATCACGATCAAACAAGTACTCCATGCTAAATGGTGGAACGTTTTTTAACATTTACATATTTTACATCTATTTTAAGATATAACTAGACAATGACAACATACAATAAGAACCTCAACGAGAAATTGGCCACTTTATATTGCATTGTTTTATTTTCTCTTTTCTCCTGAGATAATCAAAAATAAAACTATATATACAAGCTAAAAAATAGCTTGACACAAAGTCATCTTGCAGTTGGATACACACCATCAACACAGACTCACCCAAACAACACGTGCACACACACAGATACACACACACCTGTTCACATGCACACACATACATACACACACACCTGTTCACATGCACACACACACATACATAAATAAAACCATGGTAACGTGACACATGCTTACAACACATGAAGCTAAACACTTAAGACTGAAGTTCTGGAGCTTTGATGCAATGGTCTCTTTGAAGTATTGTCCACCAGACAACTAACAAAAACTATAATAACAAAAAAATAAGAAAACATATGTTGTGTCTCATTTACCTTCCATGTTCCCAGGCCTAGAAGTGGAAACTTGGAGCCATCATTGAGCAGAATGGTTGTCTGCACCTGTACGTCCTCCATGAGCTCAAACTAAGGACACTTTCATTTCCTCTTCAAACTGCTGTGTAATGTCCTTCCTTATGTGTGTGTTCTCAGCTTGGCCCTTCCTCCTCTTCACACACTCAGTATTGAGCCAGACGTTAATGATTGGACATTGGTCAAAGTACCTACATGTATTTATGTGTAAACAGAGAGGGTAGGTGAGGCAAAGGTGGCTGCTGTTATGGAGGCCTAAATGTACTGTACTGTGTGTATTTACAGTGCAATGGGTTAACTACAACAGTAGATGGGGATGTTGTATAGTGTAGAAGCTAAACAATAAAACACTAATTTTATGAACTGTGCTCTCTGACTTCACTATTTCACTAATGTTACTTACAAAAGAACTGTAGGACAAAACTAATCTTTTTTGAAACACATTTTTTCTTTGCTTGAATCCTGGCACAAGTGGATCGGCGATAGCTTATAAAGTCAGAGAGGATTCAGATAAATACAGCATTTGAATGTGTAGATTCAGTCCAGCAAGAACTCAGGAAGGCACTTGTTTTCAAAAGCTGAATCTTGACCATTTTGATTTGCTTCTTAGTGAGTATAAAATAATAATAAAGTAGCATTTCTAAACTCAAAATCTTCTGTTGTACAGTGGTCCCTGCTTTATAAAAGGGGTGTATGACGCTCTGAAATGACCCAAGAAGATAAATCCAGACCAGAGAGAGAGACCAGAGAGAGACCAGAGAGAGAGAGACCAGAGAGAGACCAGAGAGAGAGAGACCAGAGAGAGACTAGAGAGAGAGAGGCCAGAGAGAGACCAGAGAGAGAGAGACCAGAGAGAGACTAGAGAGAGAGAGGCCAGAGAGAGAGACCAGAGAGAGACCAGAGAGAGAGAGACTAGAGAGAGAGAGGCCAGAGAGAGACCGGAGAAAGAGACCAGAGAGCGAGACCAGAGAGAGAGACCAGAGAGACATCAGAGTGGAAGACTAGAGAGACCAGAGAGAGACCAGACAACACTTATCAAAGGTTCAGGACATCTGCATATTCTGCCATAACGTAAAAAGCCTATTCCGAGAGAAGGACACTCACCAGAATTACACAATAAAGTAAACAGCATATATTTGCCACTGTCAAACCAGAATGTGTATCTGTAATTTATTTGGACTCTCAGTCAGTTGTCTTACTGTAAATATATCACCAATCTGTCCATCGACTACTGCCCCTGATTCAATGAATATGTATACAATATATATATATATATATATATATATATATATATATATAAAGTATTGTTTTTGTTTTTTGTTTTTTTTATATACATATATATGTATATATGTATATATATATATATATATTCATATATGTGTGATTCACAACTTTTGAATCACACATGATGCAAATCGGCTCTACAAACACATTTTATTGTGTTTTGATTTATCGTCCCCCTGGCCCTGCTGGTGCTTTCTTAGCTGAGTTTACTGAATTTTTATCGTCCATTTTAAGACTGGAGAAGATCTTAATCCTTGGGGATTTTAACCTGCACATTGAGGATACTTCGGGTCTAGCTGCTGATTTTGTATCCATGACGGAAGCTTTTAATTTCACGCAGCATGTCTGAGGCCCCACTCATGTGAAAGGCCACACATTAGATCTGGTCTTTACATTGGGCCTTCAGGTGGCCAATGTGAGTGTTGAGGATGTGCACCTAAGTGACCATTACGGTGTGTTTTTTGATCTGCTGGGATCCTCAGACCCTCGCCCCCTACCTGCTAAAGTAGAGAGGAGGATTATTACGGATTCTACTGATGAAAGGTTCTGTGAAAGTTTTAACGCCTCTGTTGTATATGACTGCACCGAAATGGATGAGCTCATGTGCTCTTTTAATAATCACTGTACATCCATCCTGGACCAAGTAGCTCCTTTTAAAACTATTAATACGGAGCATCAACAGACTTGTCCCTGGATTAATGACACTGTTGTGAATCTCCGGAGATCCTGCCGTAAAATTGAACGCTTGTGGCACTCCACCAAACTTGAGGTTCACAGACTGCATCTGAGGGACCTTGTCGCCTCTCTAAACAATCAATTAGAGGAGGCCAGATCAAAATATTTTCAGCAGTTGATTGTCTCCAATAAGAGAAACCCCAAGGTGCTCTTTGACACCATAAACTCTATTGTCTCTCCTGCTGCTGCTGCTGTCGCAGTGCAGTGCAGAGCAGGTTGCACAGAGTTTCTGAGTTTCTTTATTGACAAGGTTAGAGCGATCAAAGACAATCTTCCTTCCTCTCCTTCCTTCAGTCATGCTCAGGTTGACCCTCCTCTTCAGAGCTGGTCGTCCTTCGAGTCAGTCACTAAAGAGGATATTTTATGCACTATAACCAGAAGTGTCGTGTTGTCGCCTGGATGTTGTCCCAGCTTGGCTGTTTGTTAATGTTTTAGAGTCTATCGGTCCGTCGATCACTAAAATGTTTAACATGTCACTCTCAACTGGTGTGTTCCCGTGCTCTCTTAAACATGCTGTTGTGGAGCCCCAATTAAAGAAACCCAGCCTGGACCCTACAGATCTTCAGAACTTTAGGCCCATATCAAAGATCCCGTTCTTGGCCAAAGTCCTGGAGAAGCTGGCCTACAACCAATTATCAGCGTTCTTGGAGGCTAATAATATTTTTGACTCCTTTCAGTCTGGTTTCAGGAGGTTCCACTCCACTGAAACAGCTTTACTGAAGGTGTCTAGTGACGTCATGATGGCTGCTGACTCCGGTAAATGTTCCGTCCTGGTCCTGTTAGACCTGTCGTCTGCCTTCGACACGGTGGACCATGGTATCTTGATCTCTAGACTCCGGGATGTGGTTGGTATGTCAGGCTCTGTGTTAGAGTGGTTTAGACCATACCTTACAGGTAGAACCTTTTGTGTGTCTTCAAACAATGTGGTGTCTGAATCCGCAGACCTACAGTGGGGTGTACCCCAAGGCTCTATTCTTGGGCCTATTTTATTTATGTTGTACCTGCTCCCGCTAGGAAAGCTGATCCGGCAGTTCAGTGAGGTCTCCTACCACCTGTATGCTGACGATCTCCAGCTGTACTGCTCTTTTAAGCCCTCTGAGCCCCAGAGACTGGTTGCTCTCACTAACTGTCTGGACAAAATAAAGATATGGCTTAGTGAAAATAGCCTCCAGCTGAACTCCAGTAAAACAGAAACCTTAGTGTTAACCCCGGACAGTATTGTTTCTGTTATTGCTCAGCACCTTGGTGACCTAAGTAGCTCAGTAAAAAAGAGTGTGAGGAACCTGGGAGTCACTTTTGATGGAGGGATGTCCCTAGAACGACACACCAAACAGCTGACCCGAAACTGCAATTTCCACTTGCGCAACATCTCTAAGCTCAGACAAATGGTCTCGGGTCCGGAGCTGGAGATGATTGTCCACGCTTTTGTTTCCTCGCGATTGGACTACTGTAACAGCCTGCTTACATGTCTTAGTAAAAAAGACCTGGCTCGTTTACAGGTCGTCCAAAATTCTGCTGCAAGGCTTTTGACCCGCACCCACAGGAGAGCCCACATTACCCCTGTCTTAAAGGCCTTACACTGGCTCCCTGTCTCACACAGAATACATTTTAAAATTCTGGTGTTGACTTTTAGGGCCCTTCATGGTCAGGCGCCTGAATACATCCAGGGCCTGATCCACCCTTATGTCTCCAACAGGAGTCTGAGGTCCTCTACTCAGAACCTGTTGATGGTCCCCCGGACTCGTTTCAAAACCAGAGGAGACAGATCCTTCCAGGCAGTTGCTCCTCGCCTTTGGAATGAGCTTCCTCAGTCTCTGCGTATCGTAGAGACTGTTGATGATTTTAAGTCCCAACTAAAGACACATTTGTTTGGACAGGCTTTCTCGCACCATTGTTCATAGGCCTCTGTGAATGTAAATTGTGTTTTCTGTGTTTGTTTTATCTGACTTGTATGTGTATTTTGTATTTTAATGTGTGAAGCGCTTTGTGACCCTGGTCTGTGAAAGGCGCTATACAAATAAACTTTACTTACTTACTTATTTACTTGGCAAGAACAATGCCCGGGCAATATTTTTTTTATATATATAAAAAATTGTCCACTCACCTTTGGCCCTCCGCGGGTGGTTATCCCTCTCTAAGCTCGGGTCCTCTACCAGAGGCCTGGGAGCTTGAGGGTTCTGCGCAGTATCTTTGCTGTTCCTAGCACTGCACATTTCTGGACCGAGATGTCCGAGGTTGTTCCGGGGATCCGCTGTAACCACTCTTCTAGCTTCGGGGTCACTGCCCCGAGTGCAACGATCACCACGGGCACTACTGTCACCTTTACCCTCCAGGCTCTCTCCAGCTCCTCTCTGAGACCTTGGTATTTCTCATGCTTTTCATGTTCTTTTTTCCGGATGTTACCATCACTTGGAATTGCCACGTCCACCACCACGGCTGTCCTCTGCTCTTTGTCTACCACCACGATGTCAGGTTGGTTCGCCATTACCATTCGGTCGGTCTGTATCTGGAAGTCCCACAGGATCTTTGCACGCTCATTCTCCACCACCTTTGGAGGAGTTTCCCACTTAGACCTTGGAGTTTCCAGCCCATACTCTGCACAGATGTTTCTGTACACTATGCCAGCCACTTGGTTATGGCGTTCCATGTAGGCCTTCCCTGCCAGCATCTTGCACCCTGCAGTTATGTGTTGGATCGTCTCAGGTGCCTCTTTGCACAACCGACACCTTGGGTCTTGTCTGGTGTGGTATATCTGGGCCTCTATCGCTCGGGTGCTCCTCAGTGCCTGTTCCTGTGCAGCCTATATATATATATATATATATATATATATATATATATATAAAAAAATTGTCCACTCACCTTTGGCCCTCCGCGGGCGGTTATCCCTCTCTAAGCTCGGGTCCTCTACCAGAGGCCAGGGAGCTTGAGGGTTCTGCGCAGTATCTTTGCTGTTCCTAGCACTGCACATTTCTGGACCGAGATGTCCGAGGTTGTTCCGGGGATCCGCTGTAACCACTCATCTAGCTTCGGGGTCACTGCCCCGAGTGCACCGATCACCACGGGCACTACTGTCACCTTTACCCTCCAGGCCCTCTCCAGCTCCTCTCTGAGACCTTGGTATTTCTCAAGCTTTTCATGTTTCTTTTTTCCGGATGTTACCATCGCTTGGAATTGCCACGTCCACCACCACGGCTGTCCTCTGCCCTTTGTCTACCACCACGATGTCAGGTTGGTTTGCCATTACCATTCGGTCGGTCTGTATCTGGAAGTCCCACAGGATCTTCGCACGCTCATTTTCCACCACCTTTGGAGGAGTTTCCCACTTAGACCTTGGGGTTTCCAGCCCATACTCTCCACAGATGTTTCTGTACACTATGCCAGCCACTTGGTTATGGCGTTCCATGTAGGCCTTCCCTGCCAGCATCTTGCACCCTGCAGTTATGTGTTGGATCGTCTCAGGTGCCTCTTTGCACAACCGACACCTTGGGTCTTGTCTGGTGTGGTATATCTGGGCCTCAATCGCTCTGGTGCTCAGTGCCTGTTCCTGTGCAGCCATGATGAGTGCCTCTGTGCTGTCCTGTAGGCCAGCCCTTTCTAGCCATTGGTAGGACTTCTTGAGATCAGCCACTTCTGTTATGCTCCGGTGGTACATGCCGTGTAGGGGCTTGTTCTCCCATGATGGGCTCTCCTCCAGCACCTCCTCATCTCGCCACTGCCTGAGACATTCACTGAGTACGTCATCCGTTTTGGCCTTCTCCATGATGTAGTTATGGAGTTTGGATGTTTCGTCCTGGACAGTGGCTCTCACACTCACTAGTCCTCGGCCTCCTTCTTTACGGCTTACGTACAGTCTCAGGGTGCTGGATTTGGGATATATATATATATATATATATATATATATATATATATATATATATATAAAAATTGTCCACTCACCTTTGGCCCTCCGCGGGCGGTTATCCCTCTCTAAGCTCGGGTCCTCTACCAGAGGCCAGGGAGCTTGAGGGTTCTGCGCAGTATCTTTGCTGTTCCTAGCACTGCACATTTCTGGACCGAGATGTCCGAGGTTGTTCCGGGGATCCGCTGTAACCACTCATCTAGCTTCGGGGTCACTGCCCCGAGTGCACCGATCACCACGGGCACTACTGTCACCTTTACCCTCCAGGCCCTCTCCAGCTCCTCTCTGAGACTTTGGTATTTCTCAAGCTTTTCATGTTCTTTTTTCCGGATGTTACCATCGCTTGGAATTGCCACGTCCACCACCACGGCTGTCCTCTGCCCTTTGTCTACCACCACGATGTCAGGTTGGTTTGCCATTACCATTCATATTACCACCATATTACCATTACATATATATATATATATATATATATATATATATATATATATACACAGGAATGTATATATAGAGCAGAAAGAGAGAGAGAGCAGTGCAAAAAGATAATTATGTTTCCCTCTATGGTCTGAGAATAAAGGTATAAAGGTATAAAGGTATAAATAAGAATCAGGTCTCTCAATATTGGCGTTGAAGCAGCATAAATGATTTTTTTGAAAAGTGTAATTTTCTGTTTTGTAGTTGTGCTGTTTACAAAGGAAGGTAAACATGCTCTCCACAATTTGCAAACTTCTATTGATTTTTTTTTCTTTTTATTTAATGATCTGATGTGATAATCTGTTTCATGAGACCTATTTCCTCTGACTTCTGATTGTTTTGAGCAGCTCTTTGTGCACCATCCATATTCTCCTCCAGATCTGGGGCCGTATTCCTAAAGATTCTTAGTGCTAAAAGTTGCTCCTAGTGGCCAAATTCTAAGAATTTTCTTAGAATCTTGACCAACTCTTAGAATTTCCCCTAAAAGTGACGAGTAGCTCCTAGTTAAGATAAAAGCTATTCCTAAAGAATCCTAGCTCTTAAGAGTGCTCCTAAGGGGAGATCCCTTAAGAGTTGAGAGGTGGACTTTTAGCGACTTAAAAGTTCCCTAAGAGCTCAAAATGGTGGACGGTGGAGACAGGAGAAATATTCTATACACTGGATGACAGTGAATCAGTGAAACGCTACAGATTGAGTCGAGCAGGAATTATGCTTCTGTAATATTTAAAAGTCAATCATGTGACCAGCTTCTTATAGGCTGGCCAGCAATAACAACTCATCCATTTTACCCTTGTTACACAAAAGTAGGTAGAAATGGTGAAAGTTGAAAGAGAGAAAATAACCAGCATGGTAATAATAAAAGCAAGTAAATGTAACTATTATTGCGTTAATACTGTACAAGTGGGCCTACATTTTCACACATTCGGTACGAATGAATGAATACTTTATTTTGAGCCATGGCAAACAAGAAAAAAGGACAAAAACAAACAAAACAACAACAGAATAGAAGTACAAATACACAGTTTTGTTTTATTAACAACAATCCAGCTCAAAAAGGAGTGAGAGAGGTTAAGACTTTTAAACTCCCTTGTACTTGATTTGTACATTGTATGTATAATATGTTTGTATTAATATTGTTTCCTTAATGCCTTATACGTCTGTCAGTATCACAGCCTTTACTAATCCTAACGTTATCACTATCATCATTTATCCATATAATATTTATAATAATAATTTTCTTTTTCATGTATATTATATATAGAGTAATATTTAAATTGTATGTATATATACATAAATATATATATATATATATATATATATATATATATATATATATATATAATATAAAATTATAAGTGCTCATGATATATACGTACTATGTATTTGTTAGAAATTGGTGCTGAGCAAGCTCTGATGATGTGGTGTATAAGTCTAACTTTACTATTCACAGTATTTATGCACCATTGATATATCTGACTTTATAGCGTTTGGTTATTATTTACAATAACACAGTATTCCTAAGATTAGATTCCATGATTGAGTTTGTCCATTTTAGGGCCCTTATTTTGCCCATTATCATCAAAAATATGTTTTTACTAAATTTTAAGATCAACCAATCACAGCGTCTGAAATGATGACTCATACCTAGCAACGGGGTCGGCCACGCCTCCTCACTAAGATAAAAGTTGTTATCAATTCCTTGCTCAAAGTTCTCTAAGAGTGTTCTGGAATAACTTTTAAGCTAAGGCTAGGAGTTTTTAGGGTAAGATAGGAGCTCTCTGAGAGGACTCTTAGAATCTTTAGGAATACGGCCCCTGGTTTTTATCAGACCATCCCCGCGGCCCTGGGGTTTCCTCGAGTGGTCACCCATGGGGTCACGAGACGATGTCAAGATACAATCCTAAAATGATAACGTATTCACCACATTTCACCGACTCTTTTAAACTGAACAGCACTAAAACAATGTACTTTTGATTTTAGGTGTAACAGTCTAAAAAGTTTGGGAACCAGAATAGCCATTAGAATTTAACATGGTGGCTTGACCCATAATGCATTGCTTGCTTTGATCAAGACATTCAATTCAAACAATCTTAACATTTTCTCTGTGTTTGATGGAAAGTGTGTGTTGGCTTTTCCTTGATTACTTTTATACGTCTAAATACAGTAGATCTTCCCAATTCCGAACTTTTAGTGTCTCAATTATGCATTTTTTGTCACAGTTTGGACTAACAGAGAAGAAGCATCTTTCATCACTTCAGATCAATTAGGAAGAAAATCAGAAATGTAAAAAAATAGATACAGTATATCATAATTTATTTTATTTTGAAATTACTCCACTCAAATATAAAACAGACTTTACATGTAGATATTGACCTTTTCAGTGTAACATGAGACAAATGCAACACACGTAATAGTGGCATAAACACATTTATGTATTTAATGAATTCATACATAAGCTAAATATTCATGCAAAATATGTGAAATATAATGATATAGTTAAATCCACAGTACTAAAAAGCATCATTTACATTCATGCTTCCTGCATCATTAAAGCTATACAAAATGCAGAGAAAGTCAGTATAAATATACATAAGTATATAGGGTAGTCCGTAAAAAATATAAATAGATCTTTGATTTGGTTTACATCAAATTGGACATGGTAGAGCTGGCTCTGATCACTGGTCCAGATCATTGCTGTCCCGACTCCTGGGTCTATAGTGAGTCAGACAGAACTCTCGAATCCGTCCACACGCCTCCACCATCTGCTCCTCTGGAACAGTCACCACAATCCGGAAGTAGTTTGGGTACTCAAAAGCCTGGGGAGGGACACATTTACCATCACTCATTCCATTCACTGCTGTAATCGCATTCTACTCCTTTTTTTTGTTTTTACTCAAAGCTCATGACCATATGAGAGTGAGAGCGTAGACTGACCACAACGGTTCGATACAGCTCTGAATGCAGACGCTGCTCCCTCTTGACCACAACAGTCTGATATAGAAGCCGCATCGCTGCACACGCTGCACTGATCTGTCTGTCTGCTCCATCCTCCTCTCACTCGTGAACAAGACCCAGAGAAATGTCTCCAACTGACAAGGCATCTTTCTCTAGTCAAGAGCTACGGTCTCTGATTTTAAAGCTTGCTGCCCTACCCTCCCTGCCTCTGTAAAAACAATGAGCAGAACCGTTGACACAGGCTAACCCTGATGGAATCCAACATGTATTGGTATCCTGTCTGACTTACTGCCATCAAAGTTTTTTTTTTTTTTACTTAAGTCTTTAAACCATCAGATTTGGAATTAGGAAGAGAAACACTTACTGATGCAGGAAGGCAGAACACCGACTGCTCTGTCACCAGTCGCTCTGTAAAGTCCACGTCGTTTTTAAAATCAGGAAAGTTTTCCATGTCGATGCCCACCTGGAAAAGTGTATGGACAAATTAAGTTAAAGCCGCAAGGGACAATAAAAGCCCTCACCATCCTGTGGCTCTTGATGCCCGTTAAAGACACCACACCTCCCTTGTGCCGCATTGGCCCAGTCAAACCAGCGCCTCGGCCTCTTCATCTGCCCTCCTCCCCTATTTACATACTGTATTCTTGCTATTGAGTAACATCAGGGAGGTCCATGGCATGGAACCAGTGGCCTCGTAATACTGCTCTAGTGTGATCGTTTTTTTTGTGAAAGACTGATTAAAAACTGAATGTAGAGCTCAACTTGCTGTTCCCCTTTTTGAGCATGTCTCAGGGATCAAAAATAAGAACTACAATAATATTAAAGGTGGGGCACCTAACCTTAACAAAAAAATTCAACTATGTAATAAAATCGATCTCACTAGTTCCTTGTTCTCTCATTAGTTTTCACATACATGTTTTTTGCGGTGTTGCGGTCTGGATTTATTCATTTAACTTTTACAAGAATCCTTCTGTCGGGACAAACAAAATATCTTGAAAAAAAGTGATGTACCCCAGCTTTAATATAATATAGCGTCCATAGAAAACCATTGTTGTTGTATTGTTGTATACTCACCATTATGTACATGGCTCCAGAGGGCATGATGGGGGTCAGGCCTGGGACGGCCGACAGCTCATTGAAACATATCTCTGAATTTGACTGTGGACAAAAAAAAGAGATATGTCTTGTTTATGGTTATGCACAAACCCATTTATGTCAAATATATGAGTAGAGGACATTGAAAGATGGAGCCCCACCTGCAGGAAGCTGACGGTGCTACTGTAAAAGCTCGGCGGAGTATTGTTGAGAATGCTCTCTAAAGCGCCCTGGACAATAGTACAGGCTCCAAGAATCCTCTGACTCAACTTCACCAAGCCCTGCCGTATCTGCTCACAACACACAAGAACACATGCGTTTAAAAGAATCATAATGGCTAAAAGACTTGCATTTTGTAAGTACTAAATCACAATCAACAATGGAAAAAATAATGATAAAACAACAATAGATAACTTTGTTCACCTCAGACCCAAATATATTGTTGCGGTCATGGATTAAGATCCAGCCTAGACGCCATCCCGGGACAAGCCAGCGTTTAGCCAGACCCCCACAGGCCAGGATGGGCACGTCAGCACTGAGAGAGGCCATGGAAGGGGAGCTGCAACCTGGGAACACCTATAACACAGATAATTAGACTTTAATGTCTATACATATTTCAGTCTATAGTAATGTATATAGAGTTTATACTTATTAATTATTGATAAGATAAAGATTTTGTATAGATTTGTGCTGTATTTAATATTCACTTATCTTATGTTGTGTTTGTGTCTCCTCATTCCTATTGTTCTGTAACCTGTGATACAACTGTGATATTTCCCCACTGGGAATGAAAAAAGGATCCTCTAATCTTCATCTTAAAGGGGGGGTGGATACTTTTGATCAAGGTTATTTGCATAGTTTCTGTTGTCGTCATAATTCGAAACTATAAAACATGTTTCTTTGACAATAAATGGTTTCAATCCGCCACTTAAAATGAGTGGAGAAAAAGCACTATTATAGAACTTTTTTTTTCTGCAAAGCAGTGTAAACTTACAATCATGACTGTAGTTTTATTTTACAATGGTATTTGTAGTTCAGTTTCAAGTCTTTACTTTGAGCATCTGTAAAAGTGCAGGCAGTTTGAATGAGACTATTCTATGTTAGAGCAGCACTCAAGTTTTCGAGGACAAAGAAATCTGCATTCCACGATTACAGTACAGAAGGATTCCGCTCTGAGGTTGTTTCTCATTGGAAAGTTGGGGATAATTGGGGATCTGCCCCGTCTGCTATTGGCTGGCTGAATTTGAATGACATAATAGCTGAACATGTGTGCAGCATCACAGAAGTTTTTTTCAGAATTGTGGCTGAACGAATTGTGCGTTGGCTTGAAGTAGAGTCATATTGCGGCCAGTTCCAGCATTTACTGTATGTAATGTTCTGTGCAATAAAACAGTCTTTCCTTGCAAGACTGTTCCCTGGAGGTGCTCCACTGACTGCCCTCACTGGCCCCTGGACGAGGACAGGACTGTAAAATTGGGCCCCACATCCCCCTCTGTCTCGTCTCTGGCTCTCCACCCACCACACACCCCCATTCCACACTTTTTGCTTTGCCAGCGGTCTCCAACAGCATTAATGGCAAACATATGTATAGAAAGTGCCAAGTCATTGTGGAGCGATTCGGTTCAGGGAAATCAAGAAGACACAACACAAGGTTTTTACATGAAGCTCAACTCGGTGAACTGATATGAATCTGGATTTATGTTCATCATTATGAAGGCGTTGAGTGTATTGTGGTCAGGATTGTGTATGTGAAATATTTTTATGTCAAATTAAATCTTTGAAATGAAAACTCTGATCAACTGAAGATTGTTTAGAAATAAAAATAGATTATTATATTGGAAAAAAAATTCTTTGTATATTTCAGTTCCAAACCCAGTAAATGTAAATAAGTGAGTTGGAATGGATCAGTGACTGAGTCTCTTATCGAAAAAGGTGGAAAATCACAGCACTAGATAAGTGAACATATCTTATCTGCACTATATTTGAGCTGGGAAAACAGAAAACCTGTGGCAGTCAAAGACCTCCACCAATTGAATCAAGGCCAGAATCGATTTGGAGCTCGTAGCATGAAATGCAGACAAAGAAGCATAAAACGTATTATCTAACTTGCAGCTGTCCATAGGTCATTTACAATACTGGGAGGATGTATATGAAATCTTAGAAATACAACCCACTGCTGCTAATTAGGGTCATGTTAGTACTAGAAGGCAGAGCCTAACCTGTGTAGCTGCCTATAAACTATAAACCAGACCACAGAGCAGCACTTACAGAGGTCTTGTGTCTCGTCCACTGTCTGTGACTCACCATATCACTGTAGATCTCATCTGCCAGGATGGGAACACAGTGTCTTGAGGCCACTGAAACAAAGAAACAGTCTTTTTATTTGTCTAATAATAGAGAGTTTTTCTTACATAAGGAAAAACAATATGAACTAAATAAAAAATATGTTCTCATCCATATAAAAGCAAATATTGTGTGATGGTTGTAATATCTGTGTGAAAGGAGTTACCTTTGAGAATCTTCTCTAGATGCTCTTTGGTGAAGACCGAGCCGCAGGGGTTTGAAGGGTTAGTAACAATGATGCATGAGGTGTTCTCATCAATCAGGCTCTCTAGATGCTGCAGGTCCACCTCCCAAGCCTTCTCAGGCTAAAATATAAACTTGTGTCAATAGTAAGAACATAAATGTGGTCATGCTGTTACAGCAGAGAGTGGGACATACCAGTAGATTGTAAAGTTTGACCTCAATGCCCATGGAGACAGCCAGAGTTTTGTAGAGAGAGAAGCCTGGGCAGGGCACCAGGATGTTGTCCCCAGGGTTACACAGCACACTGATAGCCAGGTCAATGGCTTGGCTGCAGCCGCTGGTCAGGATCACGTCCTGCAAAGGGAGAGAATGTTGCATCACACAACACAAAGCTGAAAAGCTTGCATAAAAGCAAAGTTGATGATCCATATTGCTCCATATAGATCATTTCCTTGAGAATATCCAACACACACAGTTGAACTCACTTGTGCGTCCAGCGGTGCTTCAGGAGAGCTGTAGAAGTTAGCAACAGCCTGTCTACTCTGTAGGTAACCTATAGAAGTTTTGAGTTAGAATCAATGCTCAGGATCAATGACATAAATGATCTCTCACACTCACCAACTGATGGAGCATAGCCATTAAACTTCTGAGAGTCAATGGCATCTTTCATGGCCTGCAGAACGACTTTGTCTGTTGGCAGGTTCCCAAAAACTGTCGGGTCTCCTGTGACATAATGACAACAGAGACCACAAGCATTAAATCCCATTATTTTTGGTTTTACTTTAATTAATAAACAGGATTAAATAAATAAAAACTTGGCCTAAATCAAAAACTCCTGGGGCCTACTGGAGGCATGTTGTTAGTATGTGGTAAATGCTAAGTGCTAAGTGGTGCTAAGGAAGATCACCATGAGGCCATTTATCTTAAGTCTGGAGTTGTCTTTAACTTTAAAATATCAGAGCAGTATTATTTGTCTTAACTTAAGCCTAGGCTATATCAAAACATTTGGAGTTCCACATTGCATAAGTACTGTTGTGAAGTCAAGTAAAAAAAAAATCTCATACAAAGTGTTTTGTGAGTGACAGTGTCGTACCGATGGAGAGGGCGATCATGGGTTTCTCAGGATTGGGGTTGAGCTTCATGCCGTCCACGATGGCCCTGATTGGATTCAGAGTGTTCTGAGCCATGTCCGAGGGCTTCACCTCCCAGCACTGTCTACGGCTCTTGACTTTGGCGGGATACAGACTTCCGTTCACTTGGACGTGGTGCAGACCATTCCTGGTCAGAGCTTTCCCTTTCAGACCACTTCCATTCATCTTGTTCTTTAGCAGCACTCCATTCTCACTCATCTTCACCAAGTAAGACTTGTTTTCCATTGTTATCTGAAAACATAATCAAATAATAATAAAAAACAATGAAAAAACATTTCCTAAGATTCTCCTGTTTTCCAACTGTTGACCTGAGCCCATGATTCACACAAACATGTTATAATATATATATATATATATATATATATATATATATATATATATATATATATTATATAATTATATATAGTATAGGTAACCAGAACGTAACGGTGTTACTGCCTTATTATTACATTAGCAACTCGGTATCCTTTTTTCACTCATTCACCCTGAACTGATGATATTATTGTACAAAATTGTATTGATTATTTTAACTCATTAAAAACATTACATTGTGTGTATTTAAGCCAAACATTGTGAAAGGAGAATGAATGATGTGAAGAGGCTCAGTTATTTTCACATGACAGAAATCTCCTTTTCAGCCTCGTAAGTCTCTTGAAAGACACATGTTGACAGTTGATATTGAAATTGTGATCTTAACAAGAATTTAATTCTAACAAACCATCATAAACTAAGTGCACAGTGAAATACACAGTGTACCATTTTGTCAAAAAATAATAATGTTGCTTGATTATAATAATAATAATAATGATACAAATATTAACGAATTGACTTAAAGGGGTTAAGTCAATTCGTTAATATTTGTATCATTATTATTATTATTAAAGGCATAACAAATCAACAAATGATTTAATAAAAGATTTACTTTATCAAATCAATAATGCTCCAACTCATATTGCTCCAATTCAGCCAAACATCAGAGGAATGAAAAACACAGTTTTTTGTCTAACTCTGATTTGCTTTGAGATTCAATCATGTCTGAGTCTACAAACAATTTTATCTGAAAAGCTTTTTTTTCTTGGAATAAATCTAAGAAAACAGGTCCCGTGTAGTAGTTTTGAATCTGGTCCATCTCTAATAATTCAGATTCAGATTCATTTATTTGCCATTTGCAGTAAAACCACATTGGAATACATTTTTAAGTTGCAGTCCCCTTTGTGCACAAGACAAGTACACACATAAAACAACATTAAAAGTACAGAAATAAAAAAATACAACCGTAATCAATTGCCACTGTGAAATCGATCGACTAAAACAGTTTCAATACCAGTGCAAGATCATTAAAGTGCTCTGTTCAAACTGATTACAGCAGTGGAAAGAAGCTCCTAGCATATCGAGATGTCCTGCATCTCAGTGAACGATATCTTCTGCCAGAAGGAAGAAGGAACATGGCTTTTCCAGGGTGGCCAGAAGAGTCATTGATTATTCTTTGAGCTCGGTTTAAAAGTCTGGATTCATAAAGAACCTCCAGAACAGGCAGCTCACAGCCCACGGTCCTCTTTGCAGAGCGGAGCATCTTTAGAGCTCTCCTTTCTTTGTCTGAGATGTTACCAAACCACATTCACAGAACCAACAAGAAAACTTTCAATGGTGCATTATTTAATTATTATTGAAACATAAAGTTATATGATAACATTTATAGATAAATACATTCCCCCACTCCTTACCTGATGTTTTGACTATTTCCAGTTGCTGAGTAAAGCCGTGTTTTTGTTAGTTGGATGTAAATTTTGCTGTGGTGATGCGCGCAGGATTTATACTTTGGGGGAGATGGGTGTAGAAGCGCACCACTCTCCTATTGGTGCAGCCGAGGGCTCAGCCTCTACACCCCGTTACATCAGCCTGTTAACACGAACCAGGCCCCCGCTCCACGGACACGCTACCGTCACCTGCAGCCCACAGACGCCCTCCGCCACTGTGTCAACAGGATGCACGCAAGTCCACGTCATTTACATATTACAACAAATGATAATATTATTATAGTTTGGAACTTGTACTTGAAATTCAACATCTACAAATCCTATGTGCCTGATTAATTTTTTTTATGTGGCCATTCAACGCAAATGCGACACATGAGGCCACAACGCCACGTATATGTTACAATGTGCCTAATATTGACCTAAACCAACGGGTTAGTCCCGACATAAACCTGATTAATAGTGGTTTAGTATTGTGTACAGGCAGAATGAGGAACAACTCGGTGGCTGCTGTGGTTAGCACTCTTGCTTCTCAGCAAGAAGATCCCTGGTTCAGATCTCAGCAGCAGCAGGGATTTTATGGGGCATCTTGTCTTATCTTGTCCTCTTTGGTTTCCTCCGGGTGCGCTGGTTCCCCCTCCACTAAGAACATGAACAATATTTATAAAACCTCCAGCTTTGATTTTCATGACTGAGAATCAACATCTGGAGATGGGTACACTGCCCTATAGTGGCATGGTCGGATGGGTCAGATTCACAGGACAAACTGTCCGATGGGGTTCAATAAAAATACTGTAAGGGCTCTTTGAATATTCTGCTCATTATTATTATTATTATTATATCATGATACATAATATTTGATATACTGTAGCCTAGATATTGTATTGTATATTTGTAGGGCTGGCCCACATGAATTTGGCCTAAATATAAGAACAACATGTTATGCTTTCTCTCATCCGGTTACTTTCAGGTAAATCAATAGCCTACATCACAACATCACACATCCGCACTGATAACACTGTTGTGATGAAACGTCATACTCAAATAAACGCATATATGTTTTCATTCAGCTTTTTTTGGGATCAAACACCCAACCCCCACACTGAAAGTAAAATGAAAAAAGTACTGCATGTTTCGCAGCCCACTGCCATAGTTTTACTGTTGTGTTTTATTACCCTGCACCAGCTCCATGGACCCCCACTGGGAACACTGTGTGGAAGCCGCTGTGAAAAACCAAAATGGATGCTTTATATTTATCCATAAAAACACAGTAGATCTAACACAATAACAGAGATGCACATATAGGCTTTCTGTGTTCTCACATGCAGATTTTTTAATACCATATTTGTTTTCTTCAAGACATTTTTCCTAAAGTGCAAAGTCATGGCACTCTGACGGGTCACAGTATAAATCTCACAGTCAGGAGTCTGAGAGAAAACACATTTTTGGGCCAATCACGAGAGCTCATACTCATGGGCTTCAGTTTCCTGTTGTCAAATTATGAGATCTTTTTTTTCACCATTTAAAAGAACAGTATGTACAGTGTATACGTTAAATGAGCATGGAAACATATTATTATTCACACGCAAAGCAGAATGAGTCAGTTTCTGGTCAAATCCAGCCCAGTTTAGTCCTTACATGTGGCCAGACTTGCATGCAAGAGTAATATCCCGTTAAACCTCTACATGTAAAGCTGTACAGGTCAGAGCTTGGTTAGTACTGTGATGGGAGACCTCTGAGAACAGTGCCAAACTGTGCTTGTGTCCTTAGTTGTGTCCTTAGGCAAGACACTTGACCCACCTTGCCTAGTGTGTGTGTGTCGGTGTGGTCAGTGGGGTTGATGGCACATATCTTATATAGTGCCATCAACCTTGCGCATACATCTATGTGCCATAGGGCAGTTGTGGCTACAGCAGTAGTTTATCTCCGTTGTATTTGAAGTGAAAAAATAAACACATGTGAAGCATCTTTGAGTGTCCAAGAAAAGTGCTATATAAAAAAAATACATGAGCACTAAAAACTACTGCTAATGAGAACTGGGGGATGGAAATTTCTACACCAGGGTTATTTGAATAGTTTCTGTTATATTTTGTATTTGTAAAATATTGTATATGTATTTGAAACATATTTGTTTGTCAATAAATGGTTTCACACAACCACCGACAAGTTAAAATGTCTTAGCAAAACACTGCAACATTTTTTTTTACTTCTGCCTGGGTCAGTAAACTTCACACCTCTATCTTATCAGCTGGTTTTAATATTGTAAATTATTTTATTGTTTTTGAGAATAGTTAATTGGTATGTCCATTCACGATCGATACCCATGTCCTCACCTCACCTTTACAGAACACTGGACCCTGACCCCCCCCCCACCACAAGAGCAAACAGCGGCCTCTTGACCGCAGCCATGATTGGTCGCTCACAGTTGACATTGAAGCAAGTATCTGATGCTCTGAATGGGACGGAGCTCATTGGCTGGTCCTGGTGCTGTCTATGGGCAGTCTGCGTGGTCGCTGTGACGTCTGACCTTCTGAAGCTCCTGGAGTCATCTTGTGTTTGTATAGTGAGCGCACAGAACATCAAACAGAACTGGGGTTATGTAACTAGAGACTAGTTAGGTTATGGTTAGACAGTACAATGATCATATTTTTCATTTCGTTAGCCTTTATTTCACCACTTCAAATCCGCTGAGATTTCAGACTTTGAAACCAGAAAGAAATAACAAAAGAAACTTTCAAAAGAACCACAAAAAGCAAAGAAAAATATGACACAAACATAATAATAATAATAACAAATATATACAGTATGTAAAATAATTAAACAAATAGAATAAAAGCAATTAAACAAAAAAAATATTGAATAATAATAATAACAATGCTAAGAATATAGCATATAAATCTGATTTCTCAGTAAAAAAGAGAGGACCAGCCCTCACTTCAGCTCTCACATTGTAAAAATTGTTTTCTAGTAAAATAAAGACGACATATTGTGGTCTGATGTCTACACGCAATGTTATGAAACAAGACTTTTTCTGTTGGAACAAACTTAACATCAACGACTTTTCTGAAACAACAACAAAAATTAGGTACTCCTGTTTATCATTATTAAGCTGCATTTAGAATATAATAAATAGCATCTTAAAGTGATTTGACTGCACGAAACTTGTAGATATCAGTTTTTTGTTGATGCCAACAAAGGGATCTTACATAACCGTGCAAATGTTGTACTGTTGTGTAATCTCTGTTGCACTATGTAGTAACAACTATGTAACAACTTTATATTTTCCCCTTGAATAGAGTAGATAAAACACAATCAGAAGCACTCGAAAAGGTCATAGGTATGATGTGAAAGAGCATTAGCTGAACTGGAGGGCTGTAAAAAAGGCTGAGGAGCAGAGACAGAAGAAGGTCCAAGAGAAATGTACACTTTTCTCACTTTAATTTTCATACACATTAAACAATTTCAACCACATTTATTTGAAATTCCACATAATCTGATATACGACGCTACAACGTTGCTTCATGAACTTCACTTCAATTCAATACATTTTGTTATAGTACTAAATCACAACAGTAGTTATTGCGGTCGAATTTGCCAAGACAGATGAGAGAATCAGTTCAAACACAAGAAACAATATGCTAAAAACACAGAGCCATTGGTTATTAAGGGGCAGTTGACCAATGTCCATAAATGTTGATAAAGTCCATAAATGTAGTTGAATATCAAGAGTCCTGGACCATCACCACTGTCCTTAGACCCCAAGGACAGTGGTGATGATCCAAGTCCTGCATCGGCAAAGAACAACTTTAAAAACCCAATGGGTGAAAAGTGGGTAAACTTCTGAACAGCTACAGCTCTATTTTAGATTAGGTCATACTCAAACTAAAGCCTGTAGGTCTATTTAACAATAATCTTCTGTATTCAAAAGGGTAACAGACCTTTAGACCATTTTCTCAATGTTTTTTTGCAAGGCTTGTACTCTGTATCAGAATCTGCCTCCTCCTCTGAAGAAGAACTGCCAGAGTGAAAAGAATAAACGTCCGGATCCATGTGCTCCTCCATGTCGTCATATTGTCTGTGCTGAAACCTCCCTTGAGTTATCTTTAAGCACTCTTCTGCACTCATTCGCGTCACGACCACAAACGGACGCATGTGGCAGCTACTCAATGTTCCGTCGCGACTGCTTGCCACGTGATCAATAGACCTCGCCTGAGCTGGGCTGTAATTGCGAGCATTGCTTGAACTGTCCGTTGCGGCGGACCGGGAAATCTTTCGTCCACGCCTCCGGGACCTCCGGGAGAACGTAGAAACACTCGCTTTGGAACAGGTGGCTCCCTGCGGACTTGAAATGTCTGCAGAATTGCTCGTGTTTTTTGCTTTTGAATCCCCTTCTTGCAGATCTTTGCTCGTAGAAGTACTTTTTACAGAACGGACAGTGACGGGAGTTACGGACTCGCATGGGACGATGACAACTTTAAGAGCACGGCCCCCGAGTACAAAGGAATGAGCTGCAGGTGGTGCGGAAGACAAAGGAGGGTCAATGTCTGTCGGTTCAGAAACATGATTTTCTTGTGTGTCTGGATCCTCTACTACTTCTTGCTCCGGGGAGATAGTGAGGTTGGAGGGAGTGAGATCTGAGGAGGAAGGGGTGGACGTGAACAGCGAAGGGGAGATCTCGCTGTTCTTACGCTGCCGCTCCTCGGACAACTCCCCTGGACATTCGCTCAGGATGTTTGAGACCCAGCGCTGGTGTTTGGAGCAGAAGTGAGCTGATAGTCTGGTTGAACAATTCCCTAAGCAACTGTTTTCAGTGTCGTCTGCCTCGGTGGCACTGACACGTGTACTTTGGTCCGTCTGTAAAGCTAAAGCAAGCTTCTTTCTTGGTACTTTGATGTCAATTGTTCTTGTGTCAGCGGCTTCAGAATCAAGCTGTAATGACGTCTCTTCTGCAGGACTTCCCATGTGCGACTTTCTGAATGAATCACAACATGCAGCACCTAGAGACAAGTCAAGGCTTAGTTATAAACAATAACATACATAGAATTTCATATAAACAGACAATATGTAAAGGATAACATCTATAAGATTTACAATAATACTATGATTAATCTGTTATCTATTCTGATGGAATAATTTTGATAACTAAAAATGGAGACCACACTTTGATTTGTGAGCAGCCCCGATGAAGACTTGCACAGTCGAAATGTGTTGCATGACAACAAACTAATCTTTCCCTGCAAATCAGAAAGCCTCAACTCGGGCCGGGGCAGGGCATTATGGCAAAAGAGTCAAATCTAAATTTCATTCCACACTTTGGACGAGTATGGTTGGAACCAGTGGGGACGGGTCCCAGCTCAATAGTGGCCAAAATGACGTGCGCTGACGTGCTTGCAATACCACCCCGGGGCCGATGGGGGTGGACCCGGAATAAGAATTAGCCAATGCTAACATATAGCATTGGCAGACCTCTCGAAAACGTCTTTACAGGATGGTCCAAAAGTTGGCTCTTGGCCTAAAGCTCCGTTCCACATGTGTGTCAATGCTGAGGGGGGTGAATTTTTTTGGACCACTCTAGTTTACTTGCTGTGAATTTTTTTAAGTCTCTCGTTCAAATGAATGGAGCTCTCGCCGGCTGACGCATGCACAGATGCTTTCTTTCACAATTTTCTTGTGGGCGGGATTTTCTTGGATTGCTCCAGTAGAGCACTATTTTTGGCCCATTAGTTAGAACGGCGGAGATAGGCGTGACTATGTCCATTATTTTTTACAGTCTATGGTTGGAACCAAAGCCAAGTTTCATTTGTACAAACGCTGACAACACAAGCATAATACAAGTAGGAATCTGGTCTGACCCATGTGCTTAACACCTGATGTACTGAGGCTCTGAGAAGAATAGAAGGAAATTCCCAACCACAATTTGGGACAATTGTATTGTCAATTCCTAGCCTAAACCATTTTTACTACCTCCGTCAGCAGGTTAAGTTTTCACTAAAGGTCAGGGTTTGTCTGTCTACAAGCATTATACCTATCAGAAAAAACGAAAAAAAAAAAAGAATACTTGAAATGGGGCAAGAAATAAATTATGAGGCAATCCAATATTTTTTCTTCTTCTGAGAACTGCCATAAATGTGATTTTCTAGTTTTTAGGCATAATAATGTGACGTTTTCATAGCAGCCACTTCAACTGTGCATCTTCAGAAGTAGCCGTCTTTAGTTTTCATCCAGATCTACAGTTCAAGTCGTAATGCTGGTTTAGCTTTGTGTTTTTGGGATATAGCCCATCTCTAATTGTAGCGTTGAGCTCATTTCCATCTCTTTTTCTGCATTGACACCTTATAAACATGCACAGACAGAACTCGGCTGTGTCTTGCAGTTGGACACAGACCATACACAACAGTGGCTGAACCCTCAGCTGAAGGGCGTTTGGCCAAGAGCCAGTGTTCTTACCAGAACGGAGAAGTGTTTTCAGACTTGAGGCGGTGGTGGTGGAGTCTCCAGCGATTATATCCAACAGAAATTTCTCCCATTCTTTTATAGGGGAGCTTTTCTTCATGATCTAGTGCATATGTAAGATATTTTAGTAATGAGGCTGTGTGCGTATGCAAGCTAATGAAGCCTACCACAATGAAACATTCTCAAATGGCAACAACTACATGTAAATGTGTCTTTGATTTGCCACATATACATTTACACTACACTACACAACTAATCGATTAATCAACGACTAATCGATTATTGAAATAATCGACAACTATTTTAGTAATCGATTAATCGTTTTCTGGTTCATAAGGACTCAAACAGAGCAAAAATGACATGAAAATATAGTATTTTTGATTAAAACCGACTTTGTTTTTATAATTTCATGAATATCTGTCTGTCTCATCCAATCAGATAGCAGAATTAGCACAAAGAGCCTGTTACAAACATTTACTTTAAGTTTACGCCCTCAATACGTCCTCGAGTGTTGCCACTTTAGCTTTTTGTGATGAAAAAATAAATTTTTTCTACACAATTCACAGCCAAGCAATTACTCGATTAATCCTAAAAATAATCGATAGATTAATCGATTACAAAATAATCGTTAGTTGCAGCTCTAATTTACACGTATCAATTACTTTTATTATTGTTTTAAAACCCTTTTGAAAATATTGCAGACTGCACCCACCATGTCAATGTAGGTAGATTTTGGTAATGCTTTGTCCAGTTCACGAAGATAGTGAAGTAATCTGTCCTCAGTCCTTTGTGCATAATGGTCCCCATACTGTTCCTCCACATGATTCTAACAAAAGCACAAACGTAGAAAACATCAATTCTACAAACCACGTTATATAATTCATGAGTACATTCTTAAAAGCACAATACTATTATTGATACATATTTCCCTTCCTCAAAGTGGGATTATTTCTCCTGTTCAACATTGACTCGAATAATGTTGTTTCAGTTATGACTCGAGCCGAGGGGTACTTTGTGTTTTCCAGTATCTCAAGTATTTTTTAAACCGAACAGAAAACACAACCAACCATATTTGTAACACATAAGCACAAAGACGGCGATGTGTGAGAGATCTATTGTATTTTGTTTGTACTTTTTGAGTGGAATTATTTGAGTGGCATTTACAATATTTGGATAGTTAAATGTTTGAAATGTTATGTAGAAATGTTTAAAGTGAGATTGTTACTTATTTTGATGCTGCTATTAATGTTACTGTGTGTGTGTGTGTGTGTGTGTGTGTGTATGTGTTTGTGTTTGTGTGTATGTGAGAGAGTTTGTGTGTTTGTGGTTACTGTGTATTTTTATACTGTGTACTTTACTTTTGTTTAAGCATATTTTTAGTTTGTACATTCATTTTTGTCCATTGTGTATTCATTTTTGTGACATCGATGAGTATATAGACCCCAGGAAGAAAAGCTACAGTATATTTCAGTAGCTAATTGGGATCTGAATAAAAACGAAAACAAACAAATCCATCCATCCATCCATTTTCTTCCGCTTTATCCGTTGCCGGGTCGCGGGGGCAGCAGTCTAAGCAGAGACGCCCAGACTTCCCTATCCACACACACTTCCTCCAGCTCGTCCGGGGGGACCCCAAGGCGTTCCCAGGCCAGCTGAGAGACATAGTCCCTCCAGCGTGTCCTAGGTCTTCCGCGGGGCCTCCTCCCGGTGGGACGTGCCCGGAACACCTCCCCAGGGAGGCGTCCAAGAGGCATCCGGAACAGATGCCCGAGCCACCTCAACTGGTTCCTCTCGACGTGGAGAAGCAGCGGCTCTACTCCGAGCTCCTCCCGTGTGACTGAGCTCCTCACCCTATCTCTAAGGGAGCGCCCAGCCACTCTGCGGAGGAAGCTCATTTCGACCGCTTGTATCCGCGATCTTGTTCTTTCGGTCATTACCCAAAGCTCATGACCATAGGTGAGGGAGGGAACGAAGATTGACCGGTAAATCGAGAGCTTTGCCTTTCGGCTCAGCTCCCTCTTTACCACAACGGTCCGATACAGCGACCGCATCACTGCGCACGCTGCACCGATCCGCCTGTCAATCTCACGCTCCATTCTTCCCTCACTCGTGAACAAGACCCCGAGATACTTGAACTCCTCCACTTGAGGAAGGACCTCTCCACCCACCTGAAGGGAGGGCAGGGCACCTTTTTCCGGTCGAGCACCATGGCCTCAGATTTGGAGGTGCTGATTCTCATCCCAGCCGCTTCACACTCGGCTGCAAACCGTCCCAGTGAATGCTGCAGGTCCTGGTTCGTTGGAGCCAACAGGACAACATCGTCCGCAAACAGCAGAGATGAAATCCTGTGGTCCCCGAACCGGACCCCCTCCGACCCCTGGCTGCGCCTAGATATTCTGTCCATAAATACAGTGAACAGAACCGGTGACAAAGGGCAGCCCTGTCGGAGGCCAACATTCACCGGGAACAGGTCTGATTTACTGCCGGCAATGCGAACACAGCTCTGGCTCCGGTCATACAGGGACCGGATGGCCCTCAGCAGAGGACCCCCGACCCCGTACTCCCGGAGAACCCCCCAAAGGACACCCCGGGGAACACGGTCGAACGCCTTCTCCAAATCCACAAAGCACATGTGGACAGGTTGGGCGAACTCCCATGAACCCTCGAGTATCCGATGGAGAGTATAGAGCTGGTCCAGTGTTTCGCGACCGGGACGAAAACCACACTGCTCCTCCTGGATCCGAGATTCGACCATCGGCCGTAGCCTCCTCTCCAGTACCTTGGAGTAGACCTTACCGGGGAGGCTGAGGAGTGTGATCCCACGATAATTGGAACACACCCTCCGGTCCCCCTTCTTATAGAGAGGGACCACCACCCCGGTCTGCCACTCCATTGGCACCGCCCCCGATCGCCACGCGATGTTGCAGAGACGTGTCAGCCAAGACAGTCCTACAACATCCAGAGACTTTAGATAATCAGGGCGGATCTCATCCACACCCGGAGCCTTGCCACCATGGAGGCTACCAGCCACCTTGGTGACCTCAGCCAGGGAGATGGATGTATCCGCCCCAGCATCCTCAGCCTCTGCCTCTGAGACAGAGGACGTGACGGGGGGATTGAGGAGAACCTCAAAGTATTCCTTCCACCGCCCGACAATATCCCCCGTTGAGGTCAGCAGCTCTCCACCCGCACCGTACATGGTGTTGGCAAAGAACTGCTTCCCCCTCCTGAGGCGCCGGACGGTTTGCCAGAATTTCTTTGAGGCCGACCGATAGTCATGCTCCATGGACTCTCCGAACTCCTCCCAGTCCCGGGTTTTTGCCTCTGCAACAGCCCGGGCTGCGGCACGCTTGGCCTGCCGGTACTGGACAGCTGCCTCAGGAGTCCCCCGAACCATCACGGCTCGATAGGACTCCTTCTTCAGCCTGACAGCTTCCCTTACTGCCGGTGTCCACCACCGGGTTCGGGGGTTGCCGCCGGGACCAGCACCAGAGACCTTGCGACCACAGCTACGGGCCGCCGCATCGGCGATTGAGGCAGAGAACATGGTCCACTCGGACTCCATGTCCCCCTCCTCCACCGGGACCTGGGAGAAACTCTCCCGGAGGTGTGAGTTGAAAGTCCGTCTGACAGGGGGCTCAGCGAGACGTTCCCAGCAGACCCTCACTATACGCTTGGGTCTGCCAGGTCTGACCGGCTTCTTCCCCTGCCAGCGGATCCAACTCACGACCAGGTGATGATCGGTTGACAGCTCCGCCCCTCTCTTTACCCGAGTGTCCGAGACACGCGGTCGAAGGTCAGATGATACGACAACAAAGTCGATCATCGACCTCCGGCCTAGGGTGTCCTGGTGCCACGTGCACTGGTGGACACCCTTGTGCTCGAACATGGTGTTCGTGATGGACAAACTGTGACTGGCACAGAAGTCCAACAACTGAACACCGCTCGGGTTCAGATCAGGGGGGCCGCTCTTCCCGATCACCCCTCTCCAAGTGTCACTGGCGTTTCCCACATGGGCGTTGAAGTCCCCCAGGAGAATAACGGAGTCCCCGGGCGGTGCACCGTCCAGTACCCCTCCCAAGGACTCCAAGAAGGCCGGGTACTCTGCACTGCTGTTAGGCCCGTAGGCCGTCACAACAGTGAGAGACTTGTCCCCCACCCGGAGGCGGAGGGACGCGACCCTCTCATTCACCGGGGAGAACTCCAACACGTGGCGGCTGAGATGGGGGGCAATGAGAATGGCCACCCCAGCTCGCCGCCTCTCCCCGCGGGAAACACCAGAAAAGTGGAGCGTCCAACCCCTCTCAAGGAGTTGGGTTCCAGAGCCCAAGCTGTGTGTGGAGGTGAGGCCGACTATCTCTAGTCGGTATCGCTCAACCTCCCCCACAAGCTCGGGCTCCTTCCCCCCCAGTGAGGTGACGTTCCACGTCCCGAGAGCCAGCTGTTGTGTGTGTGGACTGGGTCGTCGAGGTCTCCGCCTTCGACTGCTGCCCAGTCCTCGCTGCACCATGCCACCACGGACCCCTCTGCAGGTGGTGGGCCCACAGGAGGGACTGCCCACGTCGTCCATTCGGGCTGAGCCCGGCCGGGCCCCGTGGGCTAAGGCCCGGCCACCAGGCGCTCGCCTACGAGCCCCGACCCCAGGCCTGGCTCCAGGGTGGGGCCCCGGCTGCGCCATGCCGGGCGACGTCACTGGTTTCGTATGAGTGCTGTCCATACGAAACAACAAAGACAGACAAGAATGGTTAAGATTCTCAAAGATTATCGACTCTAACTGATAATCCATTACCGAGTGACAAAACACATGTGAATCTATACTGCTCCCTACTGGCATGTATTAAAACCCCATCTGCTGGATGCTGTTGAGTTTACTCTCTACTATAAAAACCTCTGTAAAACACTTACCTGGAGAAAGTCTTCAAGCTTTTGTTTGTCCATAACCAGAGACTCAGCAAATGTCCTGAAGTCAAGTTGATTTTTTCTCATGAGAAACATCTCATGCTTCCTCTATGAAAAAAACACCCTCTCAGTATCACCAAGGAATCGTTCGTTTTTAAAGTTTTGAAGAGGTTTATGACTTACACATTGATCTTCATACTGAGGTAGTTTAGAGGGAAAATAGTTCAATATTTTCTGCACAACACCAATAAGTCCAGTGCCTTCCTTTAGCATCCACATAATTACCTGTGAAGAAAAGATCACTATAATTTAAATATTTGGGAATGTACAGATCATTGTTACATGTATACAACATACCATGGTTTTGAGGCCAAATACAATCTTCATATGTTTGATGGCAGGCACCAGAGTGGGCAAAAGGCTGTGAATGTGCTCCATAAAGCTCAGTACTATGTCATAGTGATGAATTTGTCTCCTCTTGACGATACTGTAGACTTTTGCAGACGTAACACGGACATGCCAAGACTCATCTAGGCTCAAAGGCCCGGAGTCCAAGTCTGGCCAATGTAGATCAGAAACATCTGTGAAAAAGATCATACCAGACAATAAAAACTGGGTTTCAGACATTTGATGTAAATAAAAAGAGGCTTGTTTTTGTGGTTTGGGCGGCATCACATAAAATAAACTTCACTCAATACATTGTGGGAAACTAGAAGAACATATGGGCCTGTCTTTTGGCTGTCAAAATGTGTGAAATCTATTGCAATAATTAAAACTGTTGGATATACCACCTTGGAAGACACCAATCATGTTGTGAGCCCAGGCGTACTCTATGACCCAGCGCGTTGAGTGTTGCTCCATCAGAGGTCACCGCATCTTCTCATCCCATCGGCGAACACGCAGCATCCTTAACCCTGCCCCTAAAGACAGAGACACGCCCCACGCAGGACATGCACAGACAAGTTGGGAATAGAATGAATGAATGAATGAAGCTTTTATTATTATTACGGATTCATGGTCCAACATTGACACACACAAAAAAGGACAAAACATACAATAGAGATGGGCTGCATCCGAATTCATGGAAATACATCTTTCCTAATACTTCCTTGGTCTTCCATATCATTATTATTGACTTTTGTGGCATAACATTTGAAATAAATGCGAATAAATTAAATAAGGAATCATAATAAGTATCTCATTTCAAAACAAAGGACAAGGAAGGGGCATTTGTGATAAATTTGAATGCAGCCATGGACGCTAGCGCTTTCCAGAAACGGTATTTGGTGAAGACTTAAGTTATAAAGATACCTGGCGTTATATATACAGTCTATTTGAAGATATAATAACTCACCATGTAGCCTCATTCCATTCACCCCAATCGTATCCATATGAAGATACAGGGAAGAAAAAAACATTTAAATTTGCTATTAAACCGGTACGACTTCTCCAGAGACTCGGACACACACAGATACAAGATTTTGTGGTATTAAAGGTTGATAAAAGTGACAAACACAAACTTTTCATTACAACAAAACGACATCCCGTGTTTTCCTTTACTTTATAACAAACGTTTGAATATCAGACTAGAAATAGTTTCAAAATTAAGTTTAAAGAAAAAATCGCGCGTGTAATGAAACAGACAATACATGTAGCGTGCTTTTATTTTGAAAGCAATCGTGGATGAACCCGGAAATAAATAGATACATGGCAGGAAGCGGATAAGTTTAACCTTTAATGCAGTTTATTATCCCCATGGATCATTATTTAGAGCACACAGTGATTAACATTGAATTATCTTTCCAATATTTTACAGTGTGTGACATTAGCATCGGAGGTGCGGAGGTGTGCGCTCTCACGGGACTGTTAAGGTATTTCTACTGTTTATTTGAATATATTCGTATCCGATTCGTATAGATACATTTGAGAACATATATCATATGATGAAACTGTTGCTTGTTAAACATAACAAGGGCATTATCTTCTGGCGTAGTCACAGATTATTAGGATTAATATATCCTGTATTCGTCCCACACATACACTGTAATGTCCCACAGTGGGAGTGTTGCATCACGGTTTATAGAACAGTAGGAATGAGGAGCACACAATACAAGATAGAGCAACAAAATTTCTAACTTTAATATAATGTAGAAGCAAGTATGAAATCTACAGCTTTAGCATTATAAGGAAGCAAGTATACAACCTCCAACTTTAACATAATGAATAAGCAAGAATTAAGAAAAACATCTCTGAAGCATACTTTATCATAATAGTTTAGCCTAAAATCTTTATATCTAGCATAATAGAGAAGCAAGTACAAAGTAAAATTTGAGCCAGAGTGTCCTGGGTTCGAGCCCGACTTTCACCATCGACTCCCACTGTCTGCTGTCGTTGTGTCCTTAGGCAAGACCCCCATTGGCTAGAATGAGTCTGGTGTGTGTGTGAATGGTTGGTGGTGGTCGGAGGGGCCGATGGCACATACTGGCTGCCTTGCTTCTGTCAGTGTGCCCCAGGGCAGCTGTGGCTACAGTAGTAGTTTATCACCACCGTGTATGGAGTGAAAGAATAACGACATGTAAAGCGTCTTTGAGTGTCCAAAGAAGCACTATATAAAACCTAAGCATTATTATTATTATCAACAAACAGATGAGAGATCTAATTCTTAAATGTAACGTGTTTTTAACCAGGAAGGCTCATCATTGAGATTAGCTATGTCTTTATGATAGGAGTCCTTTAAAATTGAGATTGATCTTGTCTTAACTTTCAAGGGACTACTAATATATCATGAATGTTCATTGCAACTAGTCCAATACATCTATAAAAATATGAATATATGTGCTTTGTGTGTTCACAGTTGATTGCCTGCCCATCATTGACCGTGTCTTTTGAAATACCACAATGAACAAAACCTGTGTTACTCTTCTTCAGCGATGCAGAACGGGATTCAGACTTTGTAACACAAAGGGAGAAATACCTTTACATGTACCTACGGGAGCCAGAGCGTACTGTAGCAATATCAAAGTTCGTTCCTATCTGCAGTACATGAAAAGAAAGATCCGGCCTCCTCCCAGTCCTCCCTTTTGCCATGTGTGTCAAGTTGGTGACCCAGTGTTGCGGAGTCATGCAGCAGTAGTGGACCCTGCCGCTGTGAGAGGCCCAGAGGTCCAAAAAGTAATTGATACCATGGTCAAAGTGATGCGAAAAAAAGAGTGCGTGGGGCTGAGTGCACCTCAAATTGGAGTGCCCCTCCGTATATTGGCAATGGAGTATCCACAGAAGATGCTGGAGGAGACCCCGGCTGCGCTGAGAGAGGTTCGAGGCGTGAGTGTGCTTCCTCTTCGGGTGTTTGTTAACCCCCAGATGAGAGTGCTGGATGGAAGGACAGTGGTTTTCCAGGAGGCTTGTGAAAGTATCTCAGGATTTTCTGCTGCAGTGCCAAGATATCTATCGGTGGAGGTTTCAGGTATGATATATATATAAATATCAATGAAAAATAGAAGTCATACATTGTTTTAATCATTTACCTGGTGGAATCTACATTTTATGAAAACAGTGAAAAAAATCCGCGCAGCTATGTTGCTCCCATTAAGTGTCTTTTATTATACAGACCACGAAGTAGTGATGTTTCGGACCCTTCATCAGACTTCACAAATCTACATTATATAAATCTTTTTACAATCATTACCAATAATAAATACACTAAATTATACATTTTTGATCAAGGAACCGCTTTTAAATAGTTGAACAGAGTTTTATGAAGTCAACGGATAAAGGACACCCCGTCATTGTGTCCTTTGGCAAGGCCTTGTATAAATCAGGGCAACTATAGTGTCTCATCAGCAACACGTGTGGAGGACAGTAATTGAATAACGCAAAAAATATACTATGCGGGGTGGTTGTGTACAAACAAGAATTACATTACAACGCCTATCATGTTTAACTAATTATTAATGATTGTATGGGATTCCAACAGCTGATGACGTTTATTCTGTTGTTGTACAGGCCTCAATGAGAAAGCGGAGTCGGTGACGTGGAAGACCAGCGGCTGGGCAGCTCGTATTCTACAGCACGAGATGGACCACTTGGATGGGGTTCTCTACATTGACCGCATGGACTCTAAATCATTCATAAATATTAACTGGCCCGCTTATAATGAATAAAATCAAATTTGTTTTAAGCTTGTTCAAATTGTAGTGTCAATGTTTAATATTTTCTTTAAATATAAATACCATGATGATCAAAATTCACATTCCAGTCTTTCTGCAGGTAGAATACTATACATTTATGGCCACATGCATTTATGTTTACTCCATCACAAAATAACTTCATTCTTAATGTGAAAAAGTTTTAATACAAACTAAATATACAAAATTTGGCAAATGCTTTAACAGTATAACAAGTCAGCAAAGGCAGTAAAATGACACAATGTTTATATTAAAATGTGAAACAAGCAAAGAACCTTCCCACAGTGAGAACATTTAAGTACAGTTGAACAACAAAAGGGATATAGTAATAACTATTGCCCATTGTTCATCTTAGTATTGTCCAGGGCTGTAATTCAAGAATTGAAACAATTGCAACTGAAAGGTTTTCGTTGTCGTCAATATCTTCTCAAAAGATTCAAACAGAGCAGTAATTACATAAACTATGATACAGGAAAACATATCCACTTAGAAGTTCTCCAGCAGCGACAGATTTATGTGGGTCAAACTGAGAAAATATAATTTATTTTTACATAAATAATTGATTAGTCAATAGAATAATCATTCTTCAAAAATAATTGGTGAGTATCACAAGAACCCAGTGAAATTGGTGTTTAAAAAAATGCCCAGTGTTTTTTTCCCCATTTAATTATAGAGTAACTACAAAAAGATGAAATTACTTAAATTAGTTGGCATTTCAATAAATCGATCAGTTGTGATGAATCAATGAACTTATCACATCCCTCGTATTGTCCCTTTTCACTTATCAAGATCATTAAGGTGCACAATAATAGTCATATACAGTGGACGTGTAAACCAAATACAGATTAAGAAGTGCAGAAAACACAGACATGAGATACGCCACATTCAACGACAGAAACAGACATATTGAAGATTGTCAAGAAACAGAGTTTACTCATTTTGGGCTGATGTTGGACTTGCTCTAATCAATGTTTGCTGCTGATCATGGCAAATATCACAACATGACCAGGAGGGTCATTATGATTAATAAAATGATTTTGATTTTATGACTAGCCTAAAACATTGGACTGAATTGGAGTAGTAATTAATACATCTAATGGTTTTGGCAGTGAAAATGCAAAACCTGATTGTGTCAGAGAGTTTCAGCACACTCGTTGCAGATGTGAGATGAAAGTGCAGTTTTGTGCACTGGCAGATTAAAGGCACTGTGTTCATCTGATTCTGACTAAACAGAAGATGAAAAGTCAAAGGTTTGACTGCATCTGTTGCACTCAAGAGGACGTATGTACCAGCATTCTTTACAACATTCATCTCCGCAGTATTTGCATATTATATGAGTCTTCTGATAACACCGACCAATAGAACACACACCCAACTTTTTAGCCTCGTGGAAAGAGAGGCAGTTCTTTGCTTCTTTGCAATAAGCAACGTGAAACAGTTGGCAACTATTACACAAGATCTGGGGATCTTGGTTGGTGTTATCACAACAGCTATGTACAGCTATAGGACTGTTGAAGGAAGTGGATTCACTCTTATTGCGCAGTTCTAAGGAAGAAAACACATCACTGCAGGAAGCCAGAGTTGGTGAAATGCTTTCTCCATGTTGGAAAGTTGCTCGGATTGGACTTAACTGCTCAGGTATTTTATCAACAAACTCTGTTCTGTGATTTTTTTCACAAGGCTTGAGTTCTGGACAGTTTAGATGATGGTAGGATTGGCAATCTATGCATTTATAAAGATTCTGATCCTTAAATTCAAGGCAAACGCACTTTAGCATGCTTGGAGGCAGGCTCTCCTGATCAGATGCAGGTAACGCCTGCACATGGTCTCCAGAGTATTCTCTATGGAAATAGCTGACACTTCTGGGTGAAGGCCGGAAGTCATTGCCGTTTGAATCAGCAGAGAACTTCAGATGGTAAGTAGAGATAGATGTTCCATTGGTACTTATATCAGGAATTCCAGTTAAAGAACGGGGGAATTCATCTGCAGGTGTCTCTCTCAACCTCCTCACTTCCAGATCATCTGTGTACAGATCCATTTCATTTTCTTCAGGCAGCTCTTGTAGGGGTTGCTTGACATCGACCAGCCTCAATGTGCTGTCAAGTGCGAGCTAAAAAACAAACAAACTCACATTTGAACCTTTCTTACAATAGCATTTTTCTAAATAAATGTGGTACCTGAAGGCTGTGTCCTTTTTGCCTCTCTCTCACAATATTGATTTCCCACCGAGGCTGACCAGCATACTTTCCTAGTACATCCAGCAGGAGGCGACACTCACAACGCGCCAGAAAGAAGGCACAGGACAACTGTAGGAGCTCGTCCACCCAGGCTGCACTGACTCTCTGTGGCTGAAGGTGGAGCTGCTCTCGCTGCGTTGAGCACTGCTTATATCCCAACAAACCAAAGAGCAGTTCTATCTGCTGTGTGGAGAACACTGGTTTGATCCAGTGTGTAAATATCCCAGAATACATCTGGAGACAAAAAATGATAGAGGAACAATGCAATTCATTAGACTAGGATATTCAAGGGACACTGTTTTACTAAAGAAGTACACAAAACTAGTACGGTGAAGCACTCAATAAAATCTCCTTTCAATAAAACATATTCGCACTAGGAATGGGCCTTAACATGAAACATTAACAACAGTAATACCTTTACAATTTTGTACTCCTCCCTCCAAGGACCCAGGTGCAGGTTGAGTGCAGCCTGCTCCAGCACCTCAAATGCTTTGGCCAGGCCACAGAGTCCTCTTCGGACTTCAGCTGGTCGCCTGTAGTCGCTCACATTGGACTGCAGAGACTCCTCCATGAAGTTTAGAGTATCCAAACCCAGACAGTGTGCATCACTGCCATCGCTGCTCTTCAGCAGCTCATTCACCTCATTGCAGAGGGTCGCATCTTGGCATGGCAGACTGGAACCTTGGTCCACGATTTGTTTTTCCAGAAAATGGTTGTAGGCAGCCACAAGATCTATGCTTCTTTGTCCTGTCATGGTCATTGTTCAGCTGTTTCAAACAAAACACATGGTGATTTTCGAGTAGGTCGATTCAGAGCAAATATTCTATTTGTAAAAATCCTAGCCTCAGTTCCTGCACTTTAGTCCCACCTGGTTTTGAGAACCTGTGGGACTGATCCTGATAATCATTATGTGAGATTTGTCTGTGATTATTCTTTTTGTTCATCAAAGCAGTTCCCTGCAGTGATATTGCAGTGGTTAATTTGTATACTTTATCACAGCACAACAAACGAACAAACACAAATCCAGCCTATGGGCTTAAAAAGATTGAAGTATATGTTGCTGAGCAAGTTTAGCCAGAACCAAGTAATGCAGTATGTGTCGGCTACACTCGCAGAGCCCATAACAAAAATAGTTTCGTTAGAAGAAGTAATTCTGCAAAAATATAAATATTCTCCGAGCACATTTAACAGTTACCAAACATTCGGGAAGTGACATATTCAAGCAGAAAGGGACATTTTGGCCTTTAGACTTAGCAGAAAAGCTAAGATCGATTGTGGTTAGCGTCAATTCATATTTGGCACACGGATCCAGCACGTCTCTCCCCTTTAAGGACATTAACTGTGATGTTCTTTCATGTTAGTAAGCTCGTTTAAGTCACAACAGCTGCATACGATCGACAAAGAAGGCCTCCCTCTTTTCATTGATACAAAAGCATAGTCTTGACCCATACAACACGGGCTTACCTGTTAAGCGATGAGTGTGTGGAATTGTGAATAAATCAGTCATATGTCCAGGAGCTTCTGCCCTCAGAGCCGTGCTAGCTCCTGCTGCTACAGCTGCTGCTGCTGCTGCTGCGTCTTCCGGTTTGCGAACCAAACAGTGTCACGTGACGACGCCCAATCACAACACTTTTACTTTTTATCTCCGGGCAACTTTACTGCACATAAATCCACGGTGAACCCCCACCGCCCAGGACCGAATTATGCAAATGTGTCATTGTTTCAACCCTGAACCATTTTGAGGACTTGCCCCCCCACTCAAATAGTAATTATTTGTTGTCGACAGGTACGTGGTAGAACCATAGACAGAACCATGGGTAATTCTCATAACCATAATTCTGGAAAGGCGGGGGCTGGTCTCTCGGTCTAGGCGGGGCTCGGTGACAGGGGCGGCTCCACGATGTTGTATTAAAGCTGAGGCTGGTGACCGCTTCATCAGTGGCTCTCCTCCATCAGTGGCTCTCCTCCATCAGTGGCTCTCCTCCATCAGTGGCTCTCCTCCATCAGTGGCTCTCCTCCATCAGTGGCTCTCCTCCATCAGTGGCTCTCCTCCATCAGTGGCTCTCCTCCATCAGTGGCTCTCCTCCATCAGTGACTGTCCCATAGCAGCATGTCCAACTCAGAGCGGGTGGTGCTAGTGCTGGGAGGAGCGGGGACTGTGGGCTCTGGCGTAGTCAAAGCGCTCCTGGATAAAGGTAAGTGTACATCTCTGGAATGCACCTGTTACACCTCTGACACGGCATCATACATTTATTCTAGCATAACTCAGTTTTATTATTTATCATCAGGCTTGAATTGATGAAGTTTTCATGAAGATTTCTAATGCACCATAGTAAGTGCATATCTGTCAAGTTTAAAGCTGGGGTAACTAACTTTGGAACCAACCATAATATATATAATCTATGTTAAAAGTTACAAGCATTCTTGTATTTTTATTCCCCACTGGTGCTGAAATCTTATGTATTTTTAGGGTTTATTGTCTGTGTAATGTATGTCATCCGATTCCCCTGCTTGGAGCGTAGACTGTGTGTGTGACATAATTGAGTATTTCTTCTCTGTCAATAGACCTTCTTGAACTCTTGAACCATCTGCTGTTTGGTCACGCTTCTTTCTCTTATGACCTTAATAAACAGATTACATGTAGGCCCATTAGTTGTGTAGTTTTACATGTCAGAGGGATCAGTGTGGACTTACATGTGTATTCTGCAGGCTTTAAAGTCGCTGTGATCTCCAGAGAGCGCAGTCGACTTGACAGACTGTGCTCATTTGTCTCCCCCAACACAAAGGATAATCTCACCACTATCGTCGGCAATGTGGGTAAGTCTGCTTTTCCTAGACATCTGCCTGTCCATCTATGAACTCATGCGGATATCTCTAGGACAAGAATACATAAACAAGATTTTGGAAAATGTTGCCAAATATGATAGTGGCCTTGCCGATATAATTACAAAGTTTATATCTTTCTTAATGGTACTACATGTAATTCAATTATTTTAACATGCATTTTTAGATCTAGTCAAGTTGCATCCATAGACTGTAAATAATAACAGTGGCATCATCATTGATAATGCGAAATGTCCAAAGTAAAGTATTCCAGGCAACATAATTGCTTTTTCATGTCTATTCCATTCAATTAAATTTATTCTTGTATAGCCCTAAATCCCAACAACGTTATCTCGGATGTCTATTGGATCTTCTGACTAAAAATGACAGCTTGCACCTAAAAATCCAGTCATTTTTGTAGTTTATTTACATAGCGCCTTTTGCAGACCAGAGTCACAAAGCACTTTACAATTGTTGTGTACATTTGTCCTCTCACTGCTGGAAGTGGGGTTGCCATATGGGAGGCGCATGTCAGAACTATTGTACACGTTTTCTAGTGGTAAAGGGTAAACCGTATGACCTGGAGGAAACCTACGCAGACACGGGGAGAACATGCAAACACCACGCAGAAAGACCCGAAGGTGGAATTGAACCCAGAACCATGTGTGACTCTTCCATTTATGATGCAAACAATATCTTTCACTATATTGTTTATACATTTGTAGCTCTTCCTAGTTTCTTAATCATGCTTTTAAGAGTTTTATATGTGCATCACTGTGTCTTGTCTCGCTATTTTTATTATTTTGATTCTGATTCTGACATTTTGCTATAATATTTTCTAGAATTTCCAATTTTTTCAACGCTGTAATTGTGTGTTTTGTTCAGGCTCGGAGGACGGGGCAGAGCAGGTGAAGCAGGAGCTGTTGAAGGCAGTGAAGGTGACGGATGTGGTGTCGTCTCTGGGCTTCAGCTGGTGGCAGGGAGGCCCCCCTCACACACAGAGCCTCAAAGACCTGCAGTGGGTGAGTGCTTTGTGGAGTAGCCGACTAAAATGTGGGTCCGGCAAAAACTCTCAACGATTACTTATCTGAGCTAAACTGTAAGTGTGTAAACAACAGCAATACAATGATTCAAAAAATATCATAAATTCTTCTGGATTTAAGAGTTTAATCTGACTTGAATATCAAATTAAATAACATGGTACTTTGCTCCACACATTCCCGTTTTTTGCAGTTTAAATGAAAAATTTAACTGGTAACATTTTGGCCGATTAAGACGTTGTGGCGCTCAGTGAAGGAGCTTAACCCATCTATCCATTTTCTTCTGCTTTATCCGTTGCCGGGTTGCGGGGCAGCAGTCAAAGCAGAGATGCCGAGACTTTTCCATTCAGCCTCATTTTAAAGCTATATTTCTGAGGAAAAAAAGAAAGATTGGCCAAATGATGTCAAAAATATGAATCTGTCAATCAGTCACTCAGCCTTCTTCACTTTTGGTCCAGTTTTGGTTCAATCCAAAAAACAGCAAAAAAATCATATTAAAACCCACATTCAATAGAATTACAATTTGGCTAAAAATACTTTCATAATGTAAAAAGGTTGTACACAAAACAATAACCAAAAATGCTAAAGATGAGATAAACACACTTTACTCAAACACAAAGAAAACACTGGTTATTTTGGCTCCATGTTTTCCTCCTTTGAAACATTTTTGTTCATCGAATACATGACACATACGCATACAAAACACGTGTCATAACTGAAGTAGTTTTTCAAGAATTCAAGAAGCCATTTACAGTAAAACAACACTGGAAAAACTTGACTGTGTCTTTTACACTAAATAGCAAATATGTTTTGCTAAATTAAATTTAAATACTGGCTGCGTATAGATGGACAATGAAATCCCGCTAGCTCAACGAAGCTCAGAAGGGAAGTGCTCATGGACAAAGTATTTCTCCAATTGACTTACATTGAAAAGTAAACTCCTCTAGTGTAGTAAACGTTTGCATCACACTCAAACAATCTGTGAGTAAGTGCTCTCTATGACCCTGGTGGTTATTATTATGTTATTGTCTTGGTTAATCCAGAGAGGAACCATATATTGAATTTCTCCTTCGGGGGATCAATAAAGTATCTACAGTGCCTTGCGAATGTATTCGGCCCCCTTGAACCTTTCAACATTTTGCCACATTTCAGTCTTCAAACATAAAGATATAAAATTAATTTGTTTTGTCATGAATCAACAACAAGTGGGACACAATCGTGAAGTGGAATGAAATTTATTGGATAATTTAAACTTTAAAAAAAAATAACTTTCAGTGCAGCAAACTCAGTCCAGAAGTTCAGTGAGGATCTTTGAATGATCCAATGTTGTCCTAAATGACTGATGATGATAAATAGAATGCACCTGTGTGTAATCAAGTCTCCGTATAAATGCACCTGCTCTTTGATAGTCTCAGGGTTCTGTTTAAAGCGCAGAGAGAACCATGAAGACAAAGGAACACACCAGGCAGGTCCGAGATACTGTTTTGGAGAAGTTTAAAGCCGGATTTGGATACAAAAAGATTTCCCAAGCTTTAAACATCTCAAGGAGCACTGTGCAAGCAGTTATATTGAAATGGAAGGAGTATCAGACCACTGCAAATCTACCAAGACCCGGCCGTCCCTCCAAACTTTCATCTCAAACAAGGAGAAGACTGATCAGAGATGCAGCCAAGAGGCCCATGATCGCTCTGGATGAACTGCAGATAACTACAGCTGAGGTGGGAGAGTCTGTCCATAGGACAACAATCAGTCGTGCACTGCACAAATCTGGCCTTTATGGAAGAGTGGCCATTTCTCAAAGATATCCAATAAAAGTCTCTTAAAGTTTGCCACAAGTTTCAGATGAAACCAAAATCAAACTTTTTGGCCACAATGCAAAACGATATGTTTGGCGTAAAAGCAACACAGCTCATCACCCTGAACACACCATCCCCACCTCAGCTGTAGTTATCTGCAGTTCATCCAGAGTGATCATGGGCCTCTTGGCTGCATCTCTGATCAGTCTTCTCCTTGTTTGAGATGAAAGTTTGGAGGGACGGCCGGGTCTTGGTAGATTTGCAGTGGTCTGATACTCCTTCCATTTCAATATAATTGCTTGCACAGTTCTCCTTGAGATGTTTAAAGCTTGGGAAATCTTTTTGTATCCAAATCCGGCTTTAAACTTCTCCACAACAGTATCTCGGACCTGCCTGGTGTGTTCCTTTGTCTTCATGGTTCTCTCTGCGCTTTAAACAGAACCCTGAGACTATCAAAGAGCAGGTGCATTTATACGGAGACTTGATTACACACAGGTGCATTCTATTTATCATCATCAGTCATTTAGGACAACATTGGATCATTCAAAGATCCTCACTGAACTTCTGGACTGAGTTTGCTGCACTGAAAGTAAAGTGGCCGAATAATATTGCACGCCCCACTTTTCAGTTTTTTATTTGTTAAAAAAGTTTAAATTATCCAACAAATTTCATTCCACTTCACGATTGTGTCCCACTTGTGGTTGATTCATGACAAAAAATTAACATTTTATATCTTTATGTTTGAAGCCTGAAATATGGCGAAATGTTGAAAGGTCCATACCTTTGCGAATACTTTCGCAAGGCACTGTATCTATCTATCTATCTATATATGGATTGACCAATCAGATGCCTTCATTTGCGGAGAAACTTTACCTTAGCAACCATCTAAGCAACACGTCTCATCGCGGAACAAATGCCCATATAACAAAATGGCAGCTCGCCTCCAAAAAAATAAAGTTTATGGTGAAGCCCTAATCTAAGTGATGTATTGTCTTTACTGCATCCTTTAAAAATGAAAATATCGGAGAATGATCTTTTATTATTGCATCGTCACCTCGTTCGCATAATTTGGATTGATGGCCTTTCTGTTTCAGGTCATTGACTGCTTACTATACAGCACTTTTGTCTCATGGAAGGTTTTCTTTCCACTGGTGAGGGACGACTCAAGCTGCACCTACACCTTTATCACAGGTAAGAGACACATCCTTCATCCTTTATCTACGTTCGTTCATCATCTACTGGTGGCAGAAAGGGCTGATATGGCTGTAGGTTGTCATTCCAACCAAGCAGGAGCACACCAGAAAACCTGCAGCCATTTGGCCATTTGAGGACCTGTTTGACAGGCCTGATCTACGTACTGCATGGATGGATCATGGATGGGTGTTTGTTCATTCTTCGATGGAACGCCCAAAAGAATGATCTGCCTTTTTCCCACTGGGTCGCTGACCAGCTAAAAAAAAAAAAGGGACATTCCAATATTTTTATGATGCTTGAATCACATTCTAAATAAATTTCTGATGTGGCCCTATTATGCAATGTGTGAGGTTAACCAAAAACCACTGGACTAAACTAAACTGGTCCTTCAACCAGGACTCATTACTTGAAAATAAAGTAACAAGGGAAGACTTGAGAGAACTAACAACCTCTTTCTCTTAATGATATTGCTTAACAATTGATAATAACTCATATCAAGTTAACGTTCATTCAACTTTACTGTTTCAATAAATAAAAATGGTTCCAAATAATGTCAATAATCTCTATGAAATGAGACTTATTATCAATAGTGTCCTTTCACTCGAGCTTTTGTCAAAACTACCTCTAAGTTTTGTTCTTTCTCTTCAGGTGGAGCTGGGGAGAAGTTGCTGATGCCTGGCACTGGGTTTCTCACTGTGGGGGCAGCGAGCTCTCTTGCTTTCTGTCAGGTTCTCAGAGAAGAGTATCCAGATGTAGCCTGCAAACTCAATCAGGCAGGCAAACTTTTTTGGTCGTGGTTTGGGTTTCCAAAAAGTATTCAAATGTTTGGAACTCATGTTAGCATCAGTGGATATTTGCATATGCATTTTTTAAATATGAAGATATTTTGACCTTCATATTTTTTCCAAGCTCCAGCTTGGAAAAAAGATCTGTTATGTATTTGTATTTTACATCTATGTTTGGGCCTTTGTGTATTGTCTTTCACCACATGTGATATTGTATTGTGTTATTGTACAGTATTATATCGTGGTGTGTTGCTGTTGAATAGTTTCTGTTATGTTTTTTTAAATGTTATTTATATTATAGCATTTAGATTGACTTTCTGAAAAACCTCTGGCACCTTTTTATAGCCCTAAATTACAACAGTATAAAGAACTTTACAAAACCGTCAAATTCACCGACACGTATCAGAGAATCAAACACAAGAAAATGATTAAAAAAACCACACAGAGCCATTAGTCCATAAGGGGCAGATGACCAGTGTCCATAAAAGTTGATAAATGTCCATAAACATCGGTGAATGTCGAGTGTCCTGGATCACCATCGCTGTCCTTAGACCTTCCTGCATCGACAATGAAAAACCTTTGACTCTGCTCCTTCCTGTTGCAGGTGAGGATTGACACCGGCGTGGCCACTGCAGAGCGCCTGGCCCCTGGGTTCCTGAACCACCTGGAGCTGGGAGAGGCCATCGCGGCTGTGGTTCAGCAGCGCAGCACCTCTCACTCCGTCTTCAACATCAACAGTCCGGCGGATTTAAAGACTGTGCTTCTGGATCAGCACATTTAGACTCAGCGAACACCGACCGCACGTTTTACAGACCTACCCACTGTGACTCCTGTCCTTGCACTACGTCATCTGCTTAATGTTTTAGCCGTTTTATAAACTCCACAACCTGAATTACGGTTACAATTTTGTATCCTTGTATTGTGACTCTTATGTGTTTAAATTAAAGGCTCATGTTTATCACTTTTTACAGCAGTACATTATTATTATTATTTCTAATTTTTTAATAACTTAATTTCTTTTGCAACCCTATTTTGTGAACATTATTTGAGTGAACGCAATACAAGAATTAATGGCCTTTGAGGAGTTTCTTCATGTCCCGAGCTGGGAAAAAAATGAAAAACATAATGAGATGTAGTTTGTTATAGTTATATATCATTTATTTTGTAAAGATAAAATATATACTTGAGCTTCCCCTTGTGGAATAAATAAAGTATCGATGTATCTGTTAATCACTGGAAATGATCCTTCACTGCTTGCTCCATATATCACAATATATACATGTATATCAAGCACTCTAATATTATGTATTAGTATTATTTCCCCTAAAACACTCACATAACATTTGGGTCTGTTGTTTTAGAAATCCAGAGTACAGATTTGAAGGGAAAAATATGTGAATTGGGTCTTAACAATTCCTATGTCTTAGATAAAGCCAATATCAGCACAGGGTTAGGATTAGTGGCTGCATTCTGTCACCTTTGCTAACTGATGATGTTATAGCTGTCTCTTTATAGTTTGCCCGCAGAGAAAAAAAAAGCTTGACAAAAGGGAATGACTGAAGCGTGAATGACTGCGTGTCCAAAAAGCATTGTTTGATGTCTGTATGTTTATTATAGTAAAGATAATTTTTCATAATGCATCATTCATGCAGTGCAACCCAAAGTGCTTCACACAGAAATAAAATGAAACACATTTATAAGAAACATTATAAAACATATCAGATAAAACTTTATTAATAAAAACAACACTCAATGTCACAATTAAAACTCAATGCATAAAACTCATAACAACAAAGTCATATGCACTGTTAAATAGAAATGAAAACCAAAACGATGGGTGAATAGATTATGAGTGAACTGTACTCATCCTTGACCCAAGAGCAATTATAGCTCCAGAGTTTATAATCTTACTAATTAATTATTTATCATCAAAATGTCCCTATTTTAACCAGACACCATGAGTGACAGCACTGCTCGAGAACTGGCTGTATTATCACCAGTTAGGCAAATAATACGTTACATTATTTAACCTGGAAGTTGCTTGGGATAAAATCATTTGAGGGAAACTTCACTTTGTGTTCTGCAGATTTTTAAATAAATCAAACAAACTAAATGATAGATCCCGTTTGAGGTGTGTAGAATCTGAGCGTTATCATTTCTCCTTTCATTCTGCTGACACGTGCACAACTATGACATTGAAATTTCCCCACTGAGGACAAATAAAGGTTTATCTTATGGACAAACTACAGAGTGGTTTGAGGCCGTGCGGCACATTGGACCCATTGTTGTCTTAACCGTGTGGAAGCCAGACTCCATCACGGTTTGGTGTGGAGAGGGGTGGCATCATTATAGGGGCTTGGTTTTTGTTTGTCCGGCGGCTCAATTAGACCAAATTATAATTGACCCAACTTTTCTTTCATTTTCTTTTTCTGAGGGACAAACAACCGCTGAATATGACTCATCTCACTCTAATTGGAAAAGAAAACAGGCTTTTGTTTTTTAGGGGGCCCAACATGCTCTGGGACCGCACAGCTCTGGCGCCCACACAAACACATACACACACAAAATCATCCAACTTTCTTTCAAACTTTTAAAATAAGAAACATACTTTTATTAGCTCACAGCACTCTTTGTTTTTTACTGTGTCTTTATTATTGTCCGGTGTGCACTTTTTATCTTCGTAAGTATTGGATGAATTTAACATCGTTTACCAGTCTCTATGGAGGTTGTTGGAGGTGTAAGACTATTCACAGATCTGACTTCTACTCTCCATCTCTTCAAGGAGCTACAAGATAAAGATTTTACTGCATCTGTTGGGAAATGTATCTTCCACGTTTGAGCCATCCTTAAATGCCACAGGACAGAAACCCACGGCCATCTCACTTAGTCTGAAGCCATATGAAGAATACAGTGGCAGGCAGTGGGCTGTGCAGTTCACTAGTATTCATGGTGATAGGTGGATGTGATAGGTATGTAAAATGGATAATCATTAAGGGAAGAATCAGGTTCAAAGGGATTTTACAAAAGCTTAGCGACATGGACACATCTACACAGCTCAGCCTAGAACATGACATGATTTGTTATTGTGGTCTATGGTTATCTAATTCAATTTTATAGTCTGGTAAATCAATAAAGGTGCACTTTATCCCCGTAGGGCAATTCAACCTCTGCATTTGACCCACTCTGATGCCACTAAGGTTTACATCAGGAACAGTGGTCGCCGTAGTAACAGTTGTTGATGCTCGGCTTGGTCAGGACTACCAGAGCTGGAGGATTTTACCTATTGTGCATGTTTTTAGTAGGGGAAACCAGAGGACACCTACACAGACACGGGCAGAACAAGCAAACTCCACTCAGAAAGACCCTTTTTGACGGGGAAAAGGGTCCTCTCCAGATTACAAGGTTCAGTAATCTGGAGAGGACCCAAGATGAGGCCTGCCCAGGGGAGAGCGACAGAACTGCTGTCAAAGCTGATTCAGGGTGGCATGTTTGCTTTTGTCTTGTCATTAGTCAGAGTTCTAGCGTTGGGCCTTGAGTCCATCAAAGTGTCTTCTGCCAGACACTGCGAGTGACAGCACTGCTTCAGAACTGGCTCTACTGTCACCAGTTTGGCAGACAACACATTTATTTAATAAACATAATATTTTACATTATTTGACCTGGAAGTTGCTTGGGATAAGATCATTTGAGGGAAATTCAACTTTCAATAGGTGGATTGTTGGTACTATTTGTCTTGTCTGTCTGTCCACTAACAAATTCTGACTTCAGAAAGACCACAAGAAAACAACAGAGAAGTGTAAAGTGAAGCAAAACTGACAAATAATTGTCTTTTTAAAAATTAAATAAAAACACAAAAGTGGGGCTTGTAAGAATGTATACAACATCAGTGGATACTTTGTGGAACGTCAATAATAAAAGTGCTTTAACGTTTACAGTAATTCAAATAATACATTGGCAAAAACACCTTTATGACAAATAGTTCTGTGCAAGCCCCACATTTAATTTGTGTATCAAATGGAAACAATCTCTATAATCTTGCTTTCACTTCAAAAGATGTTGGTTTGGTCTTGCTTTGTCGTAGCATTTCCCAAAAAAAAGATTACAAAAGTGCAAAGCTGTATCAGTACTTTTGCAATCCACTTTATATTATTTATATATTACACAGTACATACACTTTAGTTTCATTAGATAAATTAGCACAGAGATCAATATCAAGTAAAAAGCTGTTTATACATAGTTCCCACAGACCAATGAATGTCACATGACCTCCTCGGAGACGCCATCTTTGATGGCACGCTGCTGTGTTTGTGCATTCCATTAAACAGAAGAATGAGAATAAATGTAGATATTCAAACGCAAATTGGAAAAAAAGGTCAACTTTTGAGCAAATAATTGTATATTAATACAATGGCACCACAGTTTAACGTGCTATGGACATGTTTTACATATTTGATCAAATTATGCAGCAAAAATTAACAAGCAATGCAAACATTTCTCAAAAACTTTAGATTTAATACCAGTTGGAGCTCCATTTAATTATTTTAATTATATTAACAATTAATTTAATTAATGCTAATGCCACACGGACACTCTGGATTGCTGTTATTGTTTATTTCTGCGTTTTTGACCGTATGTTTTGGTGAATGGTGGGCAACTGATTTTTCCAGGCGTAAAGAGCAGTTTATTTTATGACACAGATCTTTTTACAGAAGCAATGCTGTTTGTGAACATTGTTTTAGCCCACCATAGAACTATTATTATCTATTTAATACATTTACGTTGCCCTCGAGAGCCTCGGACGCGACACCGATCCTCCTCATAACAAAGTAATCTAACGCTAAATAATGAAACTCTCAAGTTACCAGCTACCAGCATACACAAGTTAGTACTGAGTAAATTACGTCTGTCAACACATTATAAGATACGATACGCACCTGACACAAAGTGCTCCGAGCATATTCTTGCGTGTTTTGAGGGAGTTTCTTGCCTGTTTATCTTCGCAAGCCATAACCTCCGTGGTTGTTCTGACAAAAGCTTAGTCTTCTCACATTCATGAAGTCTAATGATGGGTATACTGTAAAATCCAAGTTTAACGGAACCTCCGGCACGATTTTAACATCCATTGACCCAGCAGGAGATGACCATTTTCAACTTTATCACGACATTAACACGTTTCAGCTTCTTTTTCTATTGTTTTGCCCACAGAATGCCAACACAAATGTCGCCGGGTCGGCAAATCCCCGTATGTAGTGACGTCATGTGGGAACTATGTATTGGCCCACCCGCAGACAATTGTTAAAATTTGCCATACATTCACAGTGTAAAAAACAAAATTATAATTTATTTTACATATCAGTCAGATTTATCAGCAGTGAAATGCAAATAACAATTATAATCTCTTTTGGATTAGTAGTAAGAAAATAAAATGGCTCCCACTGTAAACATTTAAAATATATATTGCAGTAGTTAGCTCCTAAAATTACAGCTCTTTACAAAACAATAACGTCATGGAAAATATATGTTTAATACACTTTACACAATTATCATTTAGAGAAATCCAAGAATGCTAAATGTTGATATTCTATTCCATTTCTCTGAATGAAAAACAATCTTTGCACCACATTTCTCTACATTAACAGATTCTCGTGGGACGAACGTAGCGGTAGATTACATTACGCTGAGTGGCCCAAGCTTCACTAGTTTCCGCAACACGACACAACATAAGGAACTGCAAAAGAAATTCGAGCTCAGGTAACTTTGAAATGAAAATGTCAGATAAAAATAAAAATAAACAGTTCATATTTTCACAACATTTGCATAGGCTTTTCCCATAAAACACACTAAGTAAACAAAGAAGCTGCTTTACTTTCTTTTTGAGGTTAAAAATTATCACAGAAAATATAATAAAATACTTGGGTCATTAAAATAAAGGCTGCAAATAAATGGATTTGGCTTCACATCTGTAAATATTGTCAGTTTCCCCAAAAATATGGCGTTTTACTTAAAAAGCAGCTGTAACGACAAGGATTGATATCTTTAAAAAAAAAATCAAAACAAATCAAACTAAAAAAAGAGAAGTGTCAAACTAAAGTGCGACGACACCACACTTGACAATGCCAACAGCGAACAACATTTAAGAATCACATTTTTGAAGAAAAAAAAAAGTTTCCATGGAAACAAATGTAACAGAAATCCCTTTGAAAAACACAACAACAGCCAAAATAAATTAAAAAGAAATGTGACAACCGCAGTTTTCGCTCGTGGAGATTTCTGCTGAGGCTCTGTCTGAATATCTCCCGCCTGGCAGACACAGAAATCAGGTTTTAAACGCCGACATTATGACAATCAGGACAAACTCAAAAGTCAGGGGCCGTGTGCGTTGCTTGCGACTTTTCCCTCTTGTATATATAATTGTGGCGTAAATATTGAAAACTCTCCATCTTGACTGCATTGAGAGTGACAAAGCAGCGGTGAGGATTAGAACCGGCCAAAACATTCGGGCTCCGTGGACCATTGTGTCAGTGGAGTTTTGGGGCCGTGCCAGTAATCCGTCACATGTTATAAAATGCAGTGTCATCTTGTCCTGTTTCCTGGGGAGCAGGGCTCATCAGTCTCAGTCTACTTCACCTCGCCCCCGTCGCTCCGGCCCAAACCACTGACTTCGGGCCGTTTGTACAGATTGGGGTCAAGTGCTTCGCTGTGTTTCTTGAGTTTGTTTAAAATCGGAAACAACTTGCGCCATGTCTGCGGTTACCTTATCTAAGTGGGCTGGGGTTTGGGGCCGTGCAGAGACTCCACGTAAGACAGGGCGCTCTGCAAGGACGTCAAGCAATAGCCTTCCTCTCCGATCAGGTACCTGAGGGGGAAGATATCACACACCACCACTGAGATTTATCTTAAGACAAAACAAAAATCACAACAAACAAGTATTGCTGAAACGAGTGAGGCTGGGGCTACACCACATTGTGTCATTGACAGCACTATTTGTGGATGTAGAGAAGTGTGGTGCAATTATTAAGGGAACTTCCAGGTTTTTCACAACACGCAGAGGGAACTGGTTTGACATTTATTAATTTTATCAACATATATAAACGTTGGTCATCTGCCCCTTAAGGACCAACAGTTCTGTGTTTTTTTAATCATTGCATTTCCCGTTTGATTCTATGATCCGTGTTGGCGAATTTGACAGTTTTGTAAAGCCCTCTGAGATAAATTGAATTGAATATTTAGTGTTTTTATGTTGACTGTAAGAATGCATCACCCCATATGACAGCTGAAAATGGTAAACTTACAAGTTATTAATATGTATATTTGAAAATAAATTAGATTCTCATAGCGGGGACCATTTCAGTCTTGCACAAGTAAAAACTAAAGGATAAAAACAATGAGCCTCATTCACCAATATCTTAAGAATCTTCTTAAATTTCTTCTCAAGTCGTTTTTAAGTAGATTTTTTAGGAAGACCCTACATGGGATTCATCAACACGCTCTTAAGCCGCTGAATTGTTTGCAGCTGTTCTCGTAGATTGATAAATGCCAACTCCTCGTAAGTAGAGCGCGCGTGCCCGGTGCTTCATTAGCATAGGTACTTAGCATAGGTAACCGCCCATTAATGCCCATAAAAGGGACTGCAGGGCCGTGTGCAGACGCCAGAGGAAACAGCAACAGGCCTAAAGCAAAGAGCTACGACGGAGCCAGTGTCACCCTTTTTCCTCTTTTGCCAAACTGAGAATAAAGTCATAACATTTTGACATTAATCTCAAAATATTTTGGTCCCAGCGCTGGTTGCAGACCCGAGGAGACCAGCGCGGACCTGTAATAGATCCATGGGAGAGACCAGCGAGGAGACTCAGCGCGAACCCCGCAACCTCCTGCAGCAGCAGTATATATGCCATAGTAAACAGGATGGGGTCACTAATAGACGGCATGATTTCCAATGTATTAATTAAAAAATAGGCTAAATCACCATAATAAATGAAATGAATAAATAAATACATCAATATGACAGACATATCACTGTAATGTTATGTTTTATTGAACTTCACAAAAGAAGACAACACCAGCGTGCCAACATGTCGGCTTAATAGTGCTTATTAGTGCTCCTGAGCACTCGTAGGATTTGTTCTTACAGCAGAGAAATTCTGGATACGAGAAAAAAATCATGAATGCCACAATCTTTGTAAAATCCTCGTAAGTAGGATTTACGTACAAATTTGTTCTTAAGAACGGTTGGTGAATGAGGCCCAATATACGTAAGTGCAAAATAAAACAAGTATATACCATAAGGAGCTAAGTACACAGTGCGGATGAACAGAGAATTGTCAGGTTAGGCCACGTTATGTTATCGTGTCGTAACGTGTCAAAAATATCTATGGTGATTTCACTGACGTTGACTCACCCTTCATGAATGAACTCCTCCAGTGCGGCACATTCAGAGATTAGCTGAGGACACTGGCAGCGCAGAGCCACGTACGACAGAATTGGTAACAGGTCATCAGCGCCTCTAACACGAGGAAAGCAAAGACACAAATAAAAAAATAAAAAAGGAAAATGGACTAATAGACCCCACAAGACAACAGTAGGATGCAAACCTTGTTGTGATTGAAGAGAAATCAATTTTGGAGGAGAAAAGTTTCTTCTATAAAATAATAGCATCTCATACAAGACGATTTTAAAGGGCCTGTATGTAAAATGCTCTCCTCGTGGTCCTTCACATTGTTTTTGAGTACAGATATGTTTGCATTCAAGCCATCCATTCACTCACTCAGCACATTCAGACCTAATGCACATGGTTTGGAGGTAGGGGATACCGGATCACCTGGAGGAAACCCAAGCAGACACGGGCAGAACATGCAAACTTGTTGCAAATGTTTTTGTTTGTGAATTTTATTATTTAACAATTTGAAAAGGAGCCAGAACCAGAAAATCTAACAAACTGTCAATGCAAATTCTGCTCTCTGATTGGATAATCTGCTTGGAACAATAACTACATACAACATTTTTTAAGGAACATGTTGACCTGTGACATGAGGAAACACAAAAGCTGTAAATTGTAGTAATATGAAATGAATCAAAATGTAGTATGGTGCCAATACCAAGTCAGACAGACTCGTGCGACCTAATGAGCAGCCATGGGACAGCAGCGCCACGCTAACGTTTGTTTGGTGATGACTGATTACGCTGTTTTCCTTGTAGTCCAGGTCTGTCGGGGGGGAAAGCAAATTGCAGCTGATGTGAACAGATAGCATTCTGCTCGTGTGTGGACAGGGAGCGTTTGTTTATGAGCCCTTACACGCAGCGCTGGTCGGTTTGCGTGAGAATAGGGGGCCCTGGTCCTCGGACAAGCCCGGCGCACGTTACCGGACACCCCCCCCCTCCCTCTGGCTGACTCAACAAGGTGTGCATGGCTCGAGTAACCGTGAAGCAGGCCCTGACACCGCCCACCTGGATTAAATTGTTTGCATTCCGATCAATCCTACATGGGGTTATTTGGTTCAATTAAAACTGCGGTACTGAAATTCTTAAAAAAACACATCTTGTCTGGTAAAAGTTACATTTTGTGGACAAATCAGACCGGCCGTTTCATCTTAATAGAAGTCCCTTTTATGTCTGAAAAAGCTCATCTAAAAATACATGAAAGTGAACATTTGTGATAGAACCAAACTGTTTTGAGAGCGAGATAGTTTTGATTACATCGTTTCAAAGTTAGGAACCCCAGATTTACATTAAACTAAATTGATTCAAATTCACGGTAGTTAGAAATATAGTGCAACGTAATGTCTCACAAGTGGGACAGTGATTGCCTGTTTTCTTCAGTATTTGGTTGTTGAGAAATGTACAGATGTTTCCAAAAATGACCTCCAAAAATGGGTCATTACAGGGTGAGGAGTGTCAGTGCAGGCTGTTTGTTTATAAACCTCTCACGCAGACCGGCCTAGTGCCAGATTGCGTGACAAGGGGGGATTTCTGGTTCAAAACTGAGCCTGATACATGTAACAGGATCCTCTCCTTTGGGCTTTACAATGAGTAGAGTTACCTCATGAGATAGAGGCAGGAAAACTGAACATATTTTATTCGTTTTAGAGCGAAACCAGTGGAACGCCAAAAAGTATGCTGCACTCATTGTGGAGTTTTGTTTTGTTGAAACTATTAACAATAAAAGTGAAAATGAAAATGTTTTGATGTGATGCCTTTGTTTTACTTCTGTACCTTCTTACTCGCTCCTTGTCCTCAATCGCTCTCTGGTGGGGTTCATGCAACGCTTTTGTCTCACTCTTAACTTGTCACAAAGTACACGGACCTCTTCGACCCCTGATGTGTACTGGAGCCGCTCCGAAACGAGACATGACGACCCACTTTCGAAACCGGGCAGGAAGCGTCACTGTGGGGGGCCAATAAAGCTACAACAGACCCTGCTGCGAAGGGCTTGACTGTGGACTGATGAGAAGTGACAGAGCAGCTACCCAGGCCCAGACCCTTGTCGTCTTAGGGTACGTTGGCTACATTCTGGGTCAAGACCAGTCGTGTTTTGGGGAGAGGGGCATCTACTTACATGGCTGCTGTTTTGAGATTGGACAGACTGGATGCTTCGTGGAGACATCTATAATCTTCGGCACAGGCACAAATAATCCGTAATGTTCTCACTGTAGTATGAAAAAGCAAATGAGAACCATGTTTTTTAATACATTAATACAATAATACATTATAATAATAGCCTGGTAGAAAAACGCACCGATGCAATTGAGTTTCCTTTGAGGACAGCAGTCTTTAATGACTAGTTTGAGTTCTAGGACTGCGGACTCATATGGGTACGAGCCCTCCGGCGTTTTATCCTCAGGTGGATACAGTTTGGGTGAGACCCCAACATAGCTCGGGGAAGCGTCTCCATAGCGCCTCACGCTGGCGGCAAACATCAGCTCTCTCTCCCTGTTCACTTTCCTGGGAAAATACAGTAAGTTTAGCAGTTGTCCAAAGTCTCCTCAAGGCTCTGATGCAGAGAACAACACTGCCCTGTTGTGGCCAGAAAGAGTATTGCACAAAAGAAAATCTTACAAACCTGAAGAGAGCCATCAGGGCGGTCCAGAGCGGCGAGAAGAACACCTCCTCAATACTGGCCAGACACAGGTCTTTGGAGGCGGCCGTGTTCAAACACTCGAAGGAGAGCAGACACAAGGACAGGAGCTGGTCTGGGAAGAACAAGCACTAAACATCAACAGTGTGTGTTTCTTTTATAGAAAAGGCACTGGGAAAAGATCCCATTTGATTCTTTTAAACCATCCCTTGTATTTTCATTGATCTCGGACCAGCTCATATCGCATTCATTAACAGGGAGAGTTGGTGTGACCTTTAGAATAACGTCCTAACACTGCTCACTTCTCTTCATTGATCAGAAAATAGTGGATTAGATAAGTTTAATGGGTGCTATAAATGGCAATTGAAAATCCGAGCAAGCAGACTTTTTTTATTTTAACAACTTGGGATCCTTCATAAACACTTTTGAAGCAATTGTGGTTAAAGTTGAACTCACCATTCTAACATTTTGCATTTCAAGTGAATTTCCACTTGAAGTGTTTTGGTCATCTGAAGGCCGAAGATACCGGCGCATCGGCAGGTGCTGATTGGAGTGTCTATTCCTCCATGGTATAAAATCACATGCACGCAGAAAATCTTTGGTCGAGTCTCTTTGTAACATCAATAAAATGTCTTCTGTGCCTGTACACGACCCCAAACTCCCGCATGTTTTCTTCACAACTTTGCATCAGTGAGACATCTCTGGTCTTGGTTTGTGCTTTTGTTAACATAACCCACCAAAGTGGTTAAAAAATACCCTAAAAGAAATTGTTTTAGCTGAATTGTTACGATTTTTCCTAACTTACCCAGCCCTGCGTCATTTAGGGTCTACTTTTATTCTCTGTGGCAGGTCATTTTAGCACAAGTGTTAAAACATCACCAACAACGTACATTCATTAGGCTGGAGTATTTACTTATATCGCAATAAATCTCTTCTCACATAGCTCATGGTGCAGGTTCTGTCTCAAATACAGAAAAGTGAGTGGATCACATTATGCGTATGACTTACCAATGGCTATGTGGATATCTTTGACTGTGGCCTTCAGGTGATCTTTGATAGCCCTCATTTCCATCTCCAGGATGTGCAGCTCACTCAGATCGGATTGACCAGACTGGATTTCCGGGTTTAAACTGGAGTCATCTGTACAGTCCTGGGGAGGCACCCAGTCAATCTGAGACAGGAACTGCTCCAGGTCCTCAAAGGAGTTCTCGCGCTCTACGGCAGTCTCCCCTATGTCCCGGTCCTGGTCCGAGTGGAGGATGTGGTCTTGAGAGTGTGAAGGGGACAGTGAGGGATCAATGCTAAAACTGTGGCTGCTGCTGCTGCCCATTGATGTATCTGCAAATTAATGTACAAAAGTAAATATAAGTTAGATGTTGGGCTATGTTTCTGCATGTGGTGAAGAAACGTCACTATATTTAGGAGTAAATAGAATAAGAGCACACCTGGCTGTAGGTTTTGGGAAGAGAGTTCCGGACTGGGACTCTTTACACTTTTACAGACGAGGGGGTAGAGTCTGCTGTAAATGCGATACTGATGTTTTCTCAGCAGCTTTACAACAGGGTGGTCCGACTGACTGAGGGGACACAAAAACCAAATGCCATAGTTTTTATGCAGTGATTCCTCAAAACAAATTTTCCACGCTAACATTTTATTCATGTGTGAGTTTACGTATAAACATTAAACCTTTAGCACAAAGCAGCACAATTTAAGTTGTGAGTGGCCTTACCTAAACAGGAAGGAGATGAGCTCACTCACTAAATGTATGTTTTCAGGATTCATTTTAAGCTTTTCCTTCCATATTTTTGGCCAATCCTAAAAGAGTAAAAAAAAGAAACCTTGGTGATACCACTATAACGGTACAAAATACATTATTTGCATGTACATCAATTCTTACATGATCTTGTTCATATTCAAGCACATTAGTGTACAGAGTCCGTTGCTCCTGTTCCTCAGCTGTCATTTCTCCAGATGCTGCAAATCTCCTGTTAAAGAGAAACAAGACAATATTAATTATAATAATAGTATTAATACTAAAAAAAAGTATTATAGCTAATCTAGATGTACCGGTTGGCTTGTTCTTGCAGTCGAAGCCTCCTATCTTCCATTTTCCTTTGAAGCTATTGAGATAATTAAGGTGATCAAACATTAAATAAACGCAAGACAATTCTAAGGTCACATTAGAGCTCTGACGGTTCAATTTGTTGTAAACAGTTAAAAGATACAGAGTCCTGTCTGGCTCTGGCTATGATGAGGTTCTCCATCATTTGCCTTTGAAGAGACAGGGTCTGCAATAAAAAAAAAACAGGTTTTAGCGATGAGTAAAAATATCAACACATTATACATTCACAACTTCTTTGTATCATTCTTCATCCAATCCTCAAAGTAAGACCATTGTTTACCCAATCGCACACTTCAAAAATGGATAAATTAGGCAATAATTGCTTGAATCAACGAGTTTTTATATTAATTTGGGAAAACTAGTCTTATTTTAAGAACTGTTGCTTTATTTTCTTATTCGCATATTTGGTTTAGAGGCATCAAAATGAGCTCAAATAAATATTTTCTCAGATTGCGCCACACTTGAGCGTTTTGTTTTTACTTATTTTGAACCACTCACTGAAACCAAATCAGCAAAAATACTTTCACCAAACTTGCCGTGAGCGGACTAAAAGTAGCCAATTTCAAATAAGTTTAAGTTGTCGGTAAAACCTCGGTAAAGACAGTGCGGCGTCACTTGTAGAATTTACCTCGATAAAAGTCCTGAGCTTTCTCCAATAATTACGCATGTCCACTCCTCGCGCTCTCTGACGGCGCAACATTGTTCACAGCGTAATAACTTAAAAACACTGACAGCGCGCACGTCAATTAGATTGTGTCTTTAATTTAACGATTTAACTGTCGTGCAGTTGTTTGTACGTGTGCATCAGAGGAGCATCACAGTCCACAGTCCGCAGTCCACGTGTTCACTTTAATCAGCACCGCACCAGAAACACGTTCTCAACAATAACAGAACGTCCACCGGAAATAGGTTCTCCACAATAAAACAACGTGCAGCGGAAATGGGTTCTCCACAATAAGAGTCTGCAGCCATGGCGCCCTCTCCGTCGCTACTTCCCCTGTCTTCATCGAAACACTAGAGCTTTCCTGCTGCGTAGTCGTTAAAGTTAAAGCGACGTTAAAGCCCACCACAGGGGTTAAGCGCAGTGTGCTATCGATTGAATGACATCAGAACATGGCCTTGTCCATATAACAGCTTTGTTGTGATGGACTTTGATTGGAATGACATCATTGTTGTTGCCTCTATTGATTTTCAAAGCCTCTGCGCAAAATATGTTGTAATATGTATGTAAATAAAAAACAATATTAGATAAGCTGTGAAGTGGGTGGAGCTTAACAGTGTCAAGCATAAAATTCCCCTTGGTGGGGGTGATCGAAAGAATCAGAAAGTATCAAGTAGTAAAAGTAGTATTGAAACTAGATAACAATTTGAGCAAGAATCAGATCACTAGAAAGGATAACATTACCAGTATTATGAAGAGAATTCTATGACAATGCACTGAGTGAATTCACTAAGACACTGCAGTTTCTAAAACATAAACCATAAACAAAACAACTTTAAACCTGATGTAACATGTTTTTCATTCTGCATGGAGTCTGCGATTGGCTCTCCTGTTGAGTAGTGCCCTAGAAGTGTTATAGGCTCCAGCGTGTCCATCATCAGAGCAGCAAAGTCTCTCACGTTCCATTCTGATCAGCCAGGTTGTCGCTCCACACCTCCACACCTTTTAAATGTCAGATACAGTATACATATAGAGTCCGCTTCGCTCTGTCGGGACTTATTTTCTGATAATGACCTGCCTACTACACGTTATTCCTTACATATCATTTTTTGCAGGGTACAGAGAATAAATAAAAGGTGTGCCAAACATCTTGAAGGTTGCAGTTTGATTGAAGAAATAGATCAAGGTCTTATATAGAGTGGTAGATACTAAAATACAAATAGGACTATCATTCTACCAGTAAAAAACATTAAGAAACAATTATTATCTACGGCAACTTGGGTATAAACCGTCATTTTTATAGCCAGACCCATTGTGAGGTGACTGCTCTCACACCTCTTACCAGAGACGTCTTCTGATAGGCCTGTCCAGGACTGAGTCGAGCCACACGGGCCTCATAATTGGCTTTGAGTTTCTGGTTTAAACGGGATGCTTCTTCAATGGGCGTCAATTCTCTACAAAACAAAATGAAAATGGGAACTTCTGAAAACAAAAACTGTGCCCTAATTTTGTCGCCATACATAAAACCATTTAACTCTGACATTAGCAGAGTTAAATGGTTTTATTCCATTTGAGTTAGTTTTGCTTATGTAGTGATATTGGAAGCAGAAGCTCGCTGTCAATCAAATGTATTTTGTACCAGAAAGGCTTTGCAGAAATGATCAAAGCCAGCGAGGTCTTTGAGCGGAATTAATGTCATGCCACTAATTGTTAAGCCACAGTACTGCTCAATTTCCAATTTGTCAGCATATTGCTAATAATTCAGAGAAAGAAGTCTGTAGCTTGGACCAGAAAGAGCAATATATATTGAGTTGAGGACATCATTTGATACAACAGTATAGAGCTGAAGACATTTTTGTAAGTCAATTTCAGCAACAGTCTTCCTGAAAATGTGAGACAGGCTCCTTCTTTGACAATGTTCAAATCCAGGTTAAAAAAAAATCTGTTTCGCTGTGCATACAACTGAGGGATTTTTTCTTCACTCTTTCTAATGTACTGTGATTATATATGATTTTAATGCCTTGTGTGACTGTCTCTGTCTTGTTTGAATTGTGCTGTACAAATAAACTTGACTTGCCTACCCTCATATCTTACTTTTTGCTTGAATCCTGTAAATCCCTTGTTTGCAGTCTATGGAAAAGTTCTGGTGGCACGAGGGGTGAAGACAGGCCTCCACCATTAGGCATAGTTGGGCTACTGGACGTGGGTCTTTGGTCATCAGAAGCACCAGACGGAGACACTGTGACAAGAAGATTTTAAAACACACAAAAAGCAAATGGTTTTAACGATTTGTCATGTGGTCATTTTTTTATTTGTGGATTCTGCTTGGGTGGAGAGTTCATTGAGAAGTATAGGTGGAGAGACAGACCTGTGGTTATCGGCGACTGTGTTGTTTTTGATTCACCCATAGCAGAAGTTTGGGTAAGAGAGTCTGCGTTCTTCTCTATGAAAGACTTGGCTCTCTCCAGGCACTGTTCAGCCAGTCTCAACATCCGCTCCACTTCCTGTTTCTGTTCATCTCCCTCTAAAGAAAGCAGAGAGATGAATGTGTCTTATTAATGTCTTATAATAACCATGTCTGAATAATAATAACTTTTTATTTCATTCATAAACTTTATTTGTGATAATGTGATATTTTGTCAAGTCAACAGACATGTCCACAATAAAATAATTTCTCATTAAAATTGTGACAAGGCGTGGTCGACATCACTGTGAACTGTAGGATAGGCCTCAATTTTCACTTCTTTCTTTTCACATGAATATGAATATATTTCACAGACTTTAACTGTGCATTTTGTTTTCAGTTTTAAGTCTTAAAACATTCCCAATATAAATAGGATTATCTTATTTTGTGCTGTTTGAGTTCTTTATCAAACCACACAACCAAGTAAACATGTGGAAAGCAATTAGAATTCCTTGTAAATACCAGAGCTAATAGGTCCGCCAGAATAATGTGTCCTGTGTCTGCAGAGGCTGAAATCAAACTGAAGACTTCTTGCTCAATGAGCAACTATAGACTAACGACTTTAGACTTTAGGTGAACTATGTAGATGACTGTCACACTACTGCTTTTAGTCACACTTCTTACTTTTGGAAGTGGCTTCTTCTAACAGAGCATAGGAGAGGAAGTGGATGATCCGAAGATATTCACAATAGGCCTCCTGTAATGAGACAGATAACCTTAATACAGTTATAACACCTGAACATGTCAGATTCAGAATCAGAATCATTTTCATTGCCATGTAAGTAACAGGAAGTCACTGACTAATACATTGCTTTGGCAAACAGTCAAAAGAAGAGAGTGGTGAATAGAGTAAGGCAGTAAAAATCAGCACAGTCATTTAAAATGTCAAACAAATATAACTTGGTCTAAACTGTCTGGATGTTGATTTGTAGCTCAGATGGAGGAAGCATTATCCCATAGTATTATCTTATCTTATCAGGAGAAGGAGCAGAATATTCCTAACGCAGATGACAGCCCCCTCACGCCCACAGACACTGTCCTCAAACCTGGTGTTTGTCCCCCGCGTCCAGCTGAATGGCAGATTTGGCCATCTTCATAGCATATTGAAGCGGCTTCAGGCCGCTGTCAGCTGTCGCCATGGTCCAGTGTTTACGAGTGTTTACGAGTACGTCTGCAGCACGGCCCCACCGCGCATGCGCAGTCAGTGCACGAGCTGTATGTGGAGAAAGCCCCCTGTGACGCCCTCTGCTGCACCGGAGAACACATGCAGCCCACCAATCCATACACAATCTAACCACTACCTACTTCTCTAGACAATTAATAGATTTCACACGCATATATTTTTGTATCATGTCTTTAGAGCAGTTTTTTTAGGTGAAAAAGTATTTAAAGATAAAACACATATATCAAATGAGATTGAGCAGACTGTGGCCTGATTTGATGACAAAATGTTCCTTTTTCTTGTTCCAAGATTAAAAAACAAACTGTATATGAAGATAGATGCCCCATCTCTAATGCTGTATTTACACATACAGTATACACTACTAAAATATACAATTTGAACATGATTAATGACCTGGCTTGGCAGGCATTTGAAAAAAAAAATGAATTCACCAATAAAGTAATCCACCGATTGGAGATTGGAGATGGAATGATTTAAACCTTTGGCATGAGTGTAAAACAGGCTCCATGTGCCCCTTCTGTCACATGTGAAGTCTGATCAAAGTAGGACGAGAAGGCTCTCTCTCCTGATCTGAGGACAGACGCTCAGGGCATTAAGACTTTGGGATGTGCTTTGAAGACATATCCCCCATAGTCCTGTGTGTGTACAGACCTCAGCCAAACTGGACAGAATCACAGCACAGAGCTTCTGCGTCTCACTGTCACAAGCAGTGGCTTCAGCAGGACAAAGGGGAATAAATCAGAAAACGCAAACTCATTCCAGCAATGAAGCAGAGGCAAACAATAATCCACTGATATCACATAGGGCAAATCTAAATTACAATAAAAATACACCATGTGACATTTACAGAAACATGCCACCTCTGTATACGGTATATGTTGCATAAATATAAACTCACTAGGTCTTTATTTATTCTATTAAATGTGTTAAAAACTGACACATCTGAGAGGAACTGTGGAACATCTCTGGCCTTCCAATAGGAGCCTCAAAGGTGCAATAATCACTGTCAAAGTACAGTTGCATTAAGTAACTGATGGCGAATCCTCCAAGAGAACTATTGTTGTGATTTAGGGCTCTGCAAAATAAACGGAATTGAAGTGAATAGATATATAGATTTATAGATAGACTGATAGATATGGAATAGTTTTACCGATCGCAGCCAGGTGGTCATTGACCGATTATTGGCCCAGTGTTTATTTTATCGTTTAATTACTTTCTTTGACAGGGACAATGTAGTCTTACAGAGTGTGTAGCTAATTCTAATTGTCAACTCCTGTCACTGGTTAAGCTTTTCCCTACAGTGCAGAAGTGAATAAAATAGACAGCCCTAAAACACATATTTACAACAGTGATGGTTATTGGTGTGTATCCCATAAAACATACAGTAAGTAGTTCTTGTGTTTCATACTGCTTTAACAAGTGGTTTTGACTGAAAGCAGGTCAAAAATGCATGTACGCTGCGGTCTCCTTGGACAGGTTCTTTGTATGGACAGGTTTTTTGCCTTGGACACCGCTCGTCTCATCTCTGCACTCATTATTAATGTGGGACTGCTGCGTAACCCAATCTCCTCTGCCTTCATGTCTCTGTTCTCATAACTCATTGGATAACTGAAATATTTATGCCAACAGTGGAATATTCATCACTGTGATCATGTGACACTGTGTCTGAACTCAGCATGAGACTGATACATAATACAAAAGTCGTTCATTTGCCAAGATGGAAATGATTCTCCTTTAGAAATTCACAATCCAACTACAAAAGATGAGGGTGAGGGTGGCGCACATACAGTTGTAGTCGAAAGGTTACGCACCCAGCCGGAAATGTCCTTATTCTAGCCAGACTATTGGAGATTGTTATTGAGAGGTGGTTTTTAATTCTAGTCTTAAGACACGTTTTTACGGCTCGGCTTTTAACACAAGCTGAGTTTGACTTTTTTCATTGTTTTCTGTTTTTTATATGCATGTATTTTATGCTGTTTGCTTTTATTTTGTTATATTTTGTGCCTGTGAAGCACTCGTGTTGTTGTAAATGTGCTACACACATAAAGCTGACACTGACATTGACATAATGAATGATTGGGCTCTTTGAACTCATTGTTAGCGGTTGTGTGAAGGCGTTTATTTTCAATTATGCGTTCTCTAATTTTGAAAATCAAAACAACATTGGGCCATTCTGGAGAGATCTCAAAAGAAAGCAAAATTGTAGATGAATTTGTCAAGAAGAATGGGCAGCTACAAAACCTCACAAGAACTGGGGGGATGGAAACTAAAAAGCAGGGTCTGAAAAGTAGTTTTTGTGGTCATTACAATTTGAAAAAGAGTTTTGACGATGAGTGAAAAAACAACGTGGTAAATAGAGAAGTACTTCCACCCCGTCATAAAAGCTTCAATCCTGTGGCATTATTTTCCAGACAATATTCAAGCCTTCAATGGCCATACCTGCATGTGAAAGCCAGATCTTGTCAGCTAAGTACAGCAGGGTCTGGTTAGTACTGTGATGGGAGACCTCGTGAAACACCAGGTGCCACAGTGGGGCGGCTGTGGCTGTAAAGTGCCAAACTGTGGTTGTGTCCTCAGGCAAGACACTTCACCCACATTGCCTAGAATGAGTCTGGTGTGTGCGTGAATGGTTAGTGGATGTCTCGCTTCTGTCAGTGCGACCTAGGGCAACTGTGGCTACAACAGTAGTTTGTATGTTTATGGACTGAAAGTAAGAATTATGATATATTTTAATGCTGCTCTGTTTTAATATGAAATGGTTATTATTTTTTATTGACTCAATGCATTCTGATCTGTTTTTTCAAATTGCTCTTGAGAAGCACTTTGAATTGCCTTTTACACAAATTGTAATGTTCAAAAAAAATGATTGAGGGGTTGTATGACATGTAAAGCATCTCTGAGTGTCCCAAAAAGTGCTGTATATAAAACTATTTATTATTATTATTGTTATTATCATTAATTCTCCTGTTTAAGAGAAATAAAAGCATCTGATCATGGCAATGTACTTGTGTCTTTGTCGTCATTGGTCATTGTTCAGACTGACAGCTTTTTAAATCCACACAAAAAGGACTTTGTATCAAGCAGAAAATGATCTGCTTTGAGACAGGCTCTTTGTACCGCAGCTTGTGATTAAGACTTTTCGCAGTGATGCAGATACGTAACAATATTGTCTACAAAACAATAAAAGCTTCATAAAAGTACAAGACATAAACAGGGGAGTATTTATTGTTGCTGTGGAGAATACAAACACACGCTACGTTTTTCTGCAACTCCTTTAATCTTGCAAGAAAAACCTGTGAATTAAACAGAAATGGGTGAGTTTTACAGAAGTAATCTTTCAGCACAGATGGATGGAGGATGTAGGACCTGTCCGTGTCACGCCCATTAAAGCCTGAATTCATTTTGTTGTGGAGGATTCCGGCCTTAGTTCTGCTCTAGTTGAGATTGAGACCAGTGTTAGGACCAAACCTACAACAAAAAGACAACAAAAAAGATTCTTATTTAGACCTTTAGACTTTTTTCTATGTATATTTTTCCCTCATATCATTTCACTGGTTTATGTTTCCACTCTACGACAGCTTTCACTGTAAATTTCACTTGAAGCTGGGGTAATTTTATTTTTTACATATAGAAATACATGTTCAATATGACTCAATATGTCACTTGTCTATGGGCTGAGAGCTGATTGGCTGAATGGGGGAGGTCCTCACTTTTCTGTCTGAAAAAGCTGATTGGAAAATGTGACCAAAAAATAAAATAAAATACAATGCACGTGGATAGAAGAAGTTTTATCGGAAAGTTTTTGTTATTTTTATTTATCTAATTAACCTTTATTTAACTATGAGAGTCCTATTGAGATTAAGCACCTCTTTTCAAGGGAGTCCTGGACGTGATTTGAACATTAGTTTTTAATCTGCTTTAATAATTCAAAAAATAAACTCAAGCCTAATATAAAAATACTGTGATACTTACATGCAGTTATAATGTGTGAGAAAGTGCGAGCTGGGCAATGGAGAAAGAGGAAAGGTCCTGTCGCTCGGGGCATTGTGGAGAAACCCTGATGGCTCCTGCAACAGAATTTCTCTCAGATCAAAACGACGAAATAATCTAGTAGTAATATGCACCTGACCTTTTTCCCCATCGTCTTCAGGAGTTCGGGGGCTTGAGTCCGGCGTGGAGAAGGCCGCGGGGAGCTCTGACCGGGACAAAATCACACGAGTGAAAGGATCAAAGTGAATGTGAGTGAGAGAGCTGAGACTCACCGGACCGGACTTGCCCAAAGCGGGGCCTCGGCTGTAGCCCGTGTCTCGGCTCGAATGGCTGCTCAGGTTGGGGATGACTTCTGGCCGCTGAAACACATTTGCAACTTTTTTTGGAGGATATTTTTTGTGGTACTGGTGGAAAATGATGTGCCTAAAAGGTGGACTATGTAATTTTTGTTGTTTTTTTTATGGGCCTTTTGACAGAAATCTTAACCGTTTAATGGTTTCCTCAACCTTTTGAAACTGAAATCTACCTCATTGTGGCATCTCTATCAGCTCAACCATTGGGAAAGGCCTAAAATAAAATAAAACGATTTGGTAAAAAATAAAATAAACATCTTTAGTTATTAGCGCTACAGCTTAGAAAATAAAAAAAGAGAAACATCTACATTGCCATCTTCAAGGAGTGAATATTAAAGGGTTAAGAAACATGGCAACAACAGCTGGTAGAAATTCCATAGTGCACCAATTAGATAAAAGTACAGACGCAAAATGTGTTTTCCACTTTAAGAAAAAAACTATCAAAGCAATAGTACTGTTGGAATAAATTGCAGTAACAAAGTTTGAACAAGAAACTCAAAACAGGCTTTTTAATAAGTCTAAATTACAGAATAAATCTACCTGCAAACGAGGTCTCTGGAAGTCGGTCCTCATTATAGACGAGTGTGTGTATCGCGGCTCAATCTACAAAACAATATATTCATAAACTTAAGGTTGTTCTTTCAGTAAAACAAGAGTAAATACCGACCGGGGGACACGTTTTGCTCATAAAGGTGTTGATCTGCAGGTCCTCTCCTTTCGTGAATCCTGATCCTGAATGCTTTCCATGATCAACCACACTTTGAGGCACTGAAACATTTTGCATTCAAAGTGAAAATCGCACTTTGTATAAATGTAATAAATAAAAGAGCATGATCATTGAACCTGTTGGTGCCAGAGGATGTTCCACGTACACGGCTTGGAATTCAGTCTAGAAAGAACAGAGTTGTAAATGGTTTGATGGATATGCGGTAAAAATGCAGGTTGCGGTCCGCATACCGTCTGGTACCGGGACTGTGGCTTCTGGGGCCCGTTCAGCTGGTAGAATCCACTTTGTTTGTTTTTGTCATTGAAGCTGAACCCAGAACCATCGTGGTGAGCATAGGGCTGGTACTGACATTTGGTCTCCGTGTTATAGTTGTCGAATAGAAGTGACCTAGAAGAGAAAGACAAAAACAGATACATCGTTCATTGGCCAAAATATCTATCTCCATTGTGAAAAAAAGTCAAAACAAAGGAAGAACATAGCTGCATTTTTCCCATTGTGATACTAAAAAAGCTATAAATATATTGTTCATTTATTCCTTCAATTACAATCTTCAAAATGTGTTATTGGCAGAACATTTCCAAGTATAACTCTAATGGCACGTACAGTATCTGTTTTTGCAAATAAATATTAATATTCTGTAAATGGTGATCTCAAGGTTCAATACATTTCTAAATATAAGAAGCACATACATCATTTCTTTTTAAATTTCCCCATTGATTTGTCATAATTCGATAATCTGCCCGAAGGATTTGCATATATACTTTATTTTATTCATTAGATTGGATTTGGACCAGGTGTTCTTCTCAAATATTCAGTAATGCATAAGCCTCCTCATCATACACGGTAATGACTTATGAAATATTTCAGCATACATTTCCGGAGTTTATTTGTGTATAGCCTTTGCAACCAGCTTGTTACGGAGCCAATGAACGCCATCTGCTATTTTTCAAATGCACCGTTTTACACCTGTGACTGAAGCCAAACAGAAAAGCAGACATTGGTGAAAGCAATTGAACAGACGCCGGCTGCATCTGAATTCATACAGTATACAGTACCCCTTTCTTATCTTTCCAAGCATTTCCTTCCCATTTTTGTTGACTTTTGTGGCATAAATTGTGACCTAAGTGGCATCGAAAAACTTAAATAAACTTAAAATAATAATAATAAATTGCGCGTAGAAACCTGGACCTGCCTTGTATCATAAAAAAGTGAATTTTAAAGCACACAAAGGGATGCAGAAGGATAAGAAAGAAGGTATTCTGGCTGAATTTGGATGTAGCACATGCTGTATTGCTGAGCTTGTACAGCGCAGGGGATGGTGTAGGGTCAGAGAGTGTTTTGGACCGCTGTGCGTGTGTTTATGTGTATGTTTGAGTGTTTTGTGTGTCTAATACCCCATGACAGTATATGGTATATTATTGTATGCAAAGTATCACATTTGTATGATATATGTTGAATTTATTGTATTGTATTCTGTGTGTTATTGTGTTGAATTGTGAGAGGGGGTTTGGAACAAATAATATTCTGCTTCATCCATCCCTTTTTCAAACCTGTATTTGTGTAAATATTATGTGAAATTGTGTTCTGCAGGATTTCAATAAAGCAAACTGACAAACTAATGATGGCGACAAAGGGCCGTGGAACTCACCCGTATTGAGGGTTGTCCACGAGGTCCAAACTCGGCTGGTATCCAAGAACGAGCCTCTGGTTGTTGGTGAAACCAGATTCACCAGGACGATACCTCTTTACTGGCAGTGAAGGTATAAATAATACAAACTGAGTTATCACTATATAAAAGTAAATTGACTTTTGATTATTTTTCCAATTTTCCACGTCTCATTGCTATACATGTGTCTATCATGACAATCATATCTGCTCTCACCATCGGTTGTGTGGCTGTGGGTGTGCAGGGTGCTGCTGGTGATATGGTCCCTGTTGCCAGTTGCTCCAGCAGTCCTCGCTCTCCTCTGCTCTGCCATGACTGCTGTAATGACACTCTGCACTCAAGCTGCAGGCCGTGTGTGCCGAGACTACGAGACGACAACAAGACTTCGTGAAGCCTTTAGTATATGAAAACATTTGAATTTCAGTGTTATATCAATTGGGATTTACCTGTACGCGTAGAAATCGTCTCATAGCATTCATATATTCAAAAGTAAACAAGCCACTGTTGCTAGGAGAGTTGAGACAATGAACAACGTGTGCAGCATTCCTCCATAAGAAAGAAGGCTGTTCAGAATTATCTAAAGAGGCTAATTCATTAGACTTTTATGCCCATGGGATTCTGAGTGATGAGAAATGATGGTGAGAAATATCTAAAATGGTATTTATTCAAGCAATTATTCTCTTCTTATTGAAATGCTCTAAAACATTCAGTCTTGGACCAATCTATTGGTGACGACTGCAATTATCTGTGCAGTAATGATCAACGTCTTGCACCCGTATGCAATTTGAAAATAATAACAACATCCAATTATTTTTCACTTTCCGCTTGACTTTCAAAAGCGTCTGACGCAGCGGGTTGTGAGAGATGTTTTGTTTCTGTTCATAAATGTAAGTGCATTGTTTTGTTTTTAACAGCCCACAACAAATATCTTATGATAAATGTGTCTTTTCTTAATCAATTTGGATTTAAATAATCCTCAAACCTCTACAAACATGAAGCTGAAACCAATGCTTACTGAACTAGAACAAAGGTGCAGTGGTTCTCAAAGTGGGGGCCAGGAGACACTTAGCTGGAGGTGATTTCCAGTTAGTGAAACTCAGAAGATTAGCACGTCATTCAAAAGTTCATATTTTCTGTATTTCAACTTCAAATGTGAAACCAACATATATATGGACTCATTAAACGCAAAATGACACATGCCTTGGTTTTCTATAATGTTGATGATTATGGCTCATAGGCACGGTGGCTGAGTGGATAGCACTCTCGCCTCTCAGCAAGAAGGTCCTGGGTTCGAATCCCGGTCGGACCAGGGCCTTTCTGAGTGGAGTTTGCATGTTCTCCCCGTGTCTGCGTAGGTTTCCTCCGGGTACTCCGGTTTCCCCTACCACTAAAAATATGTCCAATAGTTCTGGCATGTGCCTCCTGTACTGGCGACCCCGCTCCCATCTCTGTGTGGAGTGAGAGACAAATGCCCAAAATTAACAATTGTAAACCGCTTTGAGACTCAGATCTGCAGTGAAAAGGCGGTATATAAATAAAAACTTACTTACTTACTTACATAGTTTTTACAGCTGTAAACCAATTATTAACATTTAGAAAAACAGTAAAGTAAAATGACTTTTGAAGGATATTCTAATTTTCAAAGTTTCACTTGTACTTCTAAATTTACAACACTGTATTTAATCACTTATTAAAAAAAATAAACAATAAACAAATAATTGGCTATTGGATAACTAGCACAACACATTATGCAAATAGACAACATTTGAATTATCTTGCAGAATGGGGTTCGTGAGCTCATTTAAAGTTTGTTATGGGGGTCCTGGCCTTAAAAGTTACAGCTTCCAGTTATTTTCAGAATATTTTCCCAATTCATCGTGTGTGTTTACTGTTCATTTTCCTTACAATGGCAACAGCCCTTTGTATTATTCTCATGGGACTGTATGACTGTTTGAAAACCATGTACAGGGCAACAGGACTTGTGTGTGTGGCCACATGAGGGCGCTGTGGTGTTGCCGTGTTTGTGGTAAGAACAGCGTGGATAAAAAAAAAAGGCTAAGGTTATGTAAAATGATGGATGGCTTGAAATTTACATGACATGTTGATAAAAATGTCCTGCTGAAAGTGAGAGAAAGAATGTGCCGGTAGCATACAGTGGCCAAAATCAGCCTGCTCCATTAATTTTACGTAAACATATTATATAATCATTTATTTATGATTCCAGCTTTGTTAAAGAAAGTAGATGTCATGAATAAGGTGCTATTGTATTTGCAGTTTGATATGCAACCTCCACTGTTTTTGTTGTTTTGTTTTGGTTCATGAGCAGTACACCTATTGTTCAGTGGTGGAGTAGTGAGAGCTTCTAGGAACTTAGAAGCACCTGAATGTGTTATAGGTTGGATACCTATTGCACTTGGGAGCACCTGCATGTGAAAGCCAGATATCCATCAAGACTTCTGAAGCTAAGCAGGGCACCCGGAGCTTGGAACACTGGGAGACTGTAAGGCTGTAAAGTGCCAAACTGCTCTTGTGTCCTTATACAAGACACTTCACCCACATTGCCTATGAGTCTGGTGTGTGTGTGTGTGTGTGTGTGTGTGTGTGTGTGTGTGTGTGTGTGTGTGTGTGTGAGAATCCTCGATGGTTGGAGGGGCTTATTGCACATATTGGTTTCCTCACTTCTGTCAGTCTGTGGCTACAGTAAAGCTTCACCACAGTGAACAGAGTGAAAGAACAATGTCATGTGATTGTTGTCATTGAGCCTCCAAAAAGCATTATATAAAACCAATTATTATCATTATATATTATTATTATATTGAATGTAAGTAAGTAAGTTTTTATTTATATACCGCCTTTTCACTGCAGATCTGAGTCTCAAAGCGGTTTACAATTGTTAATTTTTGGGCATTTGTCTCTCACTCCACACAGAGAAGGGAGGGCCCAGTACAGGAGGCGCATGCCAGAACTATTGGACATATTTTTAGTGGTAGGGGAAACCGGAGTACCCGGAGGAAACCTACGCAGAAGCGGGGACAACATGCAAACTCCACTCAGAAAGGCCCTGGTCCGACCGGGATTCGAACCCAGGACCTTCTTGCTGAGAGGCGACAGTGCTATCCACTCAGCCACCGTGCCGCCCGTCTGATGTGAGTCTGAGATAAACTCCATATGAGCCGTGAGCAACCTGAGCTCATCAATTTCCTTCAAATGTGGACAGTGTAAGCAATGTGTTGAAGTTTGGACAGAAAGATGTGTAATTATGACGCCTTTTGATTGGTGCATTGAAATGACAGGAATAATGGAAAACAGTGTAGTATCAGCTCTTTGTGAGAACAGGTCTATTCAAGCATTTTGACTTCAGCTATAGTCTGTGATGATGAGACCCCTGAACCCGGCCTCTTTTATCTGCACCTGTGAACTGGTCCCCCCCGGCCTGGTCTCATGGGGCTATCTCCCCATTAACAGCTCTTAAAATGAGCTCTGGAGGCAAACATCTTTGCACTGAAATCCATTGCAAATTTTCTGTAACAGTGCATGGATGCATTGTCCCTGTCCAATAAAAAATAAGTAAATAAAACATGGTCGATAACAAACAGTTATTTTAATTCTTCAATATATATCTACATTTCTATAATATATTCTTTGGGACCCTCCTCGGTCCTTGGACCCCTATGCTGTGTTTCATCCCCTTTATTAGTCGATTTCTGGGTCGTGGGGTGGCAATCAGAGCTGCCACCCAGTCCTCAGAGCACTTGCTGGTCCTCCTGCAGGTAGGTCGCAGGAAGATGGCTTCACTGAAGACACACCCTAGGTCTTTCCACTTGCCCAGGGACACAACGACAGCAGACATCAGTGGGAGCAGGTGATTGAACCCACAACCTTCAAGTCCAAAGACCAATGCTCTACCAACTGAGTCCCTGTAGTTCTTCTATTCTTGAACACACACAAACATAAACACAAACAAACACACACACACACACACACACACACATCTTCACCTCTGTCAAATCCCTGTGTGGGTTATTTTTTTCTTTTCTGCACTCCCTCACTCGTCCATATGCCCCTGCTGCCACCCTCTGCTACGTACCAAGCTGTTGCCCAAAGTTGCCGTTCCAGTGTCTTTGTTGCTTGACGTGCTGTCGCGCCAAAGTCTGGAACTGTTCATTATCTCCACGCAAAATAACTGCGAGCTCCGCCTGCATCATTGGAACTGACAGTCTCATTTCCTGCTCCTTTTCTCTTAAGCACAATACTACATTATTGGCACTTTCTAATTATAAATGCATGTTCAGAACAGAGCATGCACAGTCCAAGAATATCCCATTGTGTTTGAAGTTAGTCCGCACTGCACCCATCTAGGGCTCTGTTATAACATGTGAGAATGTTTTTGCGACGCGTGAATGATGAAAAATAAAATAAACGTAAAATGTATACTGGAGTGGGTCACTTATTCATGAGCGAGCAATCTCAAGTGAAAACCTAATTTGGGGCAATCTAATTTGTAAATTTCTTTATATAAGAAGGCGGTAGGAGATTTTTTTTTTTTTGTCCTTCATTCTACTCCATTACCATAAAAAAATATCCAATAAATAAAAATAACACCAGGACAGACTGCTGCGTTTACAAAAGACAAAAAGACATAAATGAGATTTGGAATATGCATACAGTATATTAATATATTGTGGAACACGTCAATCAAAAATGCGGATAAAAAATGATCATAATTCATCGTTTGGAAAACATAGATTGGTGATAGGTGGTTGACATTTCTGCTGGAGCGTTCATGTTATTTGCTTTCTGCAGCGGTGCAAACAATTACATTGCTGCTCCGGTGTAGTTCACTTGAATGTATCTGTCTGATCCCAGTATCACAAACTGACGGTGGTTACTATCAGACTGTGAGAGGGTGCGAACATCACTTGTGGAAATCAATCCTCGACACTTCTTTCAACACGCCTGAGTTTCCATACATTTTGAATACATTTCCTACATGTAAATGCATGATTTACACACATTCAATTGTAGAGCCCCAAAAGGGAATTCAATAACTCTTTATAATAACTAGACATGACAGTATGCATTATTACATCCTCAATAAACAGTTGTTGTCAAACTTGTTCATTGGTGGAACAACATTTTAAAATCGCTGTGCGTACGTGTGAAATTAAATATATGGGAGATTGACTGGCTGAGTCTGTTCGGTGATGGGTCATGGGCATGTGTTGTTTATATGAAAGAAAACATTTGATTGAATGATGAATCAGCATTGACTCATGTTGAATGAATGTATGAAGAGCAGCTTCAGTGACATAC